ATGGATTTTCCCATCCTGTGAACAAAATTACATGACTGATTGAGCTCTGTTCTTGGCAATGAGAAAAATTCATCTTCTATTCACTAATATAACTACTGTTCACATCCTTTCCCAAGAATCTTACAGGGGGCTGCGGGCTGGTATTAATTGCTTGTGTTATTATAGAATATTCATTCCCACTCAAACTTGGAGATCTGAATTCTTCCATAACATCATAATGTGTGTTTTCTTTCTTTCATCCTCTGCCTCTTTTTTTTATTTTTTTTTTTTAGTGTGTGTGTCGATCAAACCAGGACCTTGTTCACTATCCAAGTGCGCTAACACAGTCTTAAATCCCTGCCCTGGGTAGAAGTCTTTAGATAACAAGCTGACTCATTTGGATTACAACTAGAAGGAAGTTGAGCCCTTAACCTGGCAAATGCATTGCTCCTTTCTTCTTGGTACATTAGACCTTTGATTGAGTCAACTGCAGGAAATGGTGAAACACCTGTGATTGCCTGGTAACACAATTCCTTTCACCTTTATCTGAATGAGGAAGTTCTGCCTGAATGCTATTTAATGTTTAAGTTAACCTTTCTTTAGGGATTGGGTGTATTCATTACCTTTCGTCTTGAAAACACGTCCTGAGATGGGCTGCTGAGGGAATATCAAAAAAGAATAGAATCCTCTCTGTGTTGGTTAGCTTTCCATCACTGTAACAAAATACCTAAGACAAACAACTTACGAAGAAGAAAGGTCTATTTTGGCTCACAGCTCGTAGTCTCCTAGCCACATTGCTTTTTTGGCTGATAATGAGACACAACATCATAGTGAGGAGTGTGTTGTGAAGCAAACATCCTGGAGGACTAGGGAGACAGAGAAAGTGGGGGAGGGGCGGGGTCTAATACCTTCTTCAGTTAGTAATATCCTTCCTCTCAGTTTCATCTGAAATGTCCCCCCATCTGCCACCTATTTGGTAGCACTGCAGGTTGGAGATCAAACTTTTAACAAATGGCCTTTGGAGGCAAAGCCAAACAATGTCAGGGCTTCTACTGGGAAGGGCAAAATACTTATATTCAGCTAGTTCATCCCTTCAGGAGTATGGGCCTCTTCTTGGACTCTCTCTTTTTAAAATCCGTGAAACACTGTGATTAGAGTAGATGATCACAAAAGTTTCTGTGGTTCTCAAAATAACTGATTTTCTTCTAGCTTTAAAATTGCAACAACTCTCTTTAGGCTCCGTTCGGCCCTCAGTCAGGGTGACACGCCTGAGTAACTCCCTGCAGCCTTTCTGTAAGACTTAGTGTGTTCTTAAGACAAATGACAGTATTCTGGCTCCCCGGAGAAAGCCCTCTTCTGTATACACCCACAGCTTGGCGGTCTGTTGCTGACTTTCTTTACATGACTTGTGGATGGCAGTGTCAATATCTAGGACTCACATTTTGGACATATAGAGTTACGAATGTGATCTTATTCCTCTGTGGAATTTATTTGATTCAAAATTAAAGGAGATAGAGGGGGTGGGCTATCATCTTTCCATAGGTTCCTCTTAGGGATAAAATAAGTCTTCTGTTCACTATTTGGTCATTGATCTTGCCAAGGTAGACATGAGGATTTTGGGAGAAGTTTTTTCCTGTCTCTAAGGTTCTTTTTCTGTATTGCCCCCTCTGTCCTAATACCCTGGGAAGCTCTGCCACAGGGAAAAAATAAGCATGGCTCAGTGTCTTTACAGTCTGCTTGTATTTTAAAACACTTAGGCTTTAAACTCATGTTGGGAGTCAAAATCTGGTAGGTAACCTTGGAAGCATTACTTGTTCCTCAGTCTATAAAACATAAGTACATCTCCTTTTGAAGGTGCTGTGCTTTAGGTACAAAGTCATTAGGAAGCATCTAGCACGACACTCGGCACAGGCCAAGAATGTGATAAAGTTGCTTATTTCATTCCAATGGTTAGCATTTCTGGCATCATCTAGTCAGCCCCAGGGTCCTATGGCCGCCATGAAAGAAAATCACACTTCAGTTTTGCAGTGGTGATACTGAGGCTTTATCCTTCCATGAATTGTGTAGGTTCTGTAACACTCAGGCCATGATTAAAAGGGTTTGTTTTACATGTATAAACATTTAAAGCAGCCTGGCATGTGGTCCTGTCATTCTGCATATGTTCTGGCTATGACTACAGAGTATCACGGTCTCACGGTGTTCTTTTTGCACATCTTATTGACCAGTGGGCAGATTCTGAAGGAGGCATTTTAATCACAGGCTCTTGGCCTGGGGAGGTCACCATTCCTTAGGGTGACTCATCCATCACAACTCTAGCACATCATTTGCTAAAGGCATGCTTCCTAGTCTTAAGCTTGCAGTGGTTTGTTGTGTTTTGCTAAACTGTTCTATTACCAATAAAAACTTGAGAATTCGATATTGGAGTAAAAACCGTATAGAGCAAAGACCAGCTGACCTTCCCTTTCTTACTGGAGACCAGCCAGCACCTCTTCAAGTTCTTCCTTTTTCTTTCCTGTCCGGCTTCCCTATCCATATTCCTGGCTTCTCTGTGGCTAATTGTGGTCAGTTAGTCACTGGTTCCGTCCCCTGATTCAAAGTTAACTTTATTAACACAGTCTCGGAGTGTCGCAGTGCGATGAAATATCCCGCAACAGTGGTTTGCAAACTGTAGACAAATTTCTAAATGGTCTTATTAAATAAAAAACATGGAGCCAAATATCGGGGTGAAAGCCTTAGAGATCAGGGGAACAGGGAAAGCCACCAGCAACTGCAGTTTCAAATGCGAGCTACTTCCTGTCTTACCCATGCCTTTATTGCCTTACTGTTCTGCCCTCTCATTGGCTATCTTAGCCCAGCTACCTCATTTCCTTGTCACTGTCTGCCTGTACAAACCTCTAGGTCTATATGGTTGGTACTGGAATTAAAGGCATGTGTCACCATGCTTGGCTCTGGTCCCTCGTATGGCCTTGAACACACAGAGACCCTGCCTGATAAGTGATAGGATTAAGGGCATGTGCTGCCTGACTTCTTGTTTACTTAAAATGGCTGGCCTTTTCCCCTGATCTCCAGGTAAGCTTTATTAAAGCACAAATAAAATATCACCACATTTCAAACTGCTGCCTGAGGGCCACATCTGGCCTGGCTCTTTTTGGATACATCTAAAAGCTAAGGATGATATTTACATCTTAAATGACAGGAGAAAAATTGTTCTGACATTCAACAATTGTATTAAATTCAACTTTGCGATTATGAATCAAGTTGTACTGGAATACAGTCACACTGTCAACTTATGCTCTATCCTCAGATACTACTGGGTTGTGAGAGCCAAGTTGCTACTGGGAGCGTGTGATGAGAAAATATTTCCTCTCTGGACATTTTCTTCCCCCGGGGGCAGAGTCAGAGCACCTAGCGCCATAGCCCAGCTCTGAGTTCATTTCCTCCTTTTCCTTCCTTGACTTCCATCAGCTCATTTCTCAATTGTGTCATAAAAGCACCTATCTCCTAGGATTTTATGAGGACAACACAAATAGGTAAAATACTTTGAAGGTCAGGCACTGGTTAATTACTTTCTTTATATATACTTATTTTGGTTGTCAGTATTAGTTACCACATTTTTTTTCCCTGAACCCCAAGCAGTAGGGGCTTATCAATTTGTTGGCAATCACTGTAAGAATTTCATTTACAGCACTCCATTAAAAGTCACTTCTGAAGGGAGAGTAAGAGTCTAATAAGTTACAATTAGTGTAGTCACATGTCCATAAAATGAATCCTGCATTAGTTATAAACATTTTATTAGGGGTGCATTGTTTGTTTGTTTGCTTTGTTTTCAGACTTAGCCCTGAAAGAGCTTAAACTCAAATGTGAGTTCAGCAATGATCATTTAGCTGATTAAAGTTCTAAAACACGAGACAAAAAACTCAAAATGTCTAATGTACCTGGACTGACTACCATGGTATTTGAAAACTAACTTTATCTCCAGGATCAGACATGGTGGCTTTTTTTTTATGTGACAATAAGGACTGTTAGAATTTTCCTCACTATTCAGAACTTCTGTTTTTGGAGTTTATGTATCCCAAAAGGGGACTTGAGAGAAGTGTCGATAAGCCATCCAGTGGTTCAAGCCATGGTCTCACACTATGGTCAATCTTGTCCATCGAAGTGTTTCTCAAAATGTCAAAATGAGAAAAGACAGCGGCAGGCCGAGGCCACGAGTTCTGGGCTAGCCCGAGAGCCCGGTCCACAGAGGGAAAGGGTAAGAATGAACAACAGAAACTCACTGTCTAGTCCTCAACAGTCAAGGGCGAGCAAACGATTTTCTCTTGCTTCAATTATACTAAAAAGTGGAGAAGAAAGCCGTGTGAAACATCTTCCGAACAATCCTTTCAGTATTGCTCCCTAGAAGAGTTGTTTCTATTTGAATCATCCAGAAAATACATCAGCTCGGTTTTCTACAAATGATCTGGGCGAGGCTGTCCTGCCCAGAAAATGCCCCCTTCTCCTACCCCACCCCACCCACTTAGTAATCGCACCAGCTACACCCAACTTAACAGCTGGCAAAGAAACGCGCCACCCTCATTCACAGCTAAACGCCCCCTTGCAGAGTCCTGAAGTGTCATCCGGTTTTCAAAGGTGTTTTCCTATTTTGATTTAAAGTGTCTCCTTCACCCATTGGAGTTGTTATTCAACCTCTTCCCTACAATAACGCACAGAGCTCTCATCCCACCCACCCTATCCAACAACCGGTGTAAAATAACTAACGTGCCACAAAATAGCACAGTAGGAAGAAGGAAGAAAAAGAAAAAAAAAATCCCGGGGCGGTGCGTGGATGTCGGAATGTGCCACTAGGCGGGGAGGGTGAACGGGACCTGGTGTGAAGCGCGTCTGGGGCCCTGGGTCACCGCCCGCCCGAGGGTCGCGGTGGGCACCGGCACAGCACAGAGGGACTAGAGAGCGGGCGGTGCGCAGGGTGGCGCGGGGCGGCCAGGGATGGGTGGCGGCGGGCGTCGTCCCCCGTGGGGCGGCGTGGTGCGCTCCGGGGCGGCCCGGGGCGGCTCCGGGCGGGCGGAGCAGCAGACGTGCAGGGCGGAGGCGCAGTCTGCACCATGGCGTACCCCGGGCACCCTGGCGCCGGCGGCGGGTACTACCCAGGCGGGGTAAGTTCAAAGCGCGGGTACCGCAGCCTCGCAGCTCCCGGGGCGAGAGGGCGCCACGGACGCGCGGGAGGAGGCGCCGCGGGAGGCTCCCCGGTCCAGATGCTCCCTGCGCGCTCGCCTGGCCCCTCATGTCCAGCCTCCGCCCCACTCCATTCTTCTGCCCCGTCTTCCTAGGGGGCTCTCATGGGTGGGTGGGCTGCGACCCGGGAAGCCCCCTCGGTGATTCGGAAATGTGGCGTGAGATAGTGCGAGCTGTGTGTTCACTTCCTGCTCTCGAATGCCCCCAAAGCAACAACAGCCATCTTGATCTAGAATGGTCCTCTGGTCACTCTCTTGAAAAGAAAGTGACAGAGAGACCAAAAAGTCCGGAGAAGTGAACTGGAGTCCTAGAGGAAGGCCACCACACAGGGATGTACTGTCAGAGACAGAAGGACCCTAGTTGAGATACAGCGGGGCCATCCTCCTTGCCAGGCCACACCTGTCAGCCCTGTACCAATTCCAGCCTTACCCTGTACTTGAAAAGCTTTTAAAACACTGTAGAAGCTGTTTAAAGCAACAGGAAAATAGTCCCAAGCCTTTCTGCTAAATTGCTTGCTTCGGTTACCTCTGCCACTCCCTAGTTAATAGAGATTTTAAGTAGCTTCGCGTATAGTGGCATCACTTTCGTGGAGACTTATTTTGGACCAAGTTGCCAGCTTTTAAGTGTCAATGGAGCAGGGTGTGTGAGGTCGTGGGGAGGGCGATCCTGACAAGGGCAGACAGGCAGCAATTACCTCTGCTTTGTGCAAAAAAAAAGTCTTGCATGGTGAAGGAATAAACTGGATTCTGTTCTGATGCTTTTGCATTTCCCTTAAACAGTATGGAGGGGCTCCTGGAGGGCCTGCGTTCCCCGGACAAACTCAGGATCCGCTCTACGGTTACTTCGCTGCTGTGGCTGGACAGGTTAGCCCGTCCTTTTAATACTGAAGAACTGTTACTATCTTTTTTTTTTTTTGATATTGTGTAGTGCAGTGGCAGCTAAACGAACTTCGCTCTGGAAATGAGTCCCTTTGCCTGGGCAGAAGAAGGAGAACGGAAAGGAGAACTGAAACATTCTTATTTTACTCCTGAACAAAGGTGGACAGAGAATACCTGTGTTCGTGCTAGATCAGTTCAAAACTAAACTTGTGATTGAACTAGGGGTTCGATTGAACCAAAAGGGGATTATAAATATACTTTGAAGATCTACAAAGTAGAAAGATGCCTTTGGAACTGTGTTATCAGGATAGACCAAGGGTTGCTTCCAGAGACGAAATTCAAAAGTTCTGAAAATAAAACCTCTGTTTGTCCAACCTAAAGACGTGTGTTAGTAATGCTGTAGCCCAATTATAATAGACACTGACTTTCAGTTGAGTTTATAGTCATTTACCCCCTTAGGAGGTAGAGAAGAACTGAAAAGAGCTTCCAAGCAGGAGAGTTACTGTCTGTATTTGGAAGGTAACCTCTATTCCTGCTGTAGATGGCCTTACCCCGCTGGCTTTTCTATGTCCTTATTAGGTATTATGGCCTGCTGACCCGGAGAAAGAATTCAGGTCAGGTAGTCACAAGTCCTAAGTCCCACTTCCTTCCCTTAGGGTTGTGTGACAGTCTGTGGCTGTTGTGAGGAAGGACACTTGCCCAGCTTGCAAGGTCACTCTGTGTTTGGTGAATGTACTGTTAACGTAATCCAGACATGTCCAGAGGGAATGTTTATTGTTGCTTATTCACCGTAGACTTGTTTAACCACAAGAGCCAGAAAGAATGAAATCAAGATCTGGAAAAAAAAAATGCTGCAGGATATGCTAAGCAAAACCCTCAGGCCACCTTTGAAAGTGGTACTCTAAGAAACACAGCTTTAAGAATTTGAATGGAAAATTGAGTCGAAGACTGGAAGACTTTCCTCTCGAGTATCTACTTAATCTGTTATTGATCTGTGTCTTTGAAACCACAAGACATAGCACACCTCAGGACTAGCTTTCTTAGATTGCTGGTGTCTCTGGCATGTAAGTGACCCCACCTGCTTGGCTTTCAGCAGCTCTGGCCTCTATTCCACACATTCGTCATTAATAATTTCCAATTATTGTTCCTCATTTATAACTTGATGGATCTCACCAACTTGGAGTTATGTATTTTATTTAAGACTGTTTTGACCTCAGCCAATAAGAAGGTCCGGGAGCCTACCCTGTATTTTCTACATATAATTGTGCTCAGAAAACACTGTCTCCCAGTCAGACATTGATCCAAGAGCATCTTTCTCCTTGGAATACAAGGCCTTGTATTTACTGATGCCTGCTAGGTCTGCTGTACGCTGTACATCCTACTCTCTGTCCCTCTCTTTCTGAAAAAGGGATTGGGGGATATGTTTTGAAACAATTCCATAACTAATTGTACTTTAAAATGATTAGTTTTGATAGTTTCTTGGCTCAAACTGAGTGGAGACTGTTTGCCATGACAAATATTTTCTCATCATCAAATTCTTTTCGGAATTAGGGTAAGGAGAAGTGTGCCCAATTTTGAAAGGCATCCCTTTAAAAAAATGCTAGAGAGAATTATTTTCTCTGTCCTTGTCACTTAAGGACTTGAAAGTACAGACCACCATTGTGATTCCTCTTCCTGGTTTTTGTTTGTTTTATAAGGATGGGCAAATTGATGCTGACGAGCTACAGAGATGTCTAACACAGTCTGGCATTGCTGGAGGATACAAACGTAAGTTCATGGTCTTAGAATCTTTCTAATAATACCCTTGTTCTCTGTACTTTAACTGTTAGCTGTGATTGTTCCTTTCAAGAAATCAAACTTTTCTGATCCACCACGCTGTTGTGTTTTAACTGTTAACTGAGCATAGTTCCCAGGTCACCAGTCTGCCAGACCGGTTAATGGATTTCTTGAATTTGGGTTCCCTGAGTACAGAACCATTCAAACCAGTGAGACAGTTTGGGTGGCCTCTCTCACAGAGGACAAGTTAGGGTGCTGAAATGGAATCCACCAGGTCAGGTATCATTAATGATAAGTGCTAACATGTACCACTGACCATTTGCCAAGTGCTTATTCTGTCCTAACTCGGTCGCACTGAGAGAGTGGCTAGTCCCACAGTCTGATCTCTGGGCCCTGGGCTTGCTCCTACTTGCCGGCCATGACCTTCCCTGGGCCAGTCTTCCTTCCATCTGAGAAGATACGTTCACGCCCAGGGTCAAAGTACCGGTCTGCTTTCACCTCATGCTAGCCCTGTGTTCCCTCCTCAGTTCTTTGCAGACTAGATGTGGAGCACTATCATCCAGTACATGTCCCACTTTCCTGCCTTTTCAGTACTGTGCTCCAAGTAGCAAATAGAAATAAACATTGCAAAAATCCTGCATCCTGTCCCGGGCTTATCATTTTACACACTCTGCTTTTTTAAAAAATCTAGGCTTGACCATGAGAAGTGTCTAGGACAAATAATAGTGACTTAGCTCAAGTGTGCTACCTTCAAACTCCTTCCCATTTGTTAATTGAGTCATAACATCAAGTTATGACTTTATAGTAAAGTCAGATAAACTTTATCAAGTTTATACAAAAGTGACTATCAAGTTCACTTTATAGTAAGCTGTAAGTTAAGATGTTCAAACTAGAGTTCATGCCTAAACACTTGCAGTGGCACTTTTAGCTGTTTGAGGTACTGTATTCTCTAGATGGCCATCTTTAAAATGCTCAAGTTTCTGTTGTTATCATTTCTTGTGTGACTTGAGTTTCCTATTACTATTTCCTAGTTGGGAAATTAATTCAAAAGAGAAGAGCCTTTCAAGTTTCTGTCATTTTAATTTGGTCCTAAACAAGAGAAGCACTTTCTAGGTAAGGGGAACTGAGCAGTGGCTATTGTACTTAAATTGTTAATTTTTAACCTCAAGCACTTGAGGTAAACAGGGAAGATCTAATGGAGTTTGCTCAGTGAGGTATCTTATCAGCCTACAACCTTTCAGGAGAAGAGATGCATCAGATTTTAGAGCAGACTACAGTGCACTGCACAGTCTTAGAGAGCAGTTCCCTCAAGAGTTCTATTTCGAGGGCTGTGGAGATGCCTCAGCTAGTCTTTGCCTCCAAGACTGATGACCTAGTTCAAACCCTGGTTCTGCACCAACTCCTGAAAGCTGTCCTCTGACTCTCTGACTGACACACACCTTACACATACACAAAGCAAATAAGTAAATGTCATAACAAATTTTAAAAATCTTACTTGAAAGTCATTTTGTAAAGGCCTTAGATCAATGCATTGGGAAAAGTCATTTCCTGAAACACAAGGACCATGCAATCTAGTTAATTAGCTTAGCTCCCTCTAGCAGCCATGAGATACCACCCAACTTCTGGGATGCCAAGAGTTCTGCAGTACAGAAACCATACAGCCATCGATCTCTTTAGACCCAGATTCCAAGTCATAGCCCACAGACTTAGAGTGGATGGGGGTATGTGGGATACTCCAGAAAAGAAGCAGTCATCCCGAGAGGGAGGCTTGATGGAGAATGTTCCAGTCTCCACAATAGAAATTCTGCTTTTCCTTTCCCTGAATTTGGTGGTTCCTCTGCAAGATGCTTGACAGAAACAGGTGGAGTAGACTTCCTTCCTTTCCAGGCCTGGTGCCTTGTTTCTTCTGGATGAAAAGATACCTGAGGCATTGCGGTAGTGCAAACGGAAGCAGCAGCAGGGGGAAGTTGACACATGGATGGTTTTGAAATTCTATTGAAAGATGCACATTAATAAAGCTGTGTCCGGGTGAAAATACAGTGAGCAGAATTGAGCAAGACCCATCTGCCTTCCCCGAATTCACTGGAGCTCTGTGCTCTCGCTTATTTCACAGGTGTATCCTGGTATGCAGACCCTGCATCTGTCAATGTCAGTTGGCTGTTGGTGGAAAACCTTTAGAATAGAGAAATTAGCTGAGCATGGTAATCCGTGCCTACAGTCTGAGCACTTGGGAGGAGGAGGCAGGAGGAGCAAGACTTTAAGGTCATCATTTACATAGAGGTGAAGGCAGCCTGGGCCACATGAAACTCTCAAAAAAGCCAAATAAGTAAATTACATAAAATGAGGAAACCATGGCCCTGTAGCCGTATTGGTATTTGATTTAAAATATAGAACTTTTAAGTATCAGTCAAATCCAAAATATCCTATTAAAAAAATAATAATCCACATTTCCCCTTAGCCTTCCTGAAAGAGGCATACTTCTACACTAAACTACAGCTCTTGTCGAGGGGTAAGAATTCAGTCCATGTGGCCATTTATCCCTTCAGCCAACCAGTCCATTTTTGATGGACAGTTATGCTGGGTATACAGAAACAGCTGCACCTGGTGAGATAAGTTCTGAGGCTGAGATCAAACCCACAGGCACATGGTCAAGACAGGAGTGTGCCTGCACAATTGATACCTAGGCTGGAGAAGAAATGAAAGTCCAGCCACAATAATGCCATTTGGAGATGCTATATGCACATAATTCAGGCAGATAGAACAGTATACATTATGTATGTACATAATTCAGGGAGATAGAACAGTATGTATGAAAGACCCAGAGGAAGCTTGGTTCAATTATGGAAGTGAGAAATTCCCTGTGAAGATCCTGCCTGGCTGTGGGTGAACTGGGGAAATTCATGAATGTCCTCACATGTAGGGGTTCTGACCTTTACTCTGAGACCTTACAGCATTCTGTATGTGAGAACACTGCTGCTCCAGCCATAAGACAAAGACTACATTGGGAGTATAAAATAAAGAGTCTGCTTTAAAAGAAATAAAGCAATAGTTTATTCTGAGCCAAACATGAAGGACTGTGGTTCAAGAACATGGACTCAAGTTACCTTGAATGGCATGTGCCACTGTGGAAGATGCCACGTGAACTTGTATAGTCAAAGAATGAAAGGAAGTCATGAATCAGGACCTTTGCCATTTCCAGTGGGAGATCTGGCACACTGACTACAGCAGAGTGAGGACCCATAGCTTTCAGTTGTCAGAACATTCGTGGCTATGGGATTGGTAGATGCTAGAGATCTGCAAAGCATAGTGATACACTTTAAGGAGTATTTCTACGAAGTCGGACATTTGGGCAGATCCAAAAGCTAGGGTAATTGGCTATTAAAGGCCCCAAGCAGTCCAAGATAATTCTAGCTTGTGAACTATAGCATTCTATCTACACAATGTTCTGTTCAGCCAAGATTAGCAGTCTGCAGGACCTTAGTATTGCTACAGATTCTTCAGATCATCCCAGATCTTAGGGATTGGGGAGAGGCTTAGAATCAGGGATCAATGTTAAAGAGCCTACGGAGTCCTACAGCTTAAAGGAATGACTGAACAGAGTAACAGTGGGGCTGCCAGTTGATCCTAACTTTATTTACAAGGTGACTGCATATTGGGGAAGGGGGTTAGGGTTCCCACGGGTATCTATAATATGGGCAGATACATGTAGTAAAATTTTTGAAAATGGGTTATGTTTGCAATACAGTCCGACAAAATTGGTATAAGCCAAACACCACAAAATGGTGAGTGAGTAGCATGCAAAATGAGTAGCATGTTTTAAAATTCATAATTAATTTGAATGATTCCAGCATAATATGAAATTTTGAAATTGTACTTATTCATATACTTTCTTTAACAGCTTTTAATCTGGAGACTTGTCGCCTTATGGTTTCAATGTTGGACGTATCCTTTATCTTGATGGTTGTCCAGAGTGTTTTTCCACAGCAAAAAAAAAAAAAAAACATATTTTTCTAAAACAATTCATCTCAGGGTGAGTAACAAGTGAATACAGAATAGCAAGTAACCACCAAAAGAGCTTGGTGAAGTAACTAGCCGTTAGGATGTAATTTGGTGTGGAAAACAGGCAGGAAGTTTAGTAAATGGAAGGCTGGTTGTTCAAGATTGCACAAGAAGCCAGAGGTGTGGTGGCTCATGCCTGTAATCACAGCACTCAGGATGCTGAGGCAGGAGCATCACTATGAGTTTGAGGGCAGCATGGGCTATACTGTGAGTTGGAAGTTACCCTGAACTAAAGAGATCCTTTCTCAAGAGAGACAGGTGGGAGAGTGTGTGTTAGAGTTAGTTCAGTGCGGCATCAAAGTAGACAGGAATGCCAGCCAGTTGTTAGTCTGTTTGTCAGTGTGTCACCCGTGGCACTTTCCACCTCAGCTCACTTTCTACAGGTGAAATCCTTGAGTCTGAGGGCTTGGCAAGGGATACCAGGACCCATGACCTGGAGCTCCTAGGAAGTGCAGCCCAGTTCCAGTAAGAAAACTACTTTTTGCTTGACTCACAATGCCATATCATCAGGTTCAGAGCTTTAAAGCCACAGGCCATTTATTACATCATTTATCATTAATTTTTTATATCATATCAGTAAGAATATAGACTAGGGTTTTTTTTGTTTTTGTTTTTGTTTTTTTTTTACAATGTGGGGTGTCTCTTTGCCATTTTAACAGAAAGAACATTGAATTCCCCTTACCCTTCTTTCTCTTGTGAAATCATTAAAGATATGAAATAAGATAGTTCTGGTCCTTGATTATAATCCAGAGAGATATGTCTGGCACCATGGGATTCAATGAATTTAAAGAGCTCTGGGCTGTGCTGAATGGCTGGAGACAGCACTTCATCAGTTTTGACAGCGATAGGAGTGGAACAGTGGATCCCCAGGAACTCCAGAAGGCCCTGACCACAATGGGTTCGTATTACCAACTCCAGCGCTCCATTAACTGCTGAACGTGTTGATGTTTCCCTAAAAGTGTGTGCTACTTGAAGACAGTTTCTTTTTAATGTTGTTGGTGTTGTTGTTTTGGTTTTTTTGTTGTTATTTTCTTTTGTTTATACAAGTCTGCAACCTTCTCTTGCTGGGTGATTTTCCTGCCTTCCAGGATTCAGGTTGAACCCCCAAACTGTGAATTCAATTGCGAAGCGCTACAGCACCAGTGGGAAGATCACCTTCGATGACTACATCGCCTGCTGCGTCAAGCTGAGAGCTCTCACAGGTGTGAACCCTTCCGGTTACCAGGGGCCTAGAAGGCCCTCTTCATGACATGTCTCATTTCTCCATGCCTTGAACTTCCATTCTGCCCAGTTTTTTATGGCTTTAGGGGTGCGTTGGTAGACCCTTAACACAGCTATTAAGCAAATAGAGCATAATATGCTATCCAGAAATTTTTTAGGTGAATGAATAATTGTAGTACATTTTATTAAAATGCTGCAGATATAACTGTCTATATATATATATATTTTTGGGGGGGGTTCGGTTTTTTCAAGACAGGGTTTCTCTGTGTAGCTTTGCGCCTTTCCTGGATCTTGCTCTGTAGACCAGGCTGGCCTCGAACTCACAGAGATCCGCCTGGCTCTGCCTCCCGAGTGCTGGGATTAAAGGCGTGTGCCACCACCGCCCGGCAGCTGTCTATATTTTTAAGTGCTTTCGTTTGTAGTGCTGGAGTCACAGACTCCAATGCATTGTAAACACTGGACCGTGGTGCTGTTCCACAGCCCACATTTGTACAGTTTCAATCACAGAGTGCAGTTATGAGTAATTCTCTTCAACTGTGGAACATCTGAAAAGAGTAAGATTAACGTTAATCATTGTTGGTCAGCGGGGCTAAAATGAGTGGGATATTTGGTCACAGCCCATTTGTCATATTGGGGACTGTATCCCTCTGTTTCCTTGCTTGAGCAGCATGTGTATAACTAGTGTCTAGAACCCGATGCTTTCACTGCAGCTAAGGGCCTTAAAAGCTGAACTACTTCTACTGAGACAAGTCGTTTTTCTCAGATCCACGACCATGGACCACCTTCTGCCCATGATGTCACTGTTAATGTATTAAATCTTTTTGTTTTTTAAGATTTATTTATTTATTATGTATACATTATTCTGCTTGAATATATGCCCGCATGCCAGAAGAGAGCACCAGATCTCATTACAGATGGTTGTGAGCCACCATGTGGTTTCTGGGAATTGAACTCAAGACTTCTGGAAGAGCAGCCAGTGCTCTTAACCTCTGAGCCATTTCTCCAGCCCTGTATTAAATCTTTTAATATTCCTGTAGCTGACTATTTTTCTTTGGCCTTATGTTGACTGGTTGTAGAATTTTAAGTGTTATTGAAGCTGTTGTGAGTTTAGAAAAAAAAACACGAACACTACATTTTACTGTGTTGTTTTGCAGATAGCTTTCGAAGACGGGATTCTGCTCAACAAGGAATGGTGAATTTCTCATACGATGATGTAAGTCTCAGCAAATAGGAGCTAAGTAGACGAAATACTGTACATAAATGGGATTCCTTTTTGAAGTTAGCTGTTAAGAATATGGACATGGTGACTCAAGCATGCACTCAAGAGGCTGAGGCAGGTGGATTGCTGTGAGTTCAAGGCCAGCCTGAGCTATGCTTGTGAGACTCTGCCTCAAACAAACAAACAAACAGAAAACGTAACAGGACATGGTGGCTCATGGCTGTAATACCAACATTTCTGAGGGGGAGGCAGAAGGATGACTTCAAATTCAGGCCTGGCCTGTTGCTTTTATTGACTGGGTCATTGTATAAGGAGATTTCCCTGGTTGCTCTGAGACTGAGTGAAGCAGGTATCATAATAATGATAGCTTGGTTGGCAGACAAACATGAGGACCCCCAGAACCCATGTGCAAAATGCTGTGTATGGCAGCACTCTGTTGTAATCCCAGTACTGGGGAGGTGCTTGCTGACCCTCCAGCCAAGCCTGCTTCGTGAGTTCTAGGCCAGGGAGAATCACTCAAAAGGTGGCTAGCACCTGAGGATAGCGTGACACTTGAGGTTGACCTTCAGGGTCCACATACATGTGCATCCCGACACACAAGCATGCAGACACACATACACCACATAACAATGAGGCCTCTTTCAAAGAGCTGTTGACAGGTTTCAGTCAGCTGTGTCTTTAGATGTCTTGCAAATGCAGACATGTCTCTGCTCTCACCCCGTAGAAAACAAACATCACTGAGTGGTACCTTCCAGCTCTGCTTTGCATACCTGTGCTGTTCCTTGAGAATGTAAGGCAAGCACCAACTTAAATCACAATTGACAACAAGCCATTTGCAGTGATAACCTGAGAGGGGAAAAAAGTACAGACTGTGGCATCAGAGAAGACCACTAGAGAGGTTTCTACATGTCCAAATCTTTGGTTTCTTTTTCTCTCAAATAAGAGAGAAAGGTTTAGCAGAATTGCTGCAGGGATTAGCACTGGGACTCCTTACCAGTGTTGGAGAATAAGCTTGGGCAGGGGTTGGGGAAGTAGGATCTAGTGCAGTGGTTCTCAACCTGTGGGTCACGGCCTCTTTCAGAAGTCTAACCTTTTCACAGGGGTCACATATCAGATATCCCGCATATCAGATATTTACACTACGATGCATAACAGTAGCAACATTACAGTTATGAAGTAGCAATGAAAATAATGTTATAGGCAGAGATCACCACAACGTGAGGAACTGTACTAAAGGGTCCCAGCGTTAGGAAGACTGAGAACCACTGGTCTAGTGGGTCTTCGGGGTCATGACGGCAACGCACAGCAAATGCTGATGTTGCTAAATGTACATTTCTGAGTTGCTGGAGCAGGATCAGCTTTTCTCTCTGTGCATTGCTTTGACGCTGATGGAGCAGACTTTACAGGATGATTGTGTTAAAAGTTTCCTGCTAGAGTAGTAGGGGAAATCAGTTTGGAAGTCTTCCCATGATATGACAGTGTAAACCTGTTATTTGTTCTCGCGGGCAAGTACTTTTGACTATGACTTTTCCTTCACTGTTAAATATTATTTGGGATTTCAGTTCTTTATTTGGTGAAGTGATTCCTCCTTCCCATAAAGTAAGGAACTCACCGGACTTTATAAGAGAAAGTCCCCTACCAGGAAGACCCTTCCCACCCTGCCATTCATCTATGCATGACGTAGAAAGTTGGGATTTTTTGGTTCTCCCTGTTTACCCACAATGCCAAGGACTAAAATGGAAGGTGCCCACAGAGTGGCTATGGCCTCCTCAGTATTATACCGTCTGTAGTGTAACACTAACTTTCCTCCTTAAGTTCATTCAGTGTGTCATGACTGTCTAAGTCACGAGGAGGCTGTCTGAATACACTCAACATTCCAGCTGGAGCCCGCCCGCCCTTGCTTCCTCCCGGCCCGCAGTGCTGTGTGCAGATCTCCACCAACACTCCCTGACAACCGTTGAATGGGATTATGGCTTTGTATACGACCGAAGCTTCATTTGTAATTTTGATAATAAATTCTTGAAGTTCAATTATGTAAGAACAAGTCTGTTGTACCAGTCAGAACCTCCTTGAGCCATTATTAACCATGCCTTATGTTCCTGTCTTTATATAAATTTAAGTATGCAAAATGTTGAAAGCATAGTATATATTTTCTCTCAACATGTGAAATCTTTTAGTCAGACTTGGCTGCTATCCTTTCTTGCCCTGAGGAATGTGGTTAACAGTTTTGTGTCGGGTATTCTTATATAAGTGATGTAGATCCACGGGGTGCGAAACACACCAGTGCCCATGGTAATGCACAGACTGGAAAGAGTATAAGCTTCAGGACTCACCGGGTCTGAAAGCCTTGTAGGAGTGGACAGAGATATTGAGTGACTACTGTCCACCTCTTTAAAAACCTGTAGATAATTTGAGTGGCAAAAATGCTGTCACCAAGTCCTTTTTTTGTCGCCATCCAAACTTTTGTTAACTATACTTAAAAAGTCTTGTATATTATAAGCTTCAAATTGTCAGAAAAAGACTAAAGGGAGATAAGAAGATATTAGCTGCTTATTTTTGACCAGTGGGGTTTTAGACGATTTTAATTTCCTTTATGTATTTCTATATCTCACCCATTTTTATAATGTGTATGCTTCCATTTTAAAACCAGATGTCGGGGATGAAGGGACAGCCCAGCAGCTGAGAGCATGTACCACTCCTGCAGAGGACTCAAGTTCCCAGCACCCGTGTTGGGTGGCTGAACTACTGCCTCACCTGTGCTCAGAGGCACATACCCCAAAACAAATGGATGTGCACACACACAACTAAGAGTAATAACAGGATCATTTTTAAACATGTTTAAACATAATTTTAAAACATTGTTGACATCTATTTTTAAATGGCATGTGTTATGTCTTTGAACATACACAAGAAAGGAACTGAAATGAATGAATCAATTGTTAACCTGGCTTAGACCACTGGGAGTAGGATCTCCTATCCCACTAAATTTTCAAGTATTCTATAATCAGGTTTCACACACACACAATTTTTTTTTCAAATGTTTAAACAATTGGCTTGCTGACAATGCCTTGCTATGTATGTGGCTTGGTCATTTTATGTAAGGACATGACACTCAGTGTCGCCATCTTTGAAAAAGAACCCTTACCCCATGGGGTAGTTCTGAGTATGTGAAAGTATACTGATATAAAAGCATCTGTGGTGTTTGTTTCTTACAGTTTAACTAAAAATGGTAACAGTCTTTTCTCGCTAGCAATGCATCTGTCTTGTTTCAGGCACAGTGTGAACATGACCATTCAAGTGAACGATTAACTATCAACTGGTGAAATAAACATTTCATAAGCATCTCCAGCCTCATTTCACAAATGTATGCTGATAGTGTTAATGTACATATTATATATATTTAGTCATTCCATGTTTACTGACCCTAATTTACTCTGTGTTTAGTCAGCACGCATGCTCAGGTTACATGGCAGAATGTGAAGCTGCCTGCTCTCTTTATATGGCAAGTCTGGGCTTCCTTTTAGATGTTTCTTCTGTACTCCCACAAAGCTTTGCTTTAACCTGGGCCGGCGCTGCCCAGAAAAGGACCAAGGGTGCTTGGAGGACCAGGAGGCTGAGACTGTCCTATGAAGTCCTAGTACTTGCTATTCGGTTTAAACTGACCAAGATCTTTTGAGGAAATTCTAGTTTAAAGAAGTGACCATTTCCTAGGTGAGTATAAGCAATAAGGAAATTGACCCTTACCAACCCAAGGTGACGACCCATATTTAAGCTGCCCTGTCATGTGAATAAACCCCAAGATGTGCTACTTAGATATTGGTTCTGAATTTGCTTTTGGGTACATCCTCAAGTACTATAAATTGTGTTTCTGGTATTCAGGTTTTAATAATCAGTGTTTAAGGCAAGTCTCCATCAAGAGTTAAATGTCATTAGGGCAGGGGAGAATTCAGGAGACAAATTCCTTGCTTCCTCACCAGAGGAACAGCCCAACAAACGGAATACCAGTTTTTTCTCCTGTCTCCTCAGGGACCATGAGAACAGAATCTTCCGACAGCATCTCACAGATGCTGGCCAGGAAGAAGAAAATGAAAGAGCTGTGCATCAAAAGAACATAAATCTTTTATTGAAAGTCACTTTATTGATGTTACAATGAGAGTAACATAGAAAACTCTGTTATCTTATTAGCTTCAGAAGTGAACACTAATAAAATTGTGCCAGAAAGTTAAACCTCAAGTTACAGTGACCTTTAAAAACAGCAAGATTTTGTTTACCTACAATATGAGAACAACTTTATAACTTGAACGGCCATAAAACAAACCACGCTTGCTCAGGAAGGCAATCACCATTTACATTTCTGTTGGTGCTTGCCGAAACCCAGGAGTTTTAAAATAGCATAAGAACCTGAAGTGCGAGCGGAGTGGCAGAGAGGAGGTTTGAATGCTGTGAATCTAAGTATATACACATGAGTACCTGGTTACTCCAAGTGAACCACACTGAGGCTATTAACACGTCCCCAAGGGGTAGCCTCTATTACCTGTAGACGGGCGTCACCCTCAGAGGCTATGAATGTGGGAAGCACTGGCAGAGACCTAATGCCACTAACATGAACTGCTCTGGTTAGGTGTGAAATTGTCATTTGGAAATGCTAGTTTGGAGGGGCAAGTCTTCCAAGTTAAAACAAAAATGCTCTGTATCCTGAAGGAACCTTTGCCTAAGCACTTTGCTGTTAGTGTTTAAAAAAAAAGGTTTCCATTAAAAAAAAAAAGATATTGAGTTATTTGTACTCATTAAAAAGAAGAACTATAGAACCACAGTTTGAAATTGTGCTGGATTAGAAAGGAAAAGTGGGGTTTCAAATCAGGCAGTGATACAAGTGTATAATTTAACAGGAACCCTTGTGTTACTCCTAAGCGTCTGAATTCAGTTCTGCACTTTCTGCATTGTGTTATCTGATAAAACTTAGCACCACTATATTTAAAGATTTGGGCTATTTGTATTATTTAAAAACTCAACCATCAGAACAAATCATGTCCTGAAATGTCCTAAGTTGAATGCAGAATATGCATACGTGCGCCTTCATACATTTAGGGGAGACTAACCTTTGTTCATAAACACAGAGCGGATGGCCTTGTGGATATGAATTTCATAAGATTGCTTCATCTCACTGTATGCCTTTTGTAAAACGAAACAGAATAAAGACATTTTGCCTGGGTTTGACTCCATGGCTGCCCGCAAATCAACACTCCCACCGTTTCCAAAGCCCCTCCCAGTAGGATACAGGTCAGTGAACAATGCAGCAGGGACGCGGCACTGGACAGTAAGAGACACAGAAAACTAATATTCCAGGAAACTGCAAAGTACCTCAGTCTGCTGTTGGCGCCCAGCACTTCCCTCCAGCATGGCCAGTGGCCATCTTGAGTTCTGCATGCTTCACGTGGATGTACACTGTGGTCCTATGCTGGGACTAAATGACCCAGGAGCTCTCAAAACTGTTGCTTATTCCCTTCCTGAGATTTATACCCTGAGACCCATTTCTTAGTGACTTTCTAGGGTGCATAATCAAACTAGCATGTGAAAAGGAAACTAAAGATAACCTCCCCTAGTCTGTATTCCTGTGGTTCTCCCAATTTCTGTTGTTAGCCAAAGAAGGCACTAGCCTGCATGCTAGGGGACATTTCCAATCAAGAGGAAAAGTCCTGCGCAGACACTGAATGGGGTGCCAGTTTGGAGTAGGAAGGCTCTAAAAGCAGCCATCAGATCCCATAGTAATGACACTGTTTCTAAGGCCGTGGATATGAAGGGCACAAATACAACGGACAGTGGTCTTTTGATTTTTTGCTTACTGACTTTAGCTGCTCCATGTTGAGGACTGACCAAACCATGACCAAAATGGGAATGGAAATACTACCTCCTGCTTTCCAAGTCTGGGGGCAATTTTATTTTGCACCTGCAGGGGTGGTAGGAAAACTCTCAGAGCTGAAAGTGCCTGCCCCATAGAACATATGCTGACAGCAAGTGCCAACAGCGACCAGCAGGGACATTTTAACAGCATGCTGCTCACACAGACAGATGGGCTGCTGCCTCGGCCAATTCTCACAACTGTCAACTGAATTCTTCACAACACAACAAAGGAGAAGTTGTTCACCCCAGTCCCTAGTTCTCTGGTACCCAGAGAAGACACCCTGCATCTGAAATCAGAGTAGGAAAGCAAGCACTCAAGCCCCAAATTAAGCCCTCTTCCACAGAAATGGCAGCTGAAAAGCTGGTAGGGTAAGAATGACACATTCATCTTGACTGCATTTGGGGGAGGAGGGCTGGGTGACAGTGGTGCCGTCTGGCTATGCAGACAGGGGTCTTGTCTTCTCCTTATTCCCTTCAGTTCCAAACTTTGTCAAATCTCTTCCTGTAGACTACAAACTGCCAAACAGCTTTCTTTCCCTTTACATTTATGCAAGGTAAAGATAATCTTACCTTCAGATAGGGATTTATTATATTGAAAAACAAGGGCCTATCTAAAGTACTGTGTCAATTTAAGGTTAAGATAGAACTATAGGACAATAGTGGGTGAAATGAATAAATGAACAAACAACTCTGAAATCCTGAAAGAAGAAAGTGCAAATAACACACTTTCCCTGGCTCAAAGGTAACCATTAAAAAAAAATCGCAAAGGGCAACAGGTGAAGTCGCTACAGAAGGCATAGGGTAGGCCAACTGACAGGACGAAGTCATGCAGCTATGCAGGTGGATGAGCAGAGGATGCGGATCTGTCCCAGAACACACAGCAGCCGCCCACCCACATTGCGGGAAGGCAGAGACTATTTAATTTTATCATCTCTGTGGCTTCTTTTAGACACACCATCAATCTTTCATACCTAAATTCTATTCTGGACTGACCTTCTGTGCAAACACTATTTTAAAAGCCTTGTAAAACAAGGAAAAGACACTGTACAATGAAATAAAGCGCCCGGGTCACACTGCTCCGAAGGCATCTCAAACCCAGGCCGTGTTTCTGTTAAAAAACCTACAGATGGGTTATTCCTAATTTAGCATCTAAGTGAGGGGCTGGGGGATGTGGCTTTGTTCAAATTTAGCCACGGAGAATTGCCATGCCACACCATCTAAGCAGCTCCCATCTCTTCCTTTCTGCAGACTGCACGTGACTGGGGTCATTCTCTATCTTGCTGACTCTGGAGTAGGGTTTCCCATCTAAGAGAAGTGGCTGGGAAGAGTTAGTCTGGTCTGTCCCTTAAGGACTCTCTGTTACTGCCAGCCTCCCCTGGTCACACAGGGGAGAGACTTAAACACTCCTTTACATGGGGATGGAAATGACCTGCTGAATGGAACATCTCAGGCATTTGGGCTATCTGCAGTCCTACTGATGCCAAGAGTATTAGAAAGAGAAAGGGCATCCAGTGACCACATCACTGCCCTTCTCTGCATAGTGATGATACCACAGTAGACTGGGAAGTATGAATATTAGTTGCATGGCTGAAACCACTATGGAGCTTCAAAGTTCCTCTTCAAAATAGGCATTTAAAAAAAGAAGTAATCACTGTGCTTTAATCAATCCCTTGAGTCTGTTCTGTCTACCTCAGTGAATGAAGTCACACTAACTTAGATGGAATGATCCATAATGCCAATATTGGTGAGTCTGCTGATACATACGTCTTGAAACCAACCACAACACTAAAGTCTGTTAATCCCAAAAACAATTCCAAGAATGCTTAAACATGGGAGATAAGATATTCAAACTAGAACATTACAGCTATTGTATTTCTAAAATCACTCTGCAAGTTAAGCAACACATTTTCATCCTGTTTCATATGTGGATGATTATAAGCAAGAGCCACCATCTCTCTCAAAAGGCACGTGATAATGATTTTAATTTTCAGTAACTTCAGGTAAAAATAATGGATGAGGAAAGGCAGGCAAGGAAACAGCTAACCAGTTCACTAGCTAGCCACTTGTGAATTCAGGGCTTACATAACTATCTATAACTACAAAGCATATTTACATGAGGCACCTTTCATTCAAAGCTATAAACTCTTCTTGTAGTCAAAATAAACCTTATATTACATTAGCCTTTTATATACTCAATACCAGAAAACATTCAGTGCACATTTAAAGTGATCTTGTTCAAAAGTCACTTCATTCCATCTGTCGCCCGTCTGTCCTTCCATCATTACCTTAAGCTATGTGGAGACATTGCTCAACTCATCCATGCTTGTCTGAGACTGTTTTATGGAGTCATCAGCAAACTCTATCCTTTCCTGTCACGATAAACGCTGTTTTCACTGTATAACTTTGTCTTTTTTTTTTTTTTTTTTGGTTTTTTCGAGACAGGGTTTCTCTGTGTAGCTTTGCGCCTTTCCTGGAACTCGCTTTGGAGACCAGGCTGGCCTCGAACTCACAGAGATCCGCCTGCCTCTGCCTCCCAAGTGCTGGGATTAAAGGCATGCGCCACCACCGCCCAGCTAACTTTGTCTTCTTAAATTGGTTTTCTAACGTCTTCAAAGTGTTTCAGCAGAGTGGGCCATTACAAAAGACATAAACTGAGTTTGCCACTGCCTTCTAATCTGGTCCTTCAGTTTGGGCACTTAAGACAATTCTACACAGAGATGAAACAAATGGTGTCCCTGGACACTTGTGGAAGAAATCAAATGCAGAGTACATTTTTGAGGTCTTGTCTGATGATTCCATTCCTCACATAAAACAGCAAGGAAAAGTGGGAAGCAGGGGGAGAAGTATATTCCACAGCAGACCATATGATTGAGCCTATCAATTTCACATCTCACTAGAGTGGCTTTGTTTTTGAGTGATAAAATTGCATTAGAACAGCTTTTAACTTTTTCATTTTAAATGGCAAGATTTCACAGAGAATACTCATTTTTTAATAGATCAAAATGTATAGGGCTCAAAACCCCTGGCTTCTTCCCCTGCAGGTTAATGGTCCCCTCTGCGGTCACTGCCTCTATGTAGCCTTAGATTCTCTTCATCTTTTACGCCCTGCTGAGTCTTCTATCCGCCATCTTGTTCAAAGTCAGCCAGAATGACCACTGATGATAAATGCATTAAAGTTGTGAAAACAGGTCACTCCTTTCACAGATAAGAATGGCTGAAAGGCTTCTGTTAAGGAACCCAAATTTCAGGCCAGAAAGGGCTCAGGTATTGGCCAGGTGAAGCTACCCACTCAGTGATCTGTGTCTTTGGTGCATCCGACCAATCTCAGCAAGACACTTTGTGGAGGGGAGGGCACTCCTCGGCCTCCAGGTAAGGTCAGCTGATGTGCCCTGGTACTGAGTGGCTACTGTAACAGGAACCATGTGTCCTAGATGTGGAATAGACAGGCTAGCAGATTCCCAGAGAGCCTGTCAGCTCCAGTGTGTCCTGAGGCTGCAGGATGAGCATACATCTAGATGCCACCTTCAGCAAGATGCAGAGGCCAGACGTTTGTATGAGCATTTTGATCTCTTACTCAATAAAACCTCCTCCAGATTGTATACACTTTAAAGGGGAATCACAGTTACAGAAAGATACTTTTACAGCATTGACCACTATATTTACGACATCATCCATTTACACTCCGAAGACCGCAGGATGAAGGACAATGATAGAATTGTGACTGACTGTTTTTAGGCATTTGGCAAAATACACTTATGTGTAACAGTTACTTTTTAAATTTTAAAAATGTTTACATATGTACAGTTGTCCTTGTATGCTAATATAAATATGAAAAGTAAAAAAAAATAAAAATACATGTTTAAAGTTAGCATATGGGTATTGGCCTCTCAAAGCTGTACAGTCCTGCTACCTGCAGAAAAATTCTATATGCCTTAGCCCTGCATGCTAGTTTCTATTATGGGATGTTGTTTCCTTGTATATGGAAAACAATAAACAGAAGCTTCATGCATATGGCATTACTGTTTGCAATGAGGATGTGTTTCAGAATGCCCAGTTCTGAATCCACTTCTGTCCCTCAGGAAAACCTGCTACATTTGGGTCATGTGAGTTAATTTTATTGATATTCTACATATATCTGTCATGCAGATGATCCATGAACATACCAATAGCAGACCATAAATGGTTCCGTGTTGTAGTGTAACATTCCAGTAGCTCTTTTTACCGTTTGGTTAAACCTTAAGCCAATGACAAAAAGAAAATAGCATCCAGGTATGACCCGTGGCTTCCTTGCCTCTGGCGTCTCAGAGGGCCTTCAAATTGTCTGAAGAGCAGAGAGAGTTGCAGTGATTCTGGGTGGCTGGGTTTCTATAAAAGTTGAAGTAAACAGTTTCGATGTGGCACATGTAAACAGTTGTTCTTAAATGGATGTCTCCCATAGCTGCAAACAGAGGAAAGCCAAATCATACACGGTGATGGAAGAAAGCAGACATTCTGAGCTATGAGAAAGGATTCTAACCAAACTTAAGTAGCTGTGGTGCGTGCTCTCGTCTAATAAAGGGATAAAAGAAACACACATATTTTTAGCATTTTCTTGCGTGTGTTGTGGGCCATGCATCTGAGTGTGTGTGCCCATGTAAGGGCAGGAGGCCAGACGAGGGCTTTGGGTCTCTACCTCTAGTACTCCCCATCTCATTTCCTTGGGACAGGGCATCTCACCGGCCAGGGAACTCCTGGAATTCACCTGTCTCTGGCCTCCAGTGCTGGCTCTGTAGGTACATACATCATACTCAGGTCTGCATGCCTCCACAGCAAATCCCTTGCTCACTAAGCCATCTCCCAGATCCAATATCAACCATTCTAACAATTGCTACCTTTTGATAAAAAACGAAAAGCCTCCCACATCCTCATTCATGTTACTTAAAATCTTGAATAAACATCATGTCTCTCAGATTAGAGATTTTAAAATATTGTTTTTAAGCTGCCCATTTCCTTTATTTTCTCCAGTATACTGCCAGCTAGAACAGCGATTCTCAATCACAGCTTTGCAAACCTATCTGCAGAAAGGTGTGTGTGTGTGTGTGTGTGTGTGTGTGTGTGTGTGTGTGTGTGTGTGTATGCACATGTTCATGTGTGTGCACATATGGGGGGTGCACATGCATATGCATGCCTGTGCATGTGGAGCTGAGAGGCCAATGTCAAGTGTCTTCATACATGATTCTCCACTTCATTTTTTGCGATGGAGTCTCTGAACTTGGGGCTCATGGGTTTGGCAAGTCTAGTGGGCCAGCAGCCTCCAGGCTTCCCCCCTGCTTCTGCCTCTGCCTCCTCAGTACCGGGATTATAGGTATTTACCACCACATCTGGCCTTTTACATGAGCACTGGAGACTTGAACTGAGGTCATCATGCTTGCACAGCAAACACATTCCCAGCTGAGCCATCTCCTCAGTCCTGATATGCAAAAGTTTTAAAATCCACACCAATTAAATAAAAATCTCACTGGTGGGGTTTAGCTTTAAAATATTTTGGAGCTTTTCAAACAATTCCCATGCACAGCCAAGGCTACGAAGCTTGGCTCCATCAGTACAAACACCATCCCCATAAACATTACTGTGGGCCCATGATCAGGCCATGACCTTTCCTATCACTGACTCCTATAAGACTGTTCCCTAGGAGCTGACATGTTAGAGTGGAAGGATGCATGCCTCTCCATCCCTCCCTCTTCTTTGCTTCTACTATCAATTCTTTATAGTGGGGCTGGCCAGATCTGCTTTGTGCAGTAATTGCCTTCATGGACTGCAAACAACTTTGGTACACTCAGACAGGCACCTCAGTTCACCAGACAAGGGGCTTAATTTTTAAAAGTCTGCCAATGAAATATATTGCCAGTCTATAGGACTCATACAAATATTTTGTATAAGACAAAAAAAGTATGATTAGAGTGGCTCAGCTTATGTTTACCTTCCATCCAAATCCCATTTTAACAGGATATATGAGCTATTTCATGGCATGTAAATTTGGGGGAAAGAAAAGGAGACAACATGATTAGTATTTCTTTCCTGTTTTGTTTTGTGAGACAGAGTGTCATGTAGCCCAGGTTGGCCTCAAACTCACTATGTATCTGAGGCTTGCCTTAGTCTCCTGACCTCCTTCTACCTGTCAAGGGCTTTAGTCAATGGCACCGTAGTTGAGTTAAGTATATCTTTCTAGGTAGGTTACTTTAACATGCTCACCCAAACCTTCCTGGAATTCTTGTTCTAACAGAAATTGTAGCATACTCCACAGGCATGGAAAAGCCACTTGAGCTCCCTACCTCAGGCCAGGTTTATATATCTTTACTATTAAACAGATCTACACTGGAGCCGGAGAGATGGGTTAGTGGTTAAGAACACTTGCTGCTTTTTCCTTCCAGAGGACTGGAACACCCATTTCTCCTGGGGGAACTGTCATTTTCATGAGTTCTCATATGTCAGCATTTCTAATAGTCTACACTATGCCATGGTGACAGCTGAGAGAACACCCCCAGCTTGATGGAGCAAAACAATGATGTAGACAATTTACGTAGAAAAGACATGAAGTGCTAGACTTCCAGCTCCGAGGAGAAGGGAAGGACAACAGTACCTTGCTTATCACACAGCACATCACAAACAACTGGATTTCTATTAACAAAGCCTGAAAATTGAGCTCTGGGAATCTGAGTTTGTTGTGGAATATTCCTTTCCACTGTGTGAAGATGTGTCACTGTGATTGGTTTAATAAAAAAGCTAAACGGCCAATAGCTAGGCAGAAGGTATAGGTGGGACTTCTGGACAGAGAGCTCTGGGAAGAAGGTGGAGTTGCCAGCCAGACATGGAATGACCAGGGCATGATGGAGATAAGGTAATGAGCACGTGGAAGAATGTAGATTAAAAAATGTGGGTTAATTTAAGTTAAAAGAGCTGGTTAGAAACAAGCCTAAGTTAAGGCTGAGCTTTCATAATTAATAAGTCTCCATGTCATCTTTTTTGTGAGCTGGTGGCCCAAAAAGAAAAGTCCATTTACATGAGTTATTCTTCAATTTCATCTTACATCATTTCCAGCATTGACATGCTGAAGGAGTTTTCACAATGAACAAAATGTCGTTTCTTATTTGTATAGACTTTGTGATTGCTGTATTTTTTTTTGGTGTTTTTGTTTGTTTGTTTGATGGTGGTGGGTTTTTATTGTTGTTATTTTACTGGCCCTGGGTTGATCAAGCCAAAGTATAAATGACCAACATTACCTTGAGCCCCATAATTTTGATTCAGGATCTGTGAGGCTCTAAGACACCTTCAGATACTAAAATTCTCAGAACCCTGTGCTGGATAAATCTGTGGAGGCTGCAAAAGTTTCACCTTTTGACGTAACTGGCCATGAGAGGTCTGGACATCAGTGATTATTCTTTCGGGTTCTGAGTTTCACTGAAACCTCTGAGGGCTGGTCTGACTTTCCAAATTCTACTTTATACCAAACTTCACAGAATGAATGCACTGGCGGAATGTTGTGCAACAGGGTATACTGACTAAGACGTAAGAGGGATTTAATGTTTAAATAGAGTTTCTGGTAAATTATGTTTTTATCATAAAAATGAGTATCTCCATATTTGTTTTTGAATTTGGCTTTCTGGGGCCAGGAAAGATGGCTCAGTGGCTAAGAGTGTCCCATGGGAGGCAGCTCACAACTGCCTGCAAATCTAGCTCCAGGAGACCCAGTGATGCCCTCTTCTGGCCTCCATGGGACCCACACTCATATGCACATATCCTCACACACATGTTCACATAATTAAAAACAATAAATATAAACCTTGTTAAATTTTTGAATTTTTGGAGGCCATAAGTACAGCTCAGAATTAGAGCATTTTTTTTTCTATCAAGGTAGCAAGGCACTGGGATTAAATCCTCCTTACCACAAAACTAAGTTGATTTAAAAAAAATAGAAAATTCTGTTAAATTTTACAATACACTTTGTAGTATTCTTTCAATATGACAGGTTTCTTCAAATATTTTTCCTTGCATATAAATTCTACCCTTGGTACTAAGACACTAATGTGGTTTTCTGTCATAGATTCCTGTTTCTGAACTCCTATTAAATTGTAAAAAGCCAGCGAGAGGCCTGAGCAATCAGACTGGACATAGAGAGAGAACTAATTCACTTAGTCTCTAGAATTCCAAGGCAGGGGTATTAAAAAAGATTTTTCAGAGCCTCATAAAGCAAAATACATCCTTTTTTTCAAACCTAGAGTTGAGTAAAATAATAATGAAAAATAAAGACGTAAGTATATAGTAATAGGCCAGGCGTGGTGGCACATGCCTTTAATCTCAGCACTTGGGAAACAGAGGCAGGTGGCTCTCTGGGTTTGAGACCAGCCTGGTCTATGGAGTGAGTTCCAAAACAGCCAAGGCTATACTGAGAAACCTTGTTTAAAATATATATATGTGTGTGTGCATGTGTGTGTGTGTGTGTGTGTGTGTGTGTGTGTGTGTGTGTGAATATATATATATTTTTTAACCAGGCATAATGGTGCATGCCTGTGACTCCAGCACTCAGAATGTTGAGATGAGGATTCTCACGAGTTTGAAAACAGCTTGGGCTACATAACAAAATTCTATCTCAAAAAAGGGGGGGGGGATATATATAAAAAGTAAGATCAAAGATAACCAATAACAACCAAGTATAAAGCATGTGGGAATTTCTGTGTACCCTGGCACTCTGCCGGTTCACTGTCTTCTCCTCATCAGGAAGTGGAGGCATCGGATATGGGTATTTTCTGCTGGAGGCAATAGACCCAGTTGATGAAGAAGGAGACTTGGCAGGAGACAGGGTCCTGAGATGTCGAGAACATAAGAAATAAATATCATGTCATGCCTGGTATCACTTTTCAAATATCTAAAAAGCAGATTCAGAGCAAGCCCCCTGACATCTATGTTCACTAAGTATCTACAGCAAAGCTTTCACTACTGGGGAGATAACTGTCATTGTGAAATGGAATGCTGTGATTTTGACTTCCTAATCCACAACAGCGATGGAATGTCTAACTGGTACTACACAGATCATTCTCTTAAACTACAAAGCCAGTAATGAAATTTCATTTACAATAAAAAGGTAACATGGAAAAGGGGAAAATATTCTAAGAGCTCATAACAGTAAATTAAGTAAACAGCATATTGACATTCTACTTTATTTTACCCCTTAAAATGCTTCTCTAAGTATAATAACCTCAAAATAAAATCTTGAAGCATAAACCACAGATATATTCATTGGTTGCTAAGTCATACTCTACACAAAACTCATGCATTCCGAGGCCCATGTGTTAGTTGTGAAGAACAAAGGAAAATACAAGGGTTTTAATATCAAATTAGTAAACATGCAAGCGGTAAGGAGTGCAGAGTTCCAGCCAAACAAAGTCTGATGGGAACATACAAAAATGGTCCACTTCCTCCCTAGCTCGGCATTTCTGGAAGCAGCAGCAGTCTTACACTGAAGTGGTTTGATGTTCCTATTACAACTGCAGCACTTGTGACTGTGCTGAGCACGCTAGGAGAGCCATGGTTGCCCCTAGTTTATGTGTGAGAGTTCGGATGCGAACCCATTGAACTGGTTAATCAAGTCCTCCATGGCTTTTCTAAGATGCTGAATTCAATCTAACACTTGAAGATGCTTTTTCCTACATACTCTGAGATCTAGATAAACATTCTTAATTGATTTTAAAAATCAGGAGTGGCCCCACTCACTTTTAAACCTTATCTCCTAATGCTCCTTCTGTTTTTTAAAATTACTCAGGGTGGCTCCCTACCAGGAACTGCTGCAAGGCAGCCAGAAAGCTACTAGGCTTCTCTTATGCTGATGCTCTCCATACTGGAAAGGTGGAAGTAACTAAGAGTAATAGTATTTCAATTTCTCTTCAGTTCTAAAAGAGCAACACACTGCTACATCTTGTATATGTGTGTGTGTGTTTGTGAAGATGTGCATGTGCATACAAGTACATGTGCACAGTGTATGCTGTGTATGTAGGGCAGAGGGCTCTCTGGTATTGCTCTTCAGACACAATCTACCTTATCTTTTGAGACTATGTCTCACAGGCCTAGGGTTAAGCTAGGTTGCCTGGCCATGAAACACCAGGGATTGGACTGTGCCTATCTCCCCAGACCTGAGATTTCAAATACAGGGCACCATCCCTAACTTTTTTTATGTGCGTTCTGGGGGTGGAACTCATATTGCACAGACAGTATGCTACCAAAGAGCTCCTGATACATAAATTTAAATTTAAAATTAAAAGGTTTTTTAAAGTAAATTAAAAACAAATAGGACCATGGTTGTTAGGAAACAGACTCAATATGTATAAAATGAGTGTAAAACTTGCATGCAGATGCTTCTAAAAATGAACCTGATTCAACTTTTTAGCCAAATCATTATGAGATTTAAAAGAATCCAAGTTTAGGAAAGGTGGTCAGATATACAACCAAATCTTATTTACTCTAAGGTCATGGAAGCTAAATTCTCATTTTTGTTTACTGCAGCGTGTGTGTGTGTGTGTGTGTGTGTGTGTGTGTGTGTGTGTGTGTGTGTGTGTGTTCATAGCATGAGCTGTTGTTGGCTTATAATGTCATAGCCACATCAGCCTTAGCTTGACCATGGGCTCAAATGACCAACACTGCACACTCAAAACCATTCCAGTGCGAGGTGGCTAAGCACCCAGTCTTGCTCTGAAGCATCTTCACATGGGCACAAACAATAGTGAGTTAAAACAAAACAAAGCTGGAAGTGTTCTTCAGAACCCCACAAAAATGGCTCTGCATGACTTCTCACAGCAGAGCTTTGGGGAATTTATACTTTGGACCCTGAAGGGAAGAAGAGAAACCAAGCCAGACATTTCTAGTGGTGGAAAGACAGGAAACAGATTCTGGTGGGTGGATGGAAAAGCCCAGAGCAGCGATGAAAACGAAGGGAGAGAACAAGGCAGGGTCAGTTAGTTTTGGGAAAATAAACTGACGATCTGTCACAACTGCCGGAGGAGGGCCTTCAATTCTAATCTGGCTTCCATTTGGCCAAGAGTCAGCCAACCTCATTCACTTACAAAGCAACATGAATTTCTGGATTCTAAATATTAGCCATTTATCCTCATGACATTTTTTTTTTTTTTTTTGGTTTTTCGAGACAGGGTTTCTCTGTGTAGCTTTGCGCCTTTCCTGGAACTCACTTGGTAGCCCAGGCTGGCCTCGAACTCACAGAGATCCACCTGGCTCTGCCTCCCGAGTGCTGGGATTAAAGGCGTGCGCCACCACCGCCCGGCTCCTCATGACATTTTTAAGAACCATAATAATGACAGTGGGGGCACCACAGGATTAGGTAACGAAGGTGTGCTTGTCTACCAGGGGACTGTGATGCGTCTTGGGACTATAGCCGACTAACAGGGCTTCTTTTTAAAGACAGGCCTGCAAAGCAAGGAGGAGGACAAAGAGCCACTCCTTATTCACTTGGGTTCACATGCTAATTTTACAGTAATCTGCTCCAGAAGGATTGAAGTGTCCTGGGTCAGGATGTAAGCTTCATACCCTCTACAGCAACCACCAAGAAATGAGAGGGAACAGATTTGTGAGTCAGGGCATCAAGCTCTAGCTCTGCTTCTGACATTCATGAGATGTGCTACTTTGGGTAACTCTTCGCATCCCAGTTTCCTCCATCTACAGAAAGGAGCCAAGAATGCCTACCTCTTGTGATGTGAGAAATAGAGCAGGCATTTGACACCCTTAGTTTCTATAATTCTCTTGCAGAGTCAATGTGGTTTCCATAGATCATGGAAATGGACTTTAAAATGCTGATGAAATGAATAATCAATTGGATAGCACTCAAGAGCATGGACACTTTCCAGGGACGTGAAAGGCAGAGGTCACCACTAAGGGTGGCAATCAATGATTTTCTCTGATCTCACCTGCACTTTTCCAGTGGCCTGAATACATTGGGAGCACAGTTAGGGCAATCACTGTCATATGGGAGCACAGCTGAAGCCCTCCTGCGGGTTTTGCAATATGTCCTTGTAGCTCTGGGATACTACATTTTCATTGGCAAACCAGTTTGCTGCTGTCACTAATTCTCCACTACATGTTGGTAAGAATGTCACACCCCCACATGGTGTTTAAGAAGGTGACCTGTGTCCTCATCTGTGGGTTCTGTCAAGGGAGCTCAATATAGGGTTGGTGAAGTCCAGCCTAGGTGTGAACACACTTAGGCCTATGCGAGGGTTGGTTTGGATGAAGAGAGAATGCTCTCTGTTGTGTCAAAATCATGGTGCTCAGAGCTGGGGCTTATCTTAATTATTCCCCACTGCCACTGAAATCCAGTTGATCTCCAAGTCTTACCAGCACAACTTTTATTAATCAAAAAAGACAGTAAAATCACAACCATCCACGAACTTTACCATTTAAATGAAAATGTAGATTTTTTTGTAATTAATTCCTAATGTGACTCTGTGCTGCAGGTACTAACATCTCTGATTAAAAGATGAGATAAAGGAACCCTCTCGAATTTCCCTCATAGCTTGGCTCGTGCAACCAGGGGTGCTGAAGCATTTCCCCATCCAAATGGTGGTCAGCCAGGCAGCTTCTGGGCAGACTCGGGGGTGGGGAACTGATTTTAAAAACTGGGGACTCTCTTGAGTTACATCAACTCCTCAGCTCACCCAGGGCAGGTGCATAGACTCTTCCGGGGTACCATTTCATAAATTACTACTATATAAATGCTGTCAATTTAGAAATAAAAGTCCTGACTTATGTAGGACCAAACTCATTCTGTTTTGGTTCCATGGATGGTACAAGTTACAATCTGCCCAAAAGCCTGATAAAGAGAAAGAAAGAAAAAAATAGGACTGCAGGTGAGCCAAGACTCCAAATAACATCCAAAGCATCTTACCTGTCTTCTTGATGCTGGCCATCTTGGGAGCTACAGGTGAAGGTGGGATTGTTTGAATGTAAGTGTATGTGTAAATGCGGTTCAATGTGGGGAAGTGTTGGAGAAGCAGAGGGCAGGGAAGGAGAGGAGCATGGGCTGTAAAAGCAGGATATATTTTCGTGAGCAGGCAGGGGTTATGCTTTCCCTTGGGGTATATGCAAAAGTTATGGATCAAATTAAAATGCAGGTAGGTCTAATCATTTTCTCAAACTACACATAACTAAACTGAATGGTACACTGGAAGAGAAAGTCCACCTTATATGGGTGCTGAGAGTTAAATATACGTGGCATATTTTCATATCCGTTCAGTGCTGACCCAAGTTATGGCAATAAGGAGCACGAAAACTCAAGCTGTGCTCGAAAGGGGCAGTGACTGAGTCTCTATTTCCTCTTCGCATTAGCTTTCCACAAAGTAGTCAGATATGAAGTGGGCATTTACCTCTAGGTAATCATTTACATTATAAAGAGTGGGGAGACGCCATCCAGAGGCTGCATGGGAGATTTTCTCTGATTTGTAATACGCGCTTCAGGGAACTGGGGAAATGGATTGCTTTAGAACGTAGGAAGTTCTCACGGCTAGTCGAGTGCTTTCTATCTGCTTCCTGCTTTTGAAACATGGAAGTCCTCTACTGCTTTGTTAAAACTTTATAGACTACTCTTCTCAGCACAGCCCCAGTGCTAGCAAATGGCTCTATGGGACAAAGAAAGTTAAGCTCACTGCGTGCTACCATAATAATATCTCACTGTTTTCCAGTTCCATCAAATCATTGTTTCTGCTTGAAATAAAATTCCAGTTTATTTTCTTTGCATGTTTTTCTATGCACTATGCACTCTTAGATAATAAGCAGGAAAAATATATTATGAAACTTCTAGACTATGGAAATTAAATTGTTGAGGTTAATAGTGCTTCTTTATTAGTGGAAGGTATGTTTCATGCCCATAGAACACTACACAGCATAAAATGAAGAGGAAGCTACTAAAAAGCTCAAAGAGGTGACAGGGACATGCACTAAATGGCAACCCTTTCAAATGGCTTCATTTGAAACACTGAGAAAAGAACTTGACTCGCTCAGGAAGCCCAATCACATCAAAAGGCAGAAAATGAACGAGCCCCTTTCCACCTACAGGAACTTGTATTAGGAGATACAAGAGAGAGCGAGCCAGTCACACTACAGTACGTGTATGCGCTGGGCAAGTGTGGAAGGAGGGTAAGTTAATTTATCAAGTACCTACAGTACGGTCCTTCAGTGTTTCTATTCACATCTTCTACCCACATAGCTACATTACAGGCTCTTTTGAACCATGGGTTTAAATACCTGCGGGAAGCAATGGAGGGACAAAGAAAGCAGAACAAGATAGAAAATCTGAAAATACACAGCACAAGCTTAGCCATGATGTTTTCACCCTCCAAATGCAAGTGACTACGGCAAATAAACCAGGATGGACACCGGGCGACTGTGAGGCAGTCTACAGAATGGCATGGAAATAATCTCAGCTACAAGGCACAAGGCATTCTACAATGTATTACACTTCTAGGAAAGCCTCTTCCAGTGGCTTCTCACTGTCAGTCAGAAACTCTTTTTTGATCATCAGTCTCATGAACCCACCTCAAAAGCAGCTTTTTTCCCAAGCCACTTCTCAGCTGGCTCCTTGGTTTTCAAATAATATTGGTGCTTTTTGAAAATATTCAGAGTGGCTGTAATTCCAATCTGGAATTTAGGCACATAAAACCTCAAGACAATTTAAAGGAGCCAAGTTCTCTTTATAGGTTAGAAATGTTTTTTACACAACCACTGTTTTACTCTCTCTGAGAGTCTAAGAAGGAGTCAACCTGAAGTGCTCTCCACTTGGCTTCTGTAAGGAGCAGACAGAGTTCTGCACCACGATCCCGGAGCCCTCAAGCACATTCACTACAGTTCAAGTAGGCCTCCACGATCTTGACTTAGTGATTTCATTGAAGCCCCGCCCCTTCCTCCTCTTTGTCACTCCAGACTAAAATGTGCCTGATGGCTTTAGGAAACAGCCCTCAGAAGTTGCTTTCCAAAAGAATGGCTGCCAGAGAATAATGCCAGCATCTTCCTGACGGGTCTGGCAGCGGCACCACCGAGACGGCCGTGCAATCTCAAAGGCAGGAAAACTGGAGGTACAGTTGTTGCTTTCCATGGAGCTTCTTTGAGTTTTATTGTGGAGCCAAGCAAAAACACATCCCCTTAGGATATTTGCTCTTATAAAACAACATTAATTTAACAATCTCAGCATTGGAAGAATTTGGAGGTTTTACTGGACTTGCTCATCTAAAAAGTAGCTCCATGGTACTGTAGTTAATGAAGATCCAGTTTATATAAGATTTGGAAACAAATCTGGTGAAATTATAAAACATATTAATTTTTAGTTAAGACTTGTTTCTTTCCTCCATATATAGTCTTTGAGTTATTTATAAATATATTTAAACCAAAACTACTATATTTCCAGTTATACTTAAAAACCAGATTATTTCTCCACAGCCCTTTCCCTCATTTTGAGCCATTAAGAAAGCACTCTGGAAATAAAAATTTTGATTCCACCCTGAAAGAAGGGTTCCGTTGATTTTTATGCTTATAAGACCATTTTTGCTAAGATACATCTCCCGGTTCAGGAAGAACTCACATTAGTTTTGCCTTTAGCCACAACCATTGCCAACTTGCACTTTTCACAGAGATAGCCAATCAAAATCTGCGTGAACATTTCCAGTGGGACTTGGAACAGAAAGAAAAAGTCCAAGAGCAAGTGCAGCCGCTGATGAAGTGAACGGCCTCAGAACAACTACAGGAAAAGCTCATGCAGCGTTGTCGGGAGAAACACTGCCACACAGCAAACTCAGTTTCCCACAGGCAGGAAGCGACTTCCTGGGGGAGACCTTTGTTCCTTTCACTGACAATCTCGGAAATTCAAAGGACAGGTGCTATGGCTGATCCACAGAAGTTCCAAACATAAAGTTGGACTTGCACGTGATGGACCTTTGCCTCTGTTTCAGTTCTGTGCTGTAGAGCTCTGGGGGTCTGGCATGGTGGCTAGAGCGATGGGCCTTTAGGAGACTACAATAAACCTGTCTATTTGGCTTGACTTAGCGAGACTTGTTAGTGCAACATGCAAAAAAAAAAAAAATGCATTGGACAGGATAGGAGAACCTCTTCATGTTCTCCAGGATGGAAAGCCAGAGGAAAATCAGCTGCTGCTGACCGGGTCAGGAACACCACTGAGCTGATATAGGGCTCAGTCAAAGATCAAATGACCCTGCTCTCAGCCAAGGAAGGGACTTTGAGGGAGATTAAGTGGCAGCCCAGAGTGAGGGGGCAAGTGGAGACTGACCTGTGATCCAGACTCCCTGTCTGGGGGCTGTCAGAGCCCCCTGGGCTTATGGCTTGGGATGGGATTGTCTGGGCGAGGGAGTGCCCAGGCTCAGGAGCTTGGGGCTCCCTCCTGTAAAAACACAATATATAATACAAAGTCTAAGCCAAAAAAAATTATTTTTATATTGTGAACAACAACAAGGAAGATGCAAAATCTTTGAGTGGGAAAACAATATAACCAACAAGGACAGTTAGTGTTTTGCTTTTTAATTTATGGAGCATGCATTGGTGCTGCATGTTTTAATCCGGGCCCCAATTTTTCATCATCCTTTAGGATAATGTGGTTCTAAAGGGGGATGATCAAATAACAAACCTGAAAAAGTTCTTATTATGAAAAAAAAGATATGCTTCCTGTGGCCATTCTTCTCCTTGCATAGTTATGTAAAAGGTAGTATTATATTATAACCAAATGGTATGACTTATATAGAGAAAGTATAAAAAGTTGCTAACATAATTCTTGATATACTATATATCAGAAATTCATATTTTCAGAAGTAAATAAATGTGTACGCATGTATGTATAGACAGTTCCCATACAAGAAAGTTTCTGAGCATGGATGGTCAGCTTCACAAATGTGGCTCCAACTAATTAACATGAATCATTCAGCCAAATTCAGAAAATTCTGGAAAGTCTGAGGGAACCTTTCTTCTTGACTGAAAAACTTCTATTATACCATCACATTAAATATTAGAACTTAATTATATCACAGGCAAGATTTCTTAAAGGCTATCCACAATATAATTTTATCATGTGATATGAGTAGAATTTTATACATTTTAAAAATAAATGATTGCCCTAGAAAATATTTTATGATTATTAGTGAATATCAAATGTTCTCTGGGTCCTGATCCCATTGCTTTAATATGCTGCTGAAGTTTTTTTCTCCTTAGCAGCTGTCAAAGTCTAGTCATAGAAATACTAAACACTCCACAAAGGAAGTTCCAAAGAACATTTCACAATTGTAGCTGTAATCTTATGAGCAACCAGGATAAGCTGAGGAGTCCTCTTACCAGGTGGCCTCATGCAAAACAAACCAAATAACATTCCAGGAAGAGTTTATCTGCAGTGAGCCCTAAAGCACCCAAGCACTTTGGGAATGCAGAAGATAAACTCTAGTAGATTAGTTATTCATGATGGAGGGCTATGATGCCATTCTGGACCATGCAATGGTATCACTTGAAATTGCTATTATCTCTAAGATAAAAGTATCCTCTAATAAATGTTGATAAGCCACTTACAAGACAATACCATTCAGGTGGAAGGTCCAAATTTCAGGGCAATGTTATTACTCCTAGACTGAAAAAGGCAGGGTATATGATGGAGAAGCTAATGTAAGTTTCTAACAAGCAGTTAACAAACACCTGCTACTCAGACTTTTTAAGTAACACAGAGATCCTGAGAACAACTACTGGTGGAGTGAGACATGAGCAGAAAATTTCAGGCGTCTTGGAAATGGCAAGGGTAATTATAATTTCTTCTAGTGGCCAGGTCAGTTGGAAAGAATACTAAGGGTGCGCTTTACCCTATGAAGTGGGGTAAGGGTTTGTGGAGGCAATGCTTTGCTTGCACTTTCTCAAGTGAAGAAAGAAACACCACCAAAAATTGCATGACGCTTACTTCATTATAAAGGACTTTAAATGTAACTTTCAACCCCACTTTAAAATCAGGCTATCATTTAAAACAGTTAAGGTGGCATTAGTGACAATGATTCCGATAAAGAGCAAGTTTAGGTAAATGGCCTTTTAAACGTCCTCAAGAGGAAAACTTCAAAGGGAAGCCCTTTCCATTAGTCTGAGAGAATGCTTAGAAAGCAGCCATGGAGACCCCAGAGTGGTGGCTTCAGACTGTGAGCATTGGCATGCTCTAACACAGTGAGGATTCTCCCTAGTGCTTCCAGGGGAGAGGAAGGGTGACCCTTTGAAATGGTTGGACCCCAGTGATGAGAAGAAAAGAAAGCTATCATAATTCCCTTCAAAGAAAACCAAAACACCACAATGGCAGGAGACTGGAGGAAAAAGCCCGCAGCAAGGGTGAGACCCCCACTATCAGTGAATATTGGTATGGGCACAGTTGCGGAGATGCCTATGTAAAAGAGAAAAGCCAAGGTTAATTTTCATAGGGCAAAGAGAATTAAACAGACAAAACCAAGTCCTGAGGCATGGTAGGTGACTCTTTGACTATCTGCTTAATTAACAGTCATCACTAATAGCACACGACCTTCAAATGCCTTTCCCATTAAATGTACAACTTACTCAGTTGAATTAGATCGAGGTCTAAATCTTTTGCCTCTGATTTTCTTTTTGTTGCCTCCCAGGTTACCTGAAAAAGAGCATTTACAGCTAAATTTTCATATGGATACATAATTGCTTTGTGCATAATTACATGGTGCTCGTAATGGATGTAATTTATTACCAGCATTGCCTCCAAATGTGGGCCTCTGTGCAACTGCATGACCTTCCAATGTTTCCTACCTATTTAGCTACTAAAGCCACAATTTCCCATCAAGAAAACTTCAAAGAACAACAAAAACCAACAGCTGGTCTCTCATTCTAAACCTTTTTGTTGAGAGAAGAGCTAAATTGCTCATAGGAAAGAATACATCCATAGAGGGACCCAGAAGACAGATCTTAGATTCTGAACACTGTTGACTACCTTGCCAGGAGTTACTTCGAGGTCTCCCATTTTCACAGATGTCTGAAATATGTTTTGTGTCTGGAATCCTTTCACTCCAGGAATGAGAGAGTCCATTTGACCTGAAAGTAGAAGTATTTACATATTGTTCAAAAATATAACCAAATAAATATTTTGGAATCACTAAGCAAAATTTGTAAGCATTACTGTACATTAAATAAAACAAATCAATAAAAAATCTGAAATGAAAGAATGAAGAAAACATGAAAGTCTTCATGAAGAAGGCAGAATTACACAACATTCAATTTAAGAAAAGTCAAATACAATGGAACCCCATTACAATAGTCATAAATGGAAAAGTAGCGGGATATAATGCAAGCCAATTTACATTCTCCAGAACACAGCAACCAGGGAGCAAATTCAGCAAGTATTACAATCATATAACCCCAGCAGCAGGGTTATAATGGGGTCCCACCATAGATGTTTCTTAATTGTAAAGCAATGATTTCCATTCAAATATTATGAGAACATGGACTTTTAAGAGATTACATAAAATTTGCCCAACTGAACCTGATTAATTTTATGAAAGTAATACCCAATTAATAAAATTATTATCTGAGAGTTGGTATTTTTCTACACAAATATGCCTCCAATGAATATAATGCATGTCAGTTAACTGTCCAATAATTGAACTGAATCAGTTCTTTATCATGGAGATATCTCTCACAAAGCCCATGTACCATTGAGCCCTTCTGCTATTTGTATCCTACTATTATTAAATGAATTAGGTATAAGAATCAAAATTAATACACCTACCTTACATCATAAAATGAAATTTCATAATGAAAAGAATGTGACAAACCTGGTCTGGAGCCTAATAATTTGATATGCTTTTGACTGATGAGAACCTATTGTACAACTTCCCAAAATCTGGGGATTAGTCCTGCACATTATAAAGCTCCTTATTAGGAACTGTAGAAACAGCACTATGCTTAAGCCACTGTCCTTTGAATCACTCTGGTTAATTACTAATAATATCAACTTGAAAAGGAAGGAATCTCCCAACTGAAAGCAAACAGAACTTGGCACAGTTAATACATACTACTTTCCTATGTTGGAACTTCTTCAACATCATTTTCTAATGACAAAGTCATTCGTATTTTGTATGAAAGGCCAATGAATGTTCCTAGAACTCACTGATTTCTCCACTTTTTACTGCTATTTAATTTAAAATTCCATATTTGACCAAGCAAATATTTATATCAGAGCATGCCAGTAGATCCCCAGTCACCCTCTCTTAGCCAACAGGTCCTCGATAATAAATTAAAAGAGTAACTTTTATACTCTATAAAGTGTATGCTGTATCATATACTACCAGGCTCAAAACCAGCACTACTTTTGTTTTGAGTTCAGTTAGCTAAGAAATGTGTTTAAGAAAGTTCCCAGTGACTAACTGTTGTGTATTCCTATTCAATGCCTCCAAGGACTGAGCACCAAGGCAGGTTGTTTTACGGATCATCCACTCCATCCAGACTATCAGAAGAGACCATGTTCCCTCTCAATAAACTAGTTCCTTCAGTCTACAAGTAACAAGTGTGCCCAGAGTTATGAGTGGATCAACTGAAATGCTTTCTCCATCCCTTACACCTCAATGGGAACTTTAAAGACTGTTTTCTCCAAGGGTATTTTAGTTGCCTTTAATGGTATGTAGGTCCTGCCCTGCGAAACCTATTTAGTTCTTCTAGTCATTTACTGTCAACTGACTTTTAAAAAGGTGTCATACATCTTAAGATGCTAGAACAAGAATATGTCATTAGAGTTTGAGACATAAATAATATAGTAATCCTACCTATACTTAATTTTTCAATTAAGATCACAGTTATAAAGTCTACAAATAACCATTCCAGAAAAAAATCATAATATTAAACTATACAATTCACAGAGAAGCAATCTTTTTTTCACAGCAAGCTTAGCTTTGAAATATACAAAATTAAAGACTATTCAATGCAGCATTTATATTACCAATTTATCTTAATTGCCTTTATTGAAGCATGACAGTACCCCTTTTCTTTGACTACCAAGCATGACATAAAGCCCACCATGTAAAAATATTTTCAAATACTATGTTTTGCTTAAGTCATGTGTAACATGACAGGAAAAACCCTGGGGTTTCTACACAGATTCAGAGTTGTTGCATTTTGTTTCAATTTTGTTGCCTGATTTTATAGAAAGTGGTTCTGAGCATATGGCATTTTGAAGTGGAGTAATCAAAGAACAAGGGATACTATTTTAACATTCAAGAAAGAAGGAAGAAGTAACCAAACCTGCTGCAAAATAATGAAATGTTCTGACTAATGGAATAATGTGTGATGGAACAGGTGGAAATCTGAAAATGCGACAGAAAAGCAGACCTCTTCTTAGAACTAGATGCTGAGTTTGTGCTGACTCCAGGAGGAATGTCGCTATAAAAAGAGTCGCCATCTCCAGGCTTTTTTACATAATCTCCCTGCGGTAACTGTCTAAGGCATAATAAACATTTCAGAGTCAGAAAACAGGACACACACATGAACACAGACATATACAAATATTATTTCAGGAAAAAGAGAGGTAGGGATAATGGTCTACGTGATCAAATCTATAACATATGAGATTATCAATAAATGCGACAAGTTCAACTCCTTCTAGCTGCAGAGGTCAGAAATGCAATCATGAAGTCTTGGCAGGCTGGATGAATAAAGCCTTGCTTTCAGGAGAAATATGGAAAGATGAGTTATTTTCAGTGCAACATCACCCTACCTGGAGATGTTAACTACAATAATTTTTTCCTTTAAAAATTGATGTTGAAGGTGTGTTTAGACATTCCTTGCTCAAATAAAGCAGGCTTTTTTTCAAATGTAGTGAATAAATTATTCATGATTTAAAATATATGATAAATATTCCCTTGACTTAGTTTTAAAAGATTTGATTGCTTTCAGTTATTTTACAATTAAAGCCAAATAAAACCTTACTAGAATTTGGTGTTCAGTTTGCAGCTTCATTATTTAAAGGAAATTTAAAAGATTCAAATTTGAATCAAAAGAATAATTCTGTATCATACAGTAGAACGTGTAAAGGAATGTAACTTAGCAAAGGAAGAAAGAGTTGAAAAGTAGCTGAGTTTCTTGGGAGACTATGGAAAAGCATCTATGACAGATGGTGGTGACACTTCCTATCTCCACCACAGCAGGAGGGGAGCGAAAGACAGGGCGCCTGCTTAACCATTGCAGGACTGAAGCCACTTGGCTCACTCTGAATGAGCTAAGACAGCCACAGTCTAGCTACTTCTCCAAAAGGAACTGGAAAGAAACGCCCAGTACCCCCGACAACTCTGCCCACAGTCAATGCAGACATTTAATGTGTGGCCTCAAACAGCCAAATGCATCCAAATCACGACTAGTTTCACTCATGCTATAGGTGGAGGTGTCAAAGCTGGAGATGGGCTAAGAACTTCAAACAAGTATACGTCACTAAGTCTCCAACAAATGCATCTGCTCCCTAAGTCCCTTTCAGTTCAGTTTCCATTAATGACCTTGGTGGTTTGCAGACACTGTTTTAACTCTCAGAAACCCTTTGCAGATGTCCCTTGATTATTTTGATTCCTATATCGTTGTTTAAAATGCTTAGTTGTTTCTGATGAACATCCTCTCCTAAATTATTTGGACAGCTCCTATATTACAAATCAGAAAAAGATTGTTCAGTGGGTATAAATAAGACATGTACTTTAATTTTAATTTGCGTGACTTTATCTAGTTCTCCATACACTAATTAAAGGGGAAAAAAAATCTCACTACATTAGTTTCTAAAACTAGCTCCACCCTTGACTGGCAGAGGTTCCACCAAAGTGAAGGAATCAATCTTGGAGTTAAAAAAGTTTTAGTTTAATAGAGTTCTGGGATACTTCTCGATTTATCATTCAGTTCACACTGGATTCTTACCTAACTTCACTGTAAAGGCCTCCATAGCATAGATATTACTTCTTAGCAGTCTCCTCAAAATCCCATAAGGAATGGAGTAACTCTCCTTACATGGTAAATGCCAGCAATAAATTATCAATTTCCTTACAGCGTTCTTAAGAGTAATACTGAACATCCTTCCTTCACTGTCCCCAAATTGATCTTTCTATTTCTTACGTATCTATTACATTTTAGCAGACTACTACTTCCTGCTTTAGAGAGGAGAAAGAATCCCAGGTTCCTGCAATCAATAAAATTCCATCATTTGCTATGAAAAACCATAGAAAGCCAACTAGATGAGCTCCTTAAAAATTTTAATTGACCTTTTTTTCCAATTGTTAACTCTTTTTATGGCTTTTGACTTAAAATTTTAGTGTTTTTATGATTCTCCAGTTTGGATCCTGAAAGTAATTATTTGGATTGACAAAGTGGTAGGTTTTCAAATGGGAAACTGTCTTTATTTTTATTGCACTATATACAAGTATTTTAGATACACATGCTGGTGTAAATAATTAGCAAAAGAAAAAATGCTTTGTGACTGAATTCTTTTTCCTCAAAAATCAACCTTTCCTACATTAGTTACAAAATGTCACTTTTTTCTCTATATACAACCTCTTTGTTGAACTGATATACCTTATTAAATAACATTATTTAAGGAATTTCTATTTGCTAACACAAGAATCAACACCTATCACTTAATGATTTTGGATAGACTATGCAAACGATAATTTATTTTCCCACATCTATAATTTACAAGCTTATTGACTGTTTTTATTCTACTTCAGATAACAATGTATTCATAAGTGTAAGCCAGCTAGTATTGAGCCCTATAAATGTAAACATCAATAAAGGTTTTTTCTGTTTCTTGGTTTTTTTTGCGGGCGGGTGGCTGCAATAACCTCAAAGCCTTCAGATAAATGGTTAGTCTGATAATGAGAGAAATTTGACCTTCCTTAAAAGTATCTATTGAACAGTGGTATTTATCTCATCAATCCATATACATACTCAAAATTAGAAAATGGGGGGGGGTAAAAGGTCATAACCTCAATATGGAGGAAACATTTCTCTAATCCCTGGTTAGTGACTGGACTGTCTCTTATAGGAATTGTTGCTCTCTTGTTTTGAGAAATATTGTGCAAGTTATACCAAGTTATGTTGACAGATGCATGAATATCACTGAAATATGAAGAATGAAAAAAAAAGAAACCAAAAAAGGTTTGGGAAAGAAAAGGTGGGGAGTCCACAAAAAAGAAAATAAATGGATAAAGGAGATGAGAGAGAAAGGAAGGAGGTGAGGGAGAGACTGTGCTTAAGGTGAAACTCCAGAGCAGAAAGAAGAGTCTACCAATCATGCTCCTCATTGGTCACAGGGACATGTTTATTTCAAACAAAGGGAAAGGATTTCAACCAAATGTGGATGGTTTATAATTTAAGTCCACCAAATATTCCTTATTCTGTTTGTATCTGCAAACTCAACTGAAAACTGAAATGTACAGTTCCTGCTGTAAACCATACAGCTGTCATGCTCTATGCAATTAAACCTGAAGAAATAATAAAATTGACGGGGAAAAAAGGTAGAGGTTTTCTTTCCAGGAGGTTTTAAAGAAAAAGACAAGTAGCCATCTTTGCAATGATTCAATATCTAAGGCTTCACTGTAGCCCTGTGATTCCATGGTTCCTAGCCTTCCCAGAATGACACCGGAGGAAATAAAGTACTACAATAACGTATGTGTGAGAGGTATACTTCCATGAAGTCCCAGAATGGGGCTTCTATTTTTGTTGTTGTTGCTCAGTAGGAAGTTTGTTATTTGATTCATTTATAGAATTGTATGCCTGTCTTCTCCAAAGGTCTGGACATTAGGCCCAATTTGGCATTTGCAGGCCATTTCAATGTTAATAGCCACCTGGCAAATGCCCATATGTTTAATACTGCTTAAAGCACTAAATGCCAAAGCAAAACCTCATGGGTTGTCAGCCAAAAGTAGTGTGCAGGCCTCAACTGAGCTGATGGCTCCTGTGGTCCTCTCCCTTGACCACAGAGCTTTAAGAATTACAAAACACTGACTTCACAGCTGAGAGATGTTAGCAATTTTCCTATACCACACAATAGCAGATTAACTACTAACTTCTTGTTGGTAGGGCTTCCCATCAGAGAACTGCAAAGGCAACCCTAATTTAAGGTAAAGATAACATCAAAAGTCTTGTCTTTAGTTCCTGGCACCTTTGGAACCAGATGGGTCTTTATTTGAATGTCTGCAAAACATTTTATAGGGCTGAAAATGTACTGACGTATGTGTGTCTGTCTGCCCACCCGTTTCCCCTCTAATCACTAATGCATATTACCTAGAAGAACCCTAAAGACACTTTCATGCATGACTTCTTGATCTAGCATCCATCCTTTGTTGCTCTCATCTTTGAGAACCATTACACCGAACTAATATTCATCAGCCATAAACAAGAGGGTAAAGTTTTATTGAACTATAACAAAATATCTAAAATAAATTCCTCTGAAGATGGAATGACTCCCCAGGCATTGGCCGGATTTCAGAAGAGTTGTCACATCCTTGCAACAATGGCTATAGTGCCAGAAGGTGTTAAAGTATAACAGATAAAAGGGACAGTGATAGTGTGCAAATGCTTTTTAACTATGCATGTATTTAATCAGAATAATAAATTGATAAATGCCTTTTAACATCAATCATTTTTGCATGGTAGGCAGTCTCCGTGTTCTGAAGAGCATCCATAGGGCAGCTTAGAGCACGGGTTTAGCTTTGCTTATGTTGTGTATTTGAGGCATGATCTTTCCTTTTTGTATATTCAGCAGTATCATAGTTTTACTTAGTTCCTATAGAAATGGTTCTGAGATCAGCAAATTTTAATCTTATCCATTTAATTACATTTTTTGCTGAAGAAATCCACAAATCTTAGGTTTCTATATGACTAGAAAACTTTTACCCGCAGGAAACCTAACCAGGCCCTGCTTTCCTCACACGCGTCTAGACCCATGAGTTCAAGATATGTACAAGAAACGTTTTGTGTTTTTAAATTTTAATAAATTTTGTTTAAGTTTCACTCTCTCTAATAATGAGTTTGTTTCCCCAAGGGAAATATTTCTAATATCTAAAGTTAGGATTATTATAGATTATTGTTTCAATCAAAGTTATGATCAGGAGTTCAACTAAAATCTTTGGGTATTAGGTAGTCACAAAGATTCTATAGATATTTACAGCTAAAGCCTTATAGAGTTTAAAATATAAAATAAAGGAAATAAAAGAGTAAAGATTAAAATTTTGATTTCTGGAAAAAAAAAGAATCTTGTGGTCAGAGTCTGAAAATATCTCATTATTTATCATATCTATTCCTACAGTGCCACAAGCACTCAATGGGACAAAGGAAAAATTAAGTAGGAATCTGTGCAAATACTCTGAACTCAGAACTAAGTAGTATATGTGCAACACCTGGTGTTGGTTCATCAGTTTCCAAAATAACATTTTAGTTTTCAGTACCAACAGCAAGTAGAATTAATAATTTTTAAAATGTGAGAAGCAAACGTCCATCTCAATACTATGTCAATTTATACAAAACCTGGCCATTCCTATCAAACACATGAACACTCTATCTCTTTTACACTGTTTGCTAAATGGAGATCTTAAGTTTACATTAAATAGGTGTTTGACTTTCTCCATGGGCTTCATGTAATGCACAGGAGGTACAGCTCAGCGACTCTAACTAAGCAAAGTCCCTCTTTAGCTACCTTTATGATTCCCAAATCATGCAAAAATATTTTCTTACATAAAGTACATTGCAGAACACCCCCTTGATAGGAACACGTGATAAATCTTGTAACTTATAAAAGTTATTACTACAACAACAGTAACAAAAATAATTTCCCTCAGACTATTAGGTAATAAGAGCGTTATAAACATGAAGAAAAGCCAAAAAACCAATGTAAACAAACATGACAACTTAACATAAAGGAAGTTTGTTTTGATGAGAAAATCTATTTCTATATAAATATTACTATTAAAAATAATTTTAATTATTATTTCAAAATCATAAAAGGTCAAGATCGTTCTTACATAAAACACAAAAACCCACTTGAAACTGCACGTATGAATTTCAACAGTGATACAAAGGGTTAAACTTTTTAGTCATATATTCAGATCACTGTCATCACATACCTCTGTTCACGATAATTTCTGTTCATAGACAGAAGAAAGGAAAAAGAAAAGCATTAGTTACCTACAGAACCACATGAACACAGCATCAATCACAAAACCCCAGCCTTCACTGAACCATCTTCCCTAGAGGAATTTGAACTGTAAAATTAAAATGAGGAACACAAACAAAACTTCATCTTATCACAAGGAGAGATGATACCAAAGAGTTAGTGACAATATTGTCAAACAACTGCCCATTTTAATTATTATTTATTTTAAAATTTGCTTACTTTTATGTATATTTATGTTTTGCCTGCCTGTATGTGTCTATTCTATATGTGTGCCTAGTACCCACGGAGGACAGAAGATAGTACATAACCCCCGAGAACTGGAGGTACAGGTGGTTGTGACCCACCATGTATGTGCCTGGAACCAAACCTTGGTCCTCTCTAAGAGCAGCAAGTAAGTGTCTTAACCACTAAGCCCATTTCTAAAAGCATAAGTTCGGTTGTAATCATTAAAGAGTAACTGTTTTTTTCAATATCAGTTTTATTGTACCAGATATTTAATAATTACCTAGAGTCAATCCTATTGTTTTTGAAATTTTATTTACTTGACTTTATGTGTATGGGTGTTTTGCTGCATGTTTGTCTGTGGACCATGTGCATGCAGTGTCTACGGAAGCCAGAAGAGGGTGTCAGATCCTCTGGAAATGACAATTGAAAATGGGCCCTCTGGAAGAGCAGCGAGTGCTCTTAACCACTAAGCCACCTCTCCAGCCTTGTCAATTGTCAATTCTACTTTAAGTATAGGTGCGGATAGATAGATAGATAGATAGATAGATAGATAGATAGATAGATAGATAGATAGATAGATAGATAGATAGAGATGAATGAATGTTGATTTACATGGCAACATTAATCAAATTATTTATACAAATTAGCTACACTTTCATAGAAATAAGTCTTAATTTACTCCTACTGAAACACGAACGTCCAACTATAGCAACTGTAGCTCTTTCTAAGAAGTCTGAGCAGGAGAACATACAGGCATGCCAGAGTACTTTACTTATCATGGATGGTCAATAAAAATGCATTAAAATAAACCTGGCTTTTCATAGGTATTAATACTTCTTTCTCAAGCTTCACACTGGATGCATTTGCTCACAGTCCAATTTCTAGTTTTGATTTGGCCATGAGTTGAAGTAAATTTCTATGACTTTCCTAACAAACTAATCTTGTTCAGAAGCATGTGATAATGTACTAGCAGTAAGTTTTTCAAAAGTCACTGACTTTCCATCTTGATGTAATTGAATATTAATATTTTGAAGGCATATTAGAAAGGCAAGTGGCTAAGTCATCTGGAGTTCCAACCTCGACAACCAAACATAATGCTTCCACATGGCACCTTCACCTACCAGTCCATTCCATTAACACCAGAAAGCTAACAACAGGCACACAGAGTAAAAGTGACAATTTAGTATCCTGTTCCATTCCATTAGCTATCAGACATTTTACTTTTTCATCTCATTCTCCAAGTGAGAATTCCCTGTTGCTATCCCTATCCCAAGGCTTGGAGAAAGGGTGGAATGTTGGAAGAATGGGAAGACTTAACATGAAAATGGCTTTCCCAGGTGTCCAGTCTGTTTTCAACTTCAAACAGAACACAAAAAAATATTATTTTCACAGTTTAATTCCTCTGCTAAAATTTCTATATTCTCACTCTATTTCTAAACATTCTAAGCCAGGTGTGGTGGTGCATGCCTTTAATCCCAGCATTTAGGAGGAAGAAGCAGGTAGGTCTCTGTGAGTTCAAGGTCAGTCTGGCCTACAAAGTGAGTTTGCAGCCAGCCAGGGCTACAGAGTAAGACTCTGTTAAAAAAACAAAAAAACAAAAAACAAGAAAACAAAACAAAATAAGTAAACATATTCTGAATAATTTTAAAAGCTCTAAAACTTGAATCTTAGGTTCAAATTATGTCTAAGAAGGATATCACAATATGAACAAGATCTGTCTTTTTTCTTAATCAATCTGCAAGGTGTATAAATTTAGAAATGCTAAAAAGACAAAATGTAATTCCCCCCTAAAGAAAACAGGTAATTTCTACAGACAAAGGTAATTTCACCAGGAATAGGTATGTTTTGGTTTCATGTTTGCTGAACAGTACCTTTTCCCAGGACTATAAAAATTATTCACCCATATCACACATTCTAGAACAATTTTCGTGGGACCAAATAAAAACATTGAGCTATAATAAACAGCAATGCTCGTGATAAGCATTAGTATGTGTGTCCAACATCAGAGAAGTTGAGAAAACAATGACTTCAAGACAGAGATCATTTGCCTGTAACATGAGGAAAGAACTTGCCTTCAGATGTACAATTTTACAAGTGCCTAAATTACACTGTGAAATGTATTGAGCATCTGCTACAGTTGATCTAGTGCTAGTCAATCAGGGCAAAGCCTGGTCCGATGCCGTGAGCTCCTCTCTAGCCTATCCCATGTACATGAGCCACACTACCTCACTACACTGTGCTTTTGTTAATATAGCCATCCATAAACGGCTTCCTGAATTTTAATGATGGCAGCATACAAACAGTAAAAGAATTGCTCTCCCTTTTGAGAAAAACACTTGCAGGGTTTTAATTTTACAAACAACTGAAACATAGACATTTAAAGGTGTCTCCTTTGATTTGGTTTTAGACCACAGTAGATGACAATCAGACTGCTTACTGTGAGCCAGTCACTACTCTGAATGTTTGACACATAATAACGCACAGAACAAAGATGAGTTTAAAAAAGGTACAGAGGAAATTCTAAATTTAAAATCTTTTAAAATTTTTATTTATCTTTAATTACGTGTGTGTGTGTGTGTGTGTGTGTGTGTGTGTGTGTGTGTGTGTTGTGAGTATGTGCATGTGAGTACAGCAGTCTGCAGAGGCCAGAAGAGGTTGTCAAATCCCCTAAAGCTGGAGAGATAGGTGGTTTTGAGTCATTTGACATGGGTGTTGGGAACTGAACTCTATAAGAGCAGTACGGCAGTACGTCTTCTTAACTGCTGAGCCATCTCTCTATCCCCAAATCCAAACTATTTAATTCCCAATTTTGTGATCTACATTTGATCCACAAGGGATGCTATGAAATGAGGCTAGCATCTATAGTGCAGGTCTTCCAAATGAAAACCCCAGGCTGGGGCACTGGCTGGGACATTGTCAGAGTCAGCAGGTTGAAATATGAAAGAGAACTATTACAGTTTGGATCTGAATGTCCCCAAAAGCTTGTGTGTTGAATGTGTGGTCCCATGCGGCAGTGCTTAAAATTAGGGTCTTCAGAAGGGAATCAGGTTATGGGAGTTCTGACCTCGTCAATGGGTTGATCCATTTCTGGATTTATAGCTCAATAGTTTTGGGGGCCAAGGGCTTAATATGGTGGTGAGCTCTTTCTTTGGTGAGCAGCTTTCCTCTCTCAAATGTGCCCCATCATGCTTTTCTGCCTTGGCACAGGCCCAAAGCAACAGGGTCACATGACAATAAGAACCTCTCAAATATAAGCCACAGAGAACCTTTTTTAAGCTGTTTCCTCAGGTATTTGCCCCAGCAATGACAACCTAACTCAAGAATGAAAGCTTTACACTACATTTAAGCCATAACATTAGTTATTAGAATACTAAAGAAAAATTTACATTGTAAGTATTCAAAAGGGAAATTTAAAGTATTAAATATATAACTGTTTGAAAACATTTACTTAGTAAATGTTTGAGGCTACTAAATACTCAAAAGCAGATGACTCTCAGCTTCTAAAAATTAAAACAAAAATTATATAATGAGCTTTGAAGCTTAAGAAGAAATTAGGCACCTAAATTTTGCAGATGAAACTGAATTAAAAAAACAAACAAACCTGAATCTCACAAGCGTCTGATCTTCACAGGAACAAACTCATATATATTAATGGCTATTAGGACAAGGGGGCTTTGCTGTTAATGTGGTGTATGGATGTCACATGCATTCACTCACAATTAAGACTGAGTCATTTCCATGATCTTAAAGCAACAATCAATATTTTCAGAATAGGAAAAGAGTTGTTTCAAAATCTAAACTGTGATAAATTATTATTACTTCTAACCATATCAAGGGTGGGTAATCTTTGATTACTGAACCAGACTGACTGTTAATACAAACACAAAGGTAATGAATGACATACAACCTTCTAGTTAACATTTAATCGTGTGTGTGTGTGTGTGTGTGTGTGTGTGTGTGTGTGTGTGTGTGCGCGCGCACGCGTGCAAACATGAGTGCAGGTACCCAAGGAGGCTAGAAGATAGTATCAGATCCCCTGGAATGGGAGGCACCACTCATGGGTTTATGCGCCACCAAAATTGGTACTGGGAATCAAAACTGAGTCCTCTGCAAGAGCCAGTGGCATTTTAAACCACCAAGCACCTTTCTAGCCCTTAATCAAAATATTTTAAAGTAAATTTTTTAGTAATAATACTGAAAAAATTGACTTACTTATAACCCCAGGCAGTTATTCCTATTATGAGGGCCAGCACTAAAATGGTGCCAGCAATTATTCCTATTATGATGTTGGTGCCAGCAACACCTGGAAGGGAAAACAAGGGGAAAATCAGCGACATGAGTGATCATCACACTAACAATATCTGATTTGTAAAAGGCTCAGCATGTCCACCCACCCTTCCAGGGATTTAAACAGGGTGGGCCTGTATGATCACTTCTAAGTTACGTCTTTTGAACAGCCACTGAGACCCAGTTACTATAAACACTCGTATCACACTTACCTGGGGGCAAGTGCCACATTACCATTTACCATTGCCATCTGAGGACATCAAATTTTAATCCTTCTGGGGCTTTATTAAAGTCACATTACTAAGATTTCAAACCTGTATAGATGACTTAGATGAGGACATTTGTCTGTTCTTAGCCTTGGGAGGTGAGTGAACATTGGGAATTGAGTATTACTCCACATGAAAGGAGCCACAAGAAAGAAATGATGTAACTGTTTACAGGAAATCTTCATCTCCAAAGTGCGAACTCTTTAACTGCCCACACTTAAGTTTCTCTTCTGTAGAACTGCCCCTCCTGTCATGTCTGACCCATGTCCTCCATCCTTATCACCTTGGTCAATTGTGTGTCTTCTACACTTCTCAGAGTTTAGACTATAGAAATGAGACTTTATAACAAAGAATATTTTTAAATACTTAAAAATCAACTCATTCATCTTGTTTACTTAGTTCAAAACTATGAAATGATTCATTTAAATTGAATGCTTTATTTTTTGTGATTTAATTTTATGTATATGATGTTTTGTCTGTGTGTATATACAGTATGTGCATGTCTGGGGCCCAATGAGGTGAGAAGAGAGAGCCAGATCTCCTGGGACTGGAGTTAATGGATAGCTGTAATCCATCGTGTGGGTCCTGGGAACTGAACCTGGGTCCTCTGCAAGAGCAACAAGTGTTCTTAACCACTGAGACACCACTCTACTTTCTTAATTTCAACGACATGTTGGAAAATAAAAACACAACAAAAAAGGCATGAAGGTCGTTTGAGAACTTGATGGAACAAGGAGGGTTGCTGGGAGTGAGAGGAGGGTGAGGGGGTGTGGGAGGGATGGCTGTGACAGAATGTACTGGATACATGCTTGGGATTATCAAAGAATAGATCAATTAAAGATGCTAGGGTTTGTTCATAGCCTCAGGTAATTATAACATTTGAAAACCTCTGAAGTAGGACAGAATAAGGTAAAGTCCATAGGCTAAATTATACTCAGTGCGACAAATCTTTACAATTTAATGAAATTGGTTTCACAAGGTAGACTCCCCCCTCATTACGTAGATAACCATTATTTCTGAGTTATGATAAAACTCTCAAATACAAATGCATACAGAGAAAACTCCCCGTTTGTTGTATGTAAGAATGACAGAATGCCAAGGCAGATACCTACCATTGCCAGACAGGGTGATGCCAGTCTTTGCATCATCATTGTGAGGGAAATGGGTGCTGCAGTCGGCACCCGTCCAGTGCCTGTTGCACACGCATTTGAGCTCATTACTGCAAACCTAAAATCCAGAGGTGAGCCAACAGAACATCAGTTCTCTGTTACAGAGAAGCAAATAAACCCCAACTCATAATTACTACATACAGGCTTTGATGATTTCCATAAAGAGTACTTCCATCCTGATTTTAGCTTTTTGCCATATATACGCTTGAGTTACCGCAATTTAAAAACTTGTAGAGGACTGATAAGATGACTCAGGGGTTATAACACTTGCTATGTAAGCCTCGTAACTTTAGTCAGTCCCAGGAATCCATGTATAGGAAAGGAGAGAACTGAGTCCTTCAGTTCTGACCATCACGTATCACACGGCATGTGTGTGCACACAGAGACACACCATGCACACATATAATAAATAAAACATTTTGATTATATAGGCTAATACCTCTATTTAACACATGATTATTGTAAATTATTTTTATGCCATCTATAATCTTACTTACATTATCTTACTCTTAATAATTCGTTAAACTAAGCATTACTAGTTAAAAACGTATTTAGTTTTAGCATGTATTTAAAATTTACTAGGAGGATGATAAAAAATGATTTCATTACTCATTTCTTTGGCCCCATGAGAATTATTTCCCTAAATCCTCCTAGTAATTACAGAAAGGAGGTAAAACAACCCCTCTTACATTACTGGAGCAGAGTTACACAACTATGTGTGTTCTCTTTCTTATGTGCCATAAGATTTCCTGTTTTTGGTAGATAGTGACAACTGGTTACTTTCTAAAGTAAAAAGACCCTGTGACTGTCAGCCCAAGCATACATAGCTCTCAAGGACATTTAATATCCATCATATGAAATGATCAGGATTGAAAGCTTCAAATTACAAAAAAAGGTCCAATGCCTCAATCAGAAAAACAAGAAATTCAATCAAAGATTCTGTAATGCCAACAAAAAGAAAATCACATGCTAACAGAAAAAAAAAAATCAAACTGCTGGTAAGGAACTCCTAATGAAAATGAGAAAACTGGATATATTCATGGAGAGTTCATTCATCGAGGACTGGCATTTGACTTAAATAAGACCTATGCTAGCCAATACACAATTCTGAAAGAACAGAATTAAAGTGTCAAAAAGTACCACTCTTCTGTTCATCCATGAACAGCACTTCCCCGAAGACTTCGTTATTTCCAAGTGTTAACCTTGGCTGTTATCTCCAGTGTGGCTCCAACAGTTATCTGCGGTCAGTGCTGATTCGGCTGCACCCAGATGACCTAAGTAGTTAAATATCTGGCTCACTCTCTTTCCTCACTCCCCACATTACAGTGTGTAGCTTAGTCTTCTTGCAGGACTCCTAACAGTGGGAGCAGGGGCTGTTTTGACTCTTTTGCCAGCTTTTGGGACCCTTTTCCTCATACTGGATCACCTTGCCCAACCTTAATATGAGGGGAGGTGCTTGGTATTACTGCAACTTGATATGCCATGTTTTGTTGATATCCATAGGTAGTCTGACCCTTTCTGAATAGAAATGAAGGAGGAGTGGATGGGAGGGCAGAATGGGTTGGGGGAGGGACTGAGTGGGAAGGCAGGAGGAGACACTGTGGTCAAGATATTAAAAAAATAGCAATAATAATAAAAAAATCATTTAGAAATTCCATTATAGTTTGCCAAAATCCATCTCCTAAATCACTTGCAGAAAACCTGTCATTACACTGTATGGTATCCTCTTAGCATAGGAAAGAAAGATAGAAGAATTTGATTAGGAAAATTACCAGTTTTCTTATTCCCAGACTTTCTCGACTATACAACAAAAATATTCAGGTAGCTTTGATCAAGCTAGTGTTCACATGCCAACCAGAAACAAGGGTAATCACACTGTCCATAATTAAGGAGATATTACAGGATTAGATCTACTTGTGTAAGACAAAAGAAATGGATGGTTTTCCAAGGTGAGGCTCTGGCACTTACTCCATTTCCTGAACAAACAGTGCCTGCTTTACTGCTCACGCAAGTGCTGAAGTTGAAGGAAGCCACAGAAAGACACCTATGTTCCAAACACATCATCTGAGGACCACAGGGCGTCCCATCTTCCACATAGCCAAGATCAACGTCTTCTTCAAGCTTAACATGCCCACCGCTAAAAATAAATTGGAAGCAAAAAGAAAACAGGATTCCATTAATTCACATTCATCTTAAGTAGAAAACTAAAAAGAAATATTCCTTCTCTGGTCTTCTGTTTATGATTTCATAAAAACCAGTAGTTAAAGGATATTTAATTACTTGTTTTTTGTTTCATTGAGATAGGATTTCATGTAGCCCAGGCTGGCATCAAATTCTTAATGCAAGCAAAACTGTTCTGAATTTCTGCTTCTCTGGCCCCCATCTTCCATATGCCAGGGTTATAGGTATACATCACCACATCCAGAAGTCTCTTGTAAGTGTAGAAAGTAATAGAAACTTTGGATCTAACTCTTTTCAGAGATAATTATATTATCTCTGAATTTAAACAAAATTTAATTTAATTTAAAATTTAACAGAATTTAAACAAAATTATTACGGCAAGGGCCAGAACTGAGCTAGCACTATTATTTTTCCTTGGATACTTTGTGCAAGTCTAATGGTTGACTAAGTAGGCATGAAGATTTCAAATGTGTTTCAAATAAGGATCGGAACTGGGTTTGATTTCCAATGCTCCCAAACATTGCATATGTGCAAATTCTATGGGAATGACTAAACCACTGTAGTCACTGCTCAGTATAGCACGCTCACATGTTTTCTCTTAGAATTAAATAAAATAGCAAACCAAGTTGAAAGTGTATATATATATATATATATATATATATATATATATAACACTAATATTTTCATATGATACCTTCAATGCTAGTCCAAAAATTTCCATATTACTTTTTATCAAAATTAATTGTGTGTGTGGAGCCACATACATGCGCTGGTGTTTTGTGTCTGTGTCTGTGTTCGTGTGTTTGTACACATGCGTGTCTCTGTATGCATGTGGGTATGAATGCGTACATGTGTGGAGGCCAGAAGTCAACGCTGTGGTGTCTTTCTCAATTGTTCTCCACCTTCTCTGAGCAAGGCGGTCCTCACTGAATGCGGAGCTCACTGATCCAGCTGGATTGGTTGGCTGGCAGGCCTCCAGAATCCTTGTGTATACCTTGCACCGGGGTTAGAGGTATGCACTAATGTGTTCAAATATTTTACGAGGGTGAGTGTAAGACTTCACCAGCTGAGTCATTTCCCAGCAGTCGATAAGTTCAGTTCTTAGATGAAATAAAGCCGTCACCCTGCCCACGGATTCCCTCGGGGAGAGCCACTTTCTACACTGTTGATCCTTTGCTATTTTTATGCCTCAAAAAGTTTATAGTATACTAATTTTTTTAATTTTTCAGCCGTAGGTATTACCCATCAGTTTCTCCATATACAAAAAGAGAATTTATCTCCTTTTTTCCCTTGATAGTTCTATATGTATTTTCTCCTTTCCTTATCCTTTCATAATAAACTTTATTTAATCAATAACAAATATATACATTATTATAACTATGTAAAGGCTATTTAGTTGAACAAGTGTCATGATTAAACTCTTTCACTTTCTGAATTACTTACTGTCTTACCTTATTCTTTTATTTGTTGGCTATTTATCTGTCTACTTTCCATCTGTTTAAATTTATTTTTATAATTAAAAATTTTTAATTTAATTTTATTCTTTTACTTTTTTATTTTTTAGCTTTCCATCTTGAATATAAAATTAATTCAAACTCTCTGGCTATTAATCCCCACCGAAAATGCAGCTGAGCATCAGTTCATCTTCCTGGGGACATCTCTCCTATTAGAGTTCCGACCAGCTCCTTCCTGTGTGTTCTGATTTTACGCTGTACCCGGCACAGAGCTGTAAATCCTGGGTCCCTCTTACCATCAGCCTCTATGTGATGCTGTCTCTCGGGGGAAGACTCTATACCTCATTTTTCTCTCACTTTGTTTAATCTTCACTTTTATGGGGTATAATTGTTTCATTAACTTTTTGAAGAGAAGTGTAGGAGAATATGTTTTGGGGAAATCTGCATGCTAACATGTCACTTTCTAGTCTCAAAGTTTATCTGATTTTTTTTTAAGGCGGCATCTTGTTATGTTGTCCTGCTCATCTCAAACCCAGCCTGCTTTTGCCTCAGCCTCTGAGTGCTGGGATTAGAGGTGTGTTCCAGGAGCCCTGGCTTGGGCCTGCTACACAATTTTAATTTTTAAATAACTGTCCAAGTGTCTTCTGATTTCCTGGACTCCTGGTGCCAAACCTTAAGCCACCCTAATTCCTGAGCCTCTTCTGTAGAAACATGATGCCTCTTCTCTGCCCCACAGTGCTCAGTTTCCATAATGAAGTTTACAGCGGTCTCTGATGCCATTGGTTGACAACTTCCTCCTTACTATCTCTCTGGTCTTCTTTATGTCTGTTCTAGTTGGGGAGTTCATCCTCATTGTCCTATTTCTTTCTTTTTTAGGTAAAAACCAAGTTTGCTTTTTTTTTTTTATATTTGTAAATATATTGGTTAAGGCTCCCAGGAAAACAGAAGCAATAAAAGAGAGATGGATGGATAGATGGATGGACGGACGGACGGACGGATGGATGGATGGACTGACAGACAGACAGGAAGACAGAAAGGAAGACAGTTTCTGTTCTAAGTTGCTGCCCTTCTTCTAGGGAGACAATTTCAACTATGAAGCTTCACTTCTGCTGTTGTATTTTAATCCAAAAGAATCTTTTTCTTCCATGGTCTATTTGATTAAAGTAGAACATTTTTTTTATTCAATGATAAGAAGTCTCTTGGGGTTTTCTGTTTACTCTGTTTTTTCATGTTAGAGACTTTCTTCGCATGCCTGTCAGTAGTGACCACACAGATGACTGGACGTTCCGGAGCATTCTCAGTGAGCATTCCCCAAGGCTGAACCACTTCCACATGACCCTGCTATCAACCTTTGAACTTAGGAACATTCTCTTTTACTCTCTGTGGAGACAAAGCTTGAGTCTCCAATGGAAGGGTAGACTGGCCCCTTTGTGACTGAGTCCCCTTTTTTCTTTCTCTTACTTTCCCCAAACTTCCACGTAGCCTCTTTATCTAAAAACCTTCCTTGAAACTCATCTAATCGCTCCTTGAACAGCAGATCATGCTGCCAGTTTCGGAGACATTAGAAGACATCTTTGGTTGGGTTTCAGCCTTCCCTCTTACTGACCTACAAATCCAACTTTCTCAAAAGCCTCCCCTGAGAGTAAGCCACACAGCCATTTAAATGCACATATTCCAGACATGGATTGTCACTGCCTCTGCTCCATTTTTGTGCTTTCCTGCTGATATATACGTTCCAAAGGAAATTTAATTTTGTGGGACTTCAGGAAGAAACAAAATGAGCAGTTATGTGATGAGTGACTCTATCCAGAAGTCCCAGTGGTCCTTGATAAGAAGGAAATGCAAGCCAAGACCTGGAGGATTTTACTGAGCAACTGAACATACTTCCAGCCACGACATAACAGTCTGCACACATCATTCTTAACTACATTTCGTTTCTTTTCTTTAGGATTTACTCAGTCACCTTTACAAACTAGATTCACGTTCCCACTATGAACTTGCATACACACTGGAGAGAGTAGCAGGTCCAAGCTGTGTTCTCAGGAATTAAAGTTATTAATTCGATCATAGAATGGTCAGATAGTTACCTGCAGTTTAATGTTCTTCCTTGCTGCACAACTAATGTAGATGTGATTTCACCATCGAGTTCTCCAAGCCTTGGGATATTGCCAATATTGGTGCATAAAAGGTAACCACAAAGCACATCCCTGTGTTAAAAGAGTATCAATTATTGACTTGATCTTTTCCTCAAAGACAAAAGGAAACTTGTACTTTTGGAGTAATGTCTTCTCTCTTATTAGTATTTATTATCCATCAGCTACATTAGTTATATGCATGCTAAGCAAAGTAAAACAAGCTCATGCCAATTGCCTCCTGCTCTCAAAATTGACTTCTCTAAAACTCCAACTGGTAACCCAAAATCCTAATAACTTCCCAGCTTGTCTCTTATTGCCTATCAGCTCAAATATTTGTTAAAAGAAAATTATCCATCAAATACACATTTGTATCAGAATGATTTCTATACAGTGTACTGTTGGATATGATAAACTTGTTTAGTGTTGGGTAAGTGAGCATGAGTAATATAGCTGCTTCTGCAACCTTTCTCACCAAACCCAAGAAGAAATATCTACTGCTCACATAGACTCACAGACACATAGCCTCACCAACCTTTTAAACACATCATGTGTGTTTAGAAATTAACAGATAAGCTGCTGGAATTAAAATACTGCTTTATATATTCTTTTAACACACATTTTAGTTATCAATAATGATAGTATATCTAAATAAAAATCGTATAAACATTAAGCCAGATGGTGGTAACACATCCTTTTAATCCCAGCACTTGGGAGGCATAGACAGGTGGATCTGTGAATCTGAGGTCAGCCTGGTCTACACACAGAGAAACTCTGTCTCAAAAAAACAAAACAACAACAACAACAACAAAAACTCTGATTAACATAGCGGCAAAATCACATATGGAAATATCAGACTTTATATAATTGATAACAGAGAAAAATGGGGATCTATATTTACCACTAATATATAAAAGATATTAATTTATTCTTTATAATTACATATAATATATAAAGGGAATTAATTTATTCTTTAAAAATTTAAACATTGAAATATATGCAAATATAAAATTATATTCTAAAATATTTGTATCTTATAAACAAAATTTAGAAGAAATATTCAAGTCTTTTTAGTTTTATTCATGAGAACTAATGTTTGTAATTTAGAATCTATACCAAAATCGGTACATGATGTTTATCCTCAAGGGAACCCCATTGTGTGAGAAGACACAACACATGCATAAGCATGTACAAAATAAAGAGCTGAGGACCAGGGCCATGAGAATAGCACAAGGTCTGTGCCTGGGAGAGTTCAGAAGGGAATTGGGAGAGCCAATCAGGAGATAATTTATACAGAAAGTTTTTTCCAAATTGGCCTTGAAAAATGGATGAATTTCTCACTGGTGTTGGTATAGATGTAAAGACTACTTCTAAGGAAAGAATAGCTCAAACAAACACATTAACACAGGGCAGGGTGCTGGAGGTATTAAGAATAGTAAGGTTGCTAGAATTTGGAGGAACAAAGGAGAAAAGAAAAAAACGTGTTTTTGGCACAGATCATGGAGGTGCCTGGCTGGGTTCTTCCTGCTCTCCTCCCCTACCCTTGTGAGACTGGGTCTCACTCTGCAGCCCTGGTCTGGAACTCACTGCGCGACACAGAGTTCCACCTCCCTCTGCTTCCCAAGTGCTGGGATTAAGGGTCTGCACCACTGTGCCCAGCCTGGGGTTCCACTTTATTTGTTAATTAAGACCAGAGACTTTCAGCAGGAAAAATTAAGAGAGCATTCTGATACCAGAATACCAGATACTAATTCCTTTTTAATCCTAGCTACAGGACCTTGGGCACAGACACCAATTTTGCCTTGGTTTCTTCATCTGTCATGCTGTCATGATGCTAAAGTGTCAGGCTCATCAAAGTGAGACGAAGTACTCAACACACCGTGTACATTCACTATATGATGTGCACTATTCTGTTACTCAGCACACACACCGTGTACGTTCACTATATGATGTGCACTATTCTGTTACTCAGCACACACACCATGTACCTTCACTATATGATATGCACTATTCTATTAATTAGCTACGGGAAGCTAATGAAATTTGAGCAAAGAATTGACATATTCAAAAGGATTTAGAAGACTGTTCTGGTAATAGTATACTTGAGAATGCCAGCAGAGAAAACTCCAGGGATTTTTGTAGTAGTTAAATTACAGGGCTTAGCTGTGCTAATGACAATAACAATGGAAATGAACGGATAAACTCACATCATTGGTAAGGAGCAAAGGGGAAAAACAACCATGATTCGTGTTTGGACAACGTGCGGAAAGATGGAGTCAATTATTCTTATCTACCTTGAACAGTGAAACACCAAGACATTTAGCAAAGACAAGAGGTAGTTTAGAAAGTTCAGAGCTAGCTAATTCACTCAACAGCATTGGTGATAGTGGAGTTAATCTTCCTCAATCTTAAGATGCTGAGAGGTCCTATCTAGGTGAGAAAGTGTAGCAACTACAAGGATAGCCTAGACCCTAAGAAAGAGGTGCAGGTGCATGTCAAGAATTGGGGTCATTTGTGATGCTGGGGAAAGATGAAGAGAACAGACAAGATAGCATGTTTTATATCCCACTTGGAATTTATGCTTGTAAATAATGGACGCAGTCTGGGTTAACAACAGCATTCACCGTTTGTTGCACTGTATCCAGGTGTCTTTGTCTTTTCCACAGTTACCCTTCTCGGTCCCCTCGATGTTCAGCTTCTCATAGCAGTACTTGTCAGATGCTGTGACCTCTGGAGTAGAACAGAATTTCCCATCAGTGATGGATGGAACCCAGGAGCTGTTCACAGGTTTGCAGCAAGGGGAGCTACGGTTTAAGGACTTGTTTACTACAGTGTTATCAATGACAGGAACAAGAATTGCACCATCACGTACAAAAGTTGTACTACATCACAGACATGGCTTGGGTGCATCTTCCATGAAACCTTATGGGAAGCAGGAAAACCAGTATACATAGATCTTTGAGGGGAGTTGGGCTACAGACTGAGGATAGTAATTAGGGGATGGTGCCATCCTTGAATGTATAGTTTAATCTCAGTAGCAAATGCATGAGTCTCAATCAGAAACTTTATTACTAAGAAGGGCAATGTTATTCAAATAGCTGTGCCGTATAATCAGAGACAGCAGCATGATTTCACCTTGCTTACCGAATCTTAACTGCTATAAAACAAACAAACTTCTATTTTGCTTTTAGATGAGATCAGATTCATTCTAAATCTGTGAAATGCAAAAACCACTTTAAGGTAGTTCCATCATCTTTGCAGGTTTTGTTTTTTCTGAAGCCAGCACTGGCTCTCAGAGTCACTTGCTAGAACAAAATAATTTTCCAACCAGGGAGGGTGGGCTAAGCTTGTTATCTCATCTCATCAATCCAGAGATGGAGGCTGGAGGATTAGGAGTTCAAGATCATCCTCCATTACACAGGAGATTCAAGACCAGCTTTGGCAATATGAGATTCTATTTGAAAGAGAGAAAACAACAACAACAACAGCAAAAAAAAAACCAACCAACCAAAAACTAATGAAGACTTTTGTAAGCTAATCAAATGTCAGTTGGCGATACAAGTTAAGTATTGCTAATCCAAAACCTGAAATGCTTCGTGTTCTGAGACCTTTCAAGAGCTAACAAGATTCACACACGGAAAATGACATGACCTAGGCTGAAGAGATGGCACAGTGAGTAACAGAACGTACTGTGCAAGTCTGAGGACTTGGGTTCAAATCATGTGCAAAGCCAAGGGTGAACATGCATGTGCCTATGACCCTTGAGCTACGAGGAGTAGAGGCAGGAGGATGGCCAAAGCTTGCTGGCTGCCTACTTAGCTCCTGGTCAGTGAGAGCCTGTTTCAAGAGAATAAGGTGGAGAGTGATGGAGTGGGACACCTGATGTCCTCCTCTGCCTTCTGTGGATGCACAAGCATGCACACCCACACATATACAGGAGCATACCACACACCACACACACACACACACACACACACACACACACACACACACACACACACACACACACACCACACCACACACACACACACACACACACACACACACACACACACACACACACACACACTAAATATTTTTAAAAAGTAAAGTCCATGTCCTAAGTTAATATAAGAAGTGTCAGTAAAAATGCAAGTGAATTAAAAATACCAAAAATATTATATAAAGTTATTCTCAGGATATGTATATATACATAAAACACAAATGAACCTTATGATTAAACTTGGGTCACATCCCCAAAAGTATTCCCTGACATAAAAAATTCCAAAAAAAATGATATAGAGTACAAAACTGGAATGACTAAATTTTTTCCTCATCTCAATGCTTCTCAAGAAACTCAGAGAACACACCTTACCTAAAGGATTCCAGCCATTATTTCTTTTTCTTTTCTTTCTTTCTTTCTTTTTTTTGTTTTTTGTTTTTGGTTTTTTGAGACAGGGTTTCTCTGTGTAGTTTTGGTGCCTATCCTGGATCTCGCTCTGTAGACCAGGCTGGCCTTGAACTCACAGAGATCTGCCTGGCTCTGCCTCCCGGGTGCTGGGATTAAAGGCGTGCGCCATCAGCGCCCAGCCCAGGCACTGTTTCTGATAGCTAAGGATTATGATTCATTTTATAGTTTTTCCTAGTAGAAATCATCTTTCAAAAGAACTTTGAATAATCTAGACATGGTAGCACATGCCTGTAATTCCAGCACTTGGGAAGCTGAGGCAAGAAGCTTACAAATTCAAGGTCTAACTGGCCAAGATACATGGCTAGGCTACATAGTAACACTCTGCCTGAAAAACATTTTTTAAAGAGTTTAGAAGAAAAACATCGTCCAAAAATACTGCCTAGAAATTCTGGGAAAAAAATATATAATACAACATATAATTGAAAATTTAGATTTAGTAAATTTAAATACTATTATTTAAATACAAATATTATATATTATCCTTTAAAACTCGGACAGATTTTGAAGAGAATAACATTAACATTTTTGTCTTTTACAAGACAGCCACCTCAACAGAAGGTCACCTATAACTACAAAAGCCAGTTGGAGCTTAAAGAAAACAGTAGAGGGGGAAAAAGCAACTCAGTTAAAATTCTTAGGTCCAAGGCAAGGACACCTTACCCAGAGACCATGTCCATCCCATATGGCTATACAAGGGCCATATGGGATCTTTTGCTCAAGAGCACTCAGCTGAGGGGCTGAAATCAAGTCTGCTCTGTTCTCCAAGCTGTGCACCAGGTGGGTTCGCCTGGCTGGCAGCAAAGGCACCTTCTGTCTCATCCACAGGCATTGCCGACTCGCCAAGAACCGTGGGCCACTGCTTCTCGAAGAAGGTGCCTTTCTCTAATTTCTAGAAAAGTGCTCCTACCCAATCCGGAAGTGGTTTTAAGAAGCCTTTAGTCATTAAGTATCAACAATTTACTTACTCCAGCCCCATATGTCCTTAAAGGAGTGTGCCAACACTGTGGAAAAACAATCAAGCCACATGACTTAACTTACTTTGCCCCCAGATGTATTTGCATTGTCTATCTCTGGTTTTACACCTTCCTCCAAAGCAAATTCCCTAAAATAAGAAAACGAATATCCATCAGCAAAAACAATGTCTGCTGTACGAGACAAGAGAAAAAGAACACACAGTTGGGAAATACAGCCTATGAGTGTGGTCATCTGAATTGATTATGAACCATTCAAACTCATCTTCTTATTGAGATAAAATTTCAGTATTGCTCTCATGCTGGCACCCATGGAAATTTTAGGGAAAAGTGAGTGGCCTACCTGAGTACCATCACAGGGATATCCGTCCATTTTATGTACATTGGGGGCACACTAGGAAGAAAAAACAAGCGATCATCCAAACGTAGACCAAACACAAGGCTGATTCAATCCTGCTGCTAATGTTCTCATTCAGTAAAATCACAGTTGATAATACACCTAATCTCTTAAACTACCTATAAATAAAAAGCAGAAGACTAAAAGAAGGTATGAGGAAATAGAGTTCCTGAGCATTGCTTTAAAAATATGACAACTACCCAAGGCAAAAACTATTCCACAGCCACAAAAGCAAAGAACTTACCAGAATGTCTCAGTGGATAACATATGTACTAGCACATGCTTCATTCAGACACACTGTTCCTTAGAGAAGACAGGGCTTAAGACAAAAGTGAGGAACAGGCCCCCAGCAGTGAAGCCCAAAGTAGACTTTCCTCCCTCCTGCCACTGGGAGCAACACAGTCTTACACTTAAAATGCAGGGAGTAGAGGATACAGTGGAGGAAAGCAGGGCAGAAAGATGCAGACAAGATCAACTAAAATGAAATACATCTGAAAATCTGCTACGGACTCAATAGCTTGCTAGAGAAATTTAAAAATAAAAATAAAAATGTTTTTTAAGAGAAAGAAAAAATGGGGAAGATTTGAAAGGAGGGGAAAAAAAGACTCAAGTCATCTCCGCTATTAACCTTGGAAAAGAATATTGTTTTTCCTTGAAGCAACTTAAAAATTGAAAGGTACTCTGGCGAGGATACAACCAGCCGTACAAAGTTCATCACCACAGGGAGAGAAAAGCATGCCGTTATACGGTCTCTTGGGGAAGATGGCCAGTGTAAGAGGACAGAAAAATGGTGTGACAGAGCAACCACCCAATGCAGCTAGCTCTGCTTTCTAAGCATTCATCTCTACCCTTTTCTCTAAAACCTGATGCTTAAGATAAAAGTAAAATGAAACTGCAGACACACTGCTTTCTGCTCCTCTATTTTTGTCTCATGAACTTCCGTATACCACTGATGTATGGTTTTACAGATAGCGCTTACAATGGATGCAACATAGTAAATGAAGGTAACAGTGTACTAGAACAGTTCCCTATAATAACCATGTTTAACCTGACCCAACAGAGTGCCTCTGTTAAGGCTGGGCTTAAGATTATTTAACAATTCCTGCTTATTTATAATCACACTGATGTAGTATACTCATGCCTAGGAGCCTTCGTGGTAATTATTGTGTCTTTATTTTCATGAGGCATTAGCTCAGAAGACTGCTAATGACATAGTAAGAAAGGAGAATACTCTTACATAAAAATCTCTTTGCATCCTTTAAAAGCAATCATTTTCACCATTATAGGTATATCACTACTTAATCCTTCTCTGGCAGCAAAGGAGAATGACAGCAGTCCTTGCTCTGCTATGCATGAATTTCATTTTCTATGGTTTTGTTAAATAAAACACAAACTTCTCTCCTAGTCTTGTGTTATCTGGTCACTGGGGCAGTAGAGGATGCCCATGATCAGTGACCTGCCTTGTCCCTTCTTCCTGGGCTTATTTAGTCCATCATAACACAGCAAAGCGGACAGCTATATTGTCTCTTTGTTCCTTAGTAACGTCATGTGGGATTTTGCCAAGATAATAATAAAAAAATGCTAGCCAACAGTGATGCCAACCTAAGGGCTCAAAACGTATCTTATTGGATGCATGCACAAGGCCTTGGTTCCACTGCCCGACACGCAGAGATTGGTGTGATGTGACAGAGATAAGTGGCATCTTGCCCCGTTTGCATTTTTCTTGTAACACACCCAAGATGTCCCCACTTTCCCTGTAATTATCCTGTGTAGAGTAATTACTGCATGGATTACCTGGCTTGAATTTCCTGAACATATTTCACGGATATCACAATCATTGACTGCTTCTCGGCACACAGTCCCCAGAGGCTGAAACTGAAAAGAACATCACTCAATGTGCAAAACTGTGATTAAATAAAAGATTTTTTAAAAACCCTCTCATAGTCCCATTTTAAAAAAAAAAAAAGCAAAATGAAAACTGTTTGGAAAAGAACACCTTAAATTATTTTAAGATAGTCTGTACAAAAACAGTTATTGAGCAAATTACTATTTTAATAATTGCAAGACACAGTTTCTTGCAGGTGAATTGACTTTCATAGTCACCACATATGACTGTCACAATACCCTGCTGAAATGGGGCGGAACTTCAAGGAAGAGTCAGCCCACGCTCCAGGAATTCTTGCCAGGCAGCCTGGATTTGGGCTTTATCCATCTTTCTTATTGAACCTTATCTTATAGCTTTTGCTTCCGCTTCGTGCCTTCTCTGCCAAAAATTTTAAAGTTACATTTTGGGCCACATCACAGTTATTTCCCAGCAAAGCTCTTTTCCCTAAGCCTTCTTTCCCATCCCCCTGCCTCATCTCTATGTATATTTAAACCTTGGCCTTCTACTCTTCTCTAATTTTCCATTATTAGTGCCTCTAGAGAAGTGTTGTAGAGGCTCCTTTTGTGCTTCTTGGTTTCCAAATCCCTCAAGTACTTCTTACACGTGTGATGCTGTGGAATCAATCTTGAGCCTCATTGGATTTACAGACTGCAGTTTAATTCCTTATAATAGAAAGCAGAACAGGGACACGCAAAGTTGTCCACAGCTCCCTCACTTCACTCCTCTCCTCTTTCCTCTCAGAACTGTCGATATTGGGGACTGGGTCCATGTCTGTGTTTGCACTCCACTCATAGAGACATGCCCAGGAGCCAAGAGAGAGAGCACCTGTGTCACATATGGTTTCACCTCCCTTTGAAGAGAGTGCTTTCAGAGACCGTGCAAAAAGCAGCCAGAGAGACAGCAACTGAGTGGAAACAACACCAACCACTGCTAGCCGGGCCGGGGGTCAGCAGCGCGGCCGGGGGTCAGCAGCACAGCCGGCCGGGGGTCAGCAGCGCGGCCGGCCGGGGGTCAGCAGCGCGGCCGGGGGTCAGCAGCGCAGCCGGCCGGGGGTCAGCAGCGCGGCCGGCCGGGGGTCAGCAGCGCGGCCGGGGGTCAGCAGCGCAGCCGGCCGGGGGTCAGCAGCGCAGCCGGCCGGGGGTCAGCAGCGCGGCCGGGGGTCAGCAGCGCGGCCGGCCGGGGGTCAGCAGCGCGGCCGGCCGGGGGTCAGCAGCGCGGCCGGGGGTCAGCAGCGCGGCCGGCCGGGGGTCAGCAGCGCGGCCGGGGGTCAGCAGCGCGGCCGGCCAGGGGTCAGCAGCGCAGCCGGCCGGGGGGTCGGCAGTGCCTTCCTCTGAGCAGCCTCTGCAGGTTCCTTAGCACCCTTAGATCAGAACAGCTCAACTGTCAAAATCAGGATGACCATGCCTATTCCAAAAGTGTGCCAGTGAGTGTGGTATCAGGCAGGGGTGATTGTGCCCCAAAGAAGACATCTACACAACATCTGGAAACATTTTGGGTTGTCATAACTGGGGCAACTCTTCTAGAATCTAATAGGTACAACCCAAGATGCTGCTAATATCCTATAAAGCAGAAGGCACATCCTGACTACAGACAGTATGTCTTATTCTTATGCAGACAAGAATGTTGGTGCCAGCCAGGAAATCCAGATTTAAGATGATACAAGTCAAAAGTGCTTAGCCCAAAGAGGACAGTTACCATGACAATTTTATACGCCACCTTCCTTTAACCCATTAAAGCAATCCAATCAGCAAATACTCATTGGAAGTACCATGCATGTTCATTTATTCATTTATAATGTATAGCAATTATTTTGCAAGTACCTGGCTCTGTTCCATAAAAGCACAAGCTAGAGATAAATGGGTCCCAGATCTCAGAAATAACAGAATACTGTTATCAGGCAATGAATGAGGAAAAGAAAAAAACTTTTCTTTGGGGAAGTTAAGCTCTAAATGATGTCTAATCTTGATGCAAAGGTTTAAATATTTGGAGGTAAATCTGAAGATGTTGTGGGGAGGATGTAACAGGATAGGAGATAAAGATCCATTCTCATCTCCATGTCAATATGGCCTTATCTTCTCTACAGCATTCCTCTTGCTCCCTGAGTGGCTAAAGCTGAATGATGCACCAAGATACACACAAGAAAGGAAGAGTGTAATGAGCATCTTCTATCCTAAGATCAGTTAACACCTGGTTATCTTTAAGGAGCCTGTGTTGTGGAATATCATGCTAAGATGTGTTACATTTGTTTATGCTGTGGAACATTTGTTTAATGATACAAAGATGTGTTGCATTCTTTTATGTTGCATTTGTGTAACTCTGTGAAGCTGTGTTACTGTGCCTGTCTAAAACACTTGATGGTCTAATAAAGAGTTGAACACCAATAGCCAGGCGGGAGAAAGGATAGGTGGGGCTGGCAGGCAGAGAGGATAAATAGAAAGAGAAATCTGGAAGAAAAAGATCAAAGAAGGAGTGAAAGAAGAAGTAGCCAGAGAAGGAGGAGGACATAAGGGGCCAGCCCCCCAGCTACACAGCCAGCCATGGAGTAAGAGTGAAAGTAAGATATATGGAAGTAAGAGAAAGGTAAAAGTCCAGAGGCAAAAGGTAGACAGGATAATTTAAAGTTAAGAAAAGCTGTCAAGAAACAAGCCAAGCTAAGGCTGGGCATTTATAAGTAATAATAAGTCTCCATGTTTGATTTATTTGGGAGCTGGGTGGCAGGGCCCCCAAAGACCAAAGAACAAAAAGCCAAAAGAATAATACGAGTGAAAAACAAACAACATTTTGGCATTCCAATGTGGGGCCATGGAAAGCTGAACAACAAGCCTACACCTAGGGAGTCAGGATGGGGAGGACGGCCTCTGAGAACAGCAGGGTTCAGGCTCCAGCTCTCTCACTGGCTGGTTTAAGTCACTGGGTAAATTACTATTACATGAGAATGCTACCAAAAGCCACACTTCAGGAGGCTTCAGGGGGATCTTGTGGCCACTAGGAATTTAGTCTTTTGCTCTGTATCAGATTGTGTTATTAGGTTATGCATACATAGACTAAACAGCTTACGCACATGTCTCCCTTTCAACCTTCGGCCATTAATTGGCCAATTATTTACCTTGCACTTTTTGCAACAAAGGCCATCACTGCATTGAGAGTCCTGAGTCAAGGTGCATTTCTTACAACACTCTGCTCCTTCAAGGGCACATTCCTAAGGAATATAAGCAGTTGCAAAACACTAGAAAATGTCATTTTCCACAAATACCAAGGTGTTTTTTAAAGTAAATGTTCAAACTCACAATGACAATCATTCACCCACAAATCCTATAAAATTTCTAGATATAATGCTCAGTATTATCACAAGTGCATACAGCTAGAATGACCCTAAAACTAGTCTTCAAAATGACAAGGGGACTTACCGCAGTGGTGCCACAATCACACTCCTCTCCAGTTTCAATGAAGCCATTTCCACACTCAGGAGGATCGAGAAGCTGTTGGAAGAACACCAAGAAGGGGCTGAAATACAGAAACATCAAAGACCCCAAGGGCTGACGCCACAGCAACATACCCTGTGTATATGTGATCTGCTCTAACTATATTTTTATTTACCTTAAAGTAAAAAGTACAACTTTAAAACTTGGAACTTCAGATAAATTTTGGTTTCTAATATTCAGACATAGTACTATATATTTATATTATATAATATGCATACCAAGTAGGGTCTCGTAAATGTCACCAAACAGATAATCTAACCACTGAGGTAAACCAAGACAGTTTGTCATCTGAAAATTCATTTTGGTGAGAAAACAGGAAATTTCGAGTCAGGAAGCCTAGATTAAAATCTTAGTACAGGGTAGGGTAGTACTTAACACCACAACACGTTTGGTGTGTGGGAGGTGCTGGATTCAATAGCCAGTAATAAAATACAACACAACACAATTCAACACAGCACAATGGAAGAAGACACAAATGATAAAGTAAAACCCTCCCACAAGCAACACAGTGGAGACTTTACTACCTTTAAACACAAACAGTAATATAAGCTGTCCATCTAATTAATTAGCTGTCTAAAATCATGAGGATCAAGTGTAATCACTTGTGAAAAATCCCATTATTATCTTTTTCAATTTGCTAATACTCTGTTAAGAATAATTTTTGTAGATCTGGAGAGAGGGCTCAGTGGCTAAGAGCACTTGTTGCTCTTGTAGAGGACCCAGGTCCATTTCCTAGCACTCAAATGACAGCATATAATTATCTGTAACTGTAGTTACAGCAATTTCGAATCCTTCTGGACTCTTCAGACACCAGGGATGCATGTGGTTCATATACATATAGGCAAGCAAACACTGATAAAATTAAAATTAAAAAATAAATCTTTAAAAGGAACACTTGTGTATCTATACTAAGGAGGGGTATTTTCATTTCTTCTTTTAAGATTTAATTCTCTCTCTCTCTCTCTCTCTCTCTCTCTCTCTCTCTCTCTCTCTCTCTCTCTCTCTCTCTCGTGTGTGTGTGTGTGTGTGTGTGTGTGATGCACATGACTGCAGGTGCCTTCAGAGGCCAGACACATTGGATCCCCTGGAGGTGGCATTACAGGAAGGTGTGAGCCACACAATGTGAGCAACAGGAAACTAGTGTGTGCTCTTAACTGCGGAGCCATCTTCCCAGCCCTTCCTTTGTTTCTTATTTTTAAATTAGCTTTGTTTAGCATACAGTGACATGGGTCTCATACTGACATTTCAGACTGCAGCTCCCTTTCTTCTTCGTCTTTTTTAAGACAAGGTCTTACTGTGTATCCCAGGTTGGCCTGGCTGTGTAGCTCTAGCTGGTCTTGGCCTCACCATGTTCCTCCTAACTTAGCTTCCAGAGTGCTGAAACTGCAGGCATGGCCTCCCAGGGTCTGACTCTGCTTCGTGAACAAAGTTACTTGAGATAAGAAGGTGATCACAAAATTACTATGCCCACTGACCTCTTCCATATAAACCATGACTACGGCCGTGAGCACGGATTTGCAGAGAACGGCAGTTAAGAGCTCCCATAATTAAAGCATTCTGACCTAATTGAGAGGAGATTTTTAAGCCTATTTAAACTTCCATCATTTTTTGTCTTCTGAATATAATTTATCCTATGGTGATGTACAGCATTAGTGCACAGTAATTACTATTAGCAAGCTGTGTAGTATTCATTTAGAAGCTAACCAAAGTTTTCACATTACAGAATGAAAATATAAGTCCATACTTTTGTAACTAGAAAGGATGAAAGGAAACCAAACAGAACTCCTACTCATTTCTGCCTCCTATCTATATCAGAAATAGTTCAGCATCTCCCAGATTAAAGCTGACCCCAAAATGAAGACATGTAACCTACCTAAAATAAGCTCATCAGATCAAACTGTAGACTTGGTGGATGAAAATTGGTGTTTATGAAAGCGTGCAATGATTCATAAATAATAAGTCTTGCCCACAGTTATTACCTTAGAAGGTTTGTTGAACAGGCAGGCACCACCGCCACTATTCAAGAAGTCATGATACTCCTCAATATTGCATTGAGTGAACTTTTTAGGGAGATAATAGCTGTAGGAGAATAGAAAGTGAATACCTCAGTACAGTGTTAGTGTTCCTTGTTTATTTGCTAGTCTTAAATTAGAACAGTGTTAAAATTATACATCCAGTCAACCATTATATTTCTAAACTTTTCATTCAGTGATGTGTAGTAGCTATTGGTTGCTCATTTATTTGCATATGAACTAAAAGATAGATATACATACAGCACCTATAATTTACATCAAAGACAATAAACTTTATTCCATAATGGGTGAATAATATACAACTAGCTACACCTCAATGATCAGAGAATCTATAACATAACTGCCTATAATTTATAATATGTGTCAGGCCATGAAAGTTGAAGAAAATCTAAGGGATTTTCCAGTCTGAAAGTATGTAAAGAAAGGAAGCTTAATAAGATGCCACATTCTGAAGCTGCTGGGGGATGTCTTTCTGTACAGTGTGAATATGTGTTGCTATGACTGATTAATAAAGAAGCTGCTCTGGCCTATGGTGAGTCAGGTTAGAGGCAGGTGGGAAATCCAAGGAGAGAGACAGGAAGGAGAAAGGCCGAGTCTAGAGATACACTGCAAGCCGCCACCAGGAGAAGCAAGATGCCAGCAGACTGGTAAGCCACAGAACACATGACAAAACACAGATTAATAGAAATGGATTAATTTAAGATATAAGAGCTAACTAGCAAGAGGCCTGCCATACACCACACAGTTTGTAAATAATATTAAGCCTCTGAGTAATTATTTTATAAGCAGCTGTGGGACCGCGGGGCCAGGTGGACCCGGAGAAAGCCTTCCAGCTACATGAAGCTTCAGCTGTAAATAACATTTCTGATTTATGGGTCAGTCCTGAATGTGGGGAACTGCACAATTTTCCTGGCTCTTCTCTGGCTAGTTGGAGGGTTCCTGTTATAGGAAATGCACCCAAAGGGTTTGAGGGTGACTAGACACCAAACTAGCAACTAGTTTATGATTCAGGGTACCAATGGGATCTTTTCTTACTAATCTTATGACTTTTTCTAAAGTTTGAAATTGTTTTAAATTATGTAACAGAAAGAAGTGATAAATGGTCCAGAGGAAAAAAGAAATGTGGTGAGATTAAAAATTTAGCACTTATACAGTAAGAATCCTCAAAATAAACATACCTTTGGAACAGTAATTCTTGGTTTTAGATTTTTTTTCCTTACAAAAATAGTTAGCTATATGCCCAGAGGTATATGTACAAACATTTACAGCAGCATAGTGTATAATAGTAAAGAACACGGAAGTAACTCAGATGTTGACTCATAAGGGAACAGCTAACCAAACTGACACATGGTTACAACAGAACAGCACAGAGTTATTAATAGTCACGGGTTTGAAGAACAGAAATGACGGCTACTCAGTGTTAGCTGAGAAATGAATATTTATATATCTAGTAGGAGCCAAAATTTATAAAACAATAAAAATGGAAATTAAAAATAATAATTAAAATGTAGTAACTTTTTAAAATCAACTATGACTACCACTGGAGAAAGAAAATGTCAATTTTATTTATAAATTTTCAAAAACTGTCTTATCTTGAAATTTTATTTAAAAGGGAAAAACAAGATAATAATGAATAGCGTTTACTTATTTTGTTTTTTTGAGAAGGATCTTATGATACAGTCCACACTGGCTTGAACTGACAATCTTATCTCCATCTCGCCAGTGACAGGATGAGAGGTGCCCCACTGTGCCTGGACAGTGAACATACGTTATTAAGCTTCTCTCCCCAGTCTTCAGGGACTTGTTTTTAACCATAGCATTGATTCTTTGTAGCATAGTAGTTAATATTTCACAAATTAATTAATATAATTCATTATTATATGCTGAAACTAATTGTATTTTTTTACTAAAATACTCCCCAAATAAAGCTGTAATGTGTATAAGTCATCTAAACTATTTTAATCCCTTTACTCCCTTTTCCTACAAAGACAAACTGTCTTTCAGGTGAAGAGTTTCTTCATCTGTTACTTCCCAACAGGTGTTCTTGCCACCTTGCCTTCTAGTCCTTCCTACAGGTCTCTGCCAGGTAGCCCATTATAAGTAGGTCTCTCTCCAGGTTCCCTATTTCTTCTACTGCTCAAGCTGAATCAGCTCCCAACTCAGCCTTAGACGCCAAAGTCCTGTTAGAAGTTGGCCATAGCAGCACATGCTTCAAATCCCAGACCTGGAGGAGTAGAGGCAGAGGATGATGAATTCAAAGCCAGCCTGGGATACATGAGACCCTGTCTCAGGGTGGAAAACAATCCATTGTGACATTAGTCCTGCAAATGTACTCACTAGGGTCACAGCCTAGCCTGGAATTCTGCACACTGTAAAACAGGAAACCCGAACCATTTCTCAGCCCTCGGTGGTGATGGGAAACAAATCTTCCACATTCAACCGTAGATCTGTTTTATATATCAACAGTTGAAGTGTGTAGGTCACAGAAGTTTGTCCTCCATTTTGCAGGGTAATGTATGAATTGCATTCAACATATCCTTAAGTTACCTAGTGGTATCGATTTCAACCATGTCTCCAACAATAGCAGTGCCAGTGACCTTCAGGATGCAATGAGGGCATGTACCTATGGAGTACACAGGGGATGCTGAGGAGGGCTCAGACCAAAGAGAGCCACAGCAGATAACGCTTACACAAAGGGGTGTTCTCTTGAGCCTATACATTTATATATATATATATATATATATATATATATATATCTTAAAGTGACTATTTGATTTCTCTATAATTATGCTTCACAATATAGGAATTGTCTATACAAATTTAATGTCACTAACCAAAAATAATCAGATATATTAAATACAAATTTTGAGACAGGGTCATACTGCTTAGTTCTGGGTGGCCTGAAACTCACCATGTAGACCAGGATGGCTTCCAACTCACGAAAATCTACCTGCCTCTGCCTCTCAAGTGCTGAGATTGAAAGTATGTGCTACCACACCTGGCTTATTTTAAATAAAACTCCTAATTAAAAAGATCCATAACATGAAATATAATAATAACTGGAAAATCACAATTACAAAATTCATTCTTAATGAACAAAATATACAATGAAAAAATTTTAAATACTTTATAAACATGTTTGTAAGTATACTTCCTCCCATCCCTTATTGTCCTTATTATCCTTAGAGTTCAAAATTCAAACGGAATCAATAAATATTTACTGAATATCAAGTCTATTTAAGGAGGTATGAAATAAAAATTAGTAAAAATATAATTCTTCAAGCATGCATGACTAAATGTTGAGATGAATAATGCATATATACAGACTTAAATTATAATGCAGAGAGCACTGGGGGTGAGGGTCGAGGTGGTAAAAGTGCCTGCCATCGAGGCAGGAAGACCTAAGTGTAGATCGCTAGCACTCATGCAAAAGCTGAGCCCAGCAGCATCCATCTGTAACTCCAGCACCAGGGGCTATACGGTAGATCCCTGGAGGAGAATAACCAGCCAGCCTAGCTGATGAGATCCAGGTTCAACAAGAGAGCCTGTCTCAAAAAAGATGGCAAAGTGAAATAGAGGAAGACACCCACTGGGGACCTCCGGTCTCCACGTTCTCATGTATACTTGGGCATGAACACCAGCACACACCTACACATAAGTACACCACACACAAAAATTATCACGCATGGGTTAAAATCATGATAAACCTCAAAGATGGCTAGAAATGTGATTGGATAGAGAAAACAGGGGAAGGCATTCTAAAGAAAAACAAGTTATTCAGGAAACCAAAAGGAGACGGAAGTTCAAATATAATCATAATAAGCAAATTTGGAGAAGCTAAAAATCCATGTAGGATTATGCTTAGCAAATCAAAAATGCTAGAACCCACAACCAATTATGATAAGAAAACAACAGAATACTGGAAAATGATATGGTAAATGAGAATAAATATACGGATATATAAACCATCTAAACAAAAAAGTAAGAAATTTGAACCTTATTCTTTTTCACTTGTTTGTTTTTTGAGACAGCCTCATGTATATTTGGCTGGCATCCAACTCACAATACAGCAGAAGATGACCTTTAACTCCTGATCCTCCTGCCTCCACCTTCCTAGTTTTTGGGGTTACAGGTGTGTGCTACCACACCTGTCAGTTTTATTCTTCAGACAGTTGTGATTCACAAAAGTTCTGGGTAACACATTGGTATTTAGTAAACAAATGTTACAAATTGATGGCATGGATTAATCTTACAAGCATAATGTTATCTAAGAAAGCAAAAGACATGAAAACATGTTATGAGACGTCTCATGAGTCATAAGCATGTGAAGCAATGATACTTTACATATATACATATGTAAATTCTGTAGTATTACAAAGGACCTGTGAATAACAACCAGAATCAAAGGTGGCTGCCTTGTTGAGGATAGGGGTGATAAGGGGAACACAGTGTCTCCCTTTTGAAAGCTGAGACATGAGTGTGTAAAGCCGGAAAGAAGCCTGAGTGTGTGGAATGGCAGTGAATAATAATAGCAAGAAAAACAAACTCTAAAGGAGGGCAGAGTGATCAGTCTGGATTGAAAGGAAGGGTTCTAGCAATTTATTAATAATAAAAAAAAGACAGGTCTGACTGTGTGAAGATGGGATAGTATAAAAATGAAAATCTTGTGCTCTTCCCAACTCCGTGCTCAATGACACTGCACTATGAAGCCACCACACCATCATCAACGTGGAGTCGAGAGATACAAATACAGGCTGCAATTTTTTTGTTGTTTCATTTTGAGGGTCAATTTAGCAGTTGAACTGAAGGAGATAAATAAAAGGGATTTAGTAAACAAACCTAACAAAAGAAGAGAACTGTCACCTCATTACAATTCTAGCGTAGACCTAAGACTGAAAACGTTCCTCGGGTCTGCTCATTAACTTCAAGTAGTTTTGTTTTATTTTGTCTTAAGTAAGAGGTTATTTTGTAAAAATATTTTGCATGCAGGGCCATCAGGAATATTTCTTTTTGATGTTTCTCGTAAGTGCCTGTAGTGCAGTCCATGCACTAAGTGATAGCGTGTCCCACTCCCAGGAAGGTGACGAGAAGTGACTCACCCGGTGTCTCCCATGACACAGCCAGACCACGTGTCCTCACATTTACACTCTCCTAAGAGAAAACGAATGCACAGCCTGTCACAAACTGGACGCAGCTGCACTGAAGTAGCTTTTATTGTATCTTAGCTCTGTGTTCAAAATGGTTTTTAAAGGCATATTTCAAATTCTGCTTACACTAAAAAAGCTTTGGCTGCAATGTATAAAAAGCAAAATGAGTTTGACCCCATGGGGTCATATACATTGCCCCAATGCTTCACAAATGGTCATATTTTCAAACCGCTCACTTTAAAAAGCTACATGAAAGACAATCAAATAAAAAACAAAAAAAAAAAACCCAGCAAAAACGTAATGGCACCTCACTAGGACCCCCGGCTTCAGCAGTTTTGAGGGGGGAAATATTGCAGGGTCTTTCCATTTCTAAAATCCTCAGTGCTGAGGACTCTGGTAGAAGGTGGTAGAGAATTCTGGTTGATTAAGCAGAAGTCTCCAGAATCAGAGACTCCCTGGCTTGAAAGTCCTAATTTGTCACTTAATACATGTTTAATCCTGCAGACAATATCCTTTTATGACCTAGCCACTTCATCTGTAAAGTAGTACTGAGAATAAGCATCCTGTAGGATCATTTTGAAACTCAGATGAGAAGGTAGATACATGTAATAGGGCCTTTGATCATCCAGGAAAAAATAGCTCTCCATAAATGGTATTCTTATTACAGGTATTTGTTGCTAAAATAATTAAATAAATAATTAAACAATTAAAACGAAATTGTTACCACAAATATACAGTATTAGACCATTCACAGAGAAGTACCTTTACCTACTCTGGAAAAAAAATTTTCATGGATGCTAAGGCTAGCAAACTTTAGTTGATCTACATTTTCTTAGGCCCTTCATCAGGTCTGGTCTCAACAAGGAAGTTCTGTGTCTCGGGCCATATGCAGAGATGTCTTAAGTAAACCATAATACAATACAGTCTGAGCTCCAAACAACCTAGAATTCTCCACAAGAAACTTTCACATTTCCAAAATGAGCTATCTTTGTCCCTTTTGGGGTTAAATCCAACTCTGACCTTATCATCACACGGTTTCACTGTTCTTTAAACATGGGGAATTTTTCACATATGATGTACATATTCTCTTCATTACTTTTGAAAGCAACATTTTATCACTAGTTTGCATATCTTGCTCTACTCCCCACAATCCTGATCAAGCAACCGAATTAAAAAGAATCTCATTCCACAAAATATTTAACAGGCTGTCTACAATAATAATTAATAAATTCAACTAAGTCACACAGGACCAAAACTTACCACTTGCTAATTTTCTCTTGTCTGAGATTATACCAATATTGTGGGCTAACGACTGAGCAAGGGTAACTGCCATCAAATCGGTTTTTCCAAACTGAAAAACGAAATCAAAATAAATGTAAGTGAGCACTGTTTTCCATAGAAGATAGATCAGAGAAAATGGTAGGGAACAACCGAAAACAAGCCATTTCTGAGCATTTTCTTCCCTTTGTGTGTGATGTGTTGGAGACAGGGCCTCTCGATGTTGCCTAGGCTTACCTCTAACTCATGGTGAGCCACCTGCCTCAGTCTCCTTGTTGCTGGGGTTATAGGCATGCATTACCATGCCCTAAACATTTTCCTTAGTCGAGTCTAAGCATCTTGTAGCTAGTACTGAACATGCAATTGGGATGAAGTAGTAGGAAACAAATCCATACATGATTAAGTCTTAGAAGAAATACTGCAAGCCAGAGAATCATTCATTTCATAGTTTGGAAATTTAAGTAAACACAATTATGAATCCAAATTTCACCTGATAACATCCCTGAAAAACTTAATAACTGTACATTACTAAGCTAGTCTTTGAATGACACATAATAAAACTGTGTCAAATTATCTGGAACTACTTTTTTTCTCAAGTGGAATAGAAAGCAGCTTTAGCAAACGTAATGATGGTCTATAGCCAACGGAATCTGTGGCCTTCCAAAGACTGAAGCATTTTCCTTTACTTTGTTTACTTTGTTTAGTGTGTTACAAGTAAACCTTCTCCAGGAAACCCTTCTATACTCTTTCATTGTCCCCAAATTTGTCAAATACTGATCAAAGAAGAACACTTCCAACAGGTTTGCTAGGTGGCAATCCAGTGCTTCAGGGACTACTCAAATCTGGAAAAATCCTCATTCAACAATGTAAACACTCGGGCTCCATTCTTATTTTCAATGAAGGTTAGTGTACAGATTCTCTCTATATGAACTGCTTAATCTGGAAATTAGTCTATGCAGAACATGAGCACAATCATCAGGCAGTATATTTCATTCTTTCCTATTCTGTTGTCTGGGCACACACAGGAGCTATATTGATGACTAGTAAAGCAGTCTAGCAGTTGAAGACTGTGGACTACTGAGAAATTACTTCTGAAGTATTAGGAAAACATTTTCAGCCATCATACCACTTTGTATTGCACAGATGTTCACACCTACTTCATTCACGCCTCCTCCTCTCAGCAGCGAGCAAATCCCACCAATATAAGCTGCGCCGCTCCGGCTACTCTCAAATTGACTTCCCCTTTTAGAAAAGGAAATGAAAAATGCTTACTGCTCACAGTTCACACAGCCAAGACCTTCTCAGAGTTAACTTACCACATTTATTTTCTCAATGCATACAATACATTCCCAAGGTAAGGAAGGGATATGAAAGTAATTTACACACGTGATCAAAGAGAAAGGTTCCTGAGGGCTGCTTCCCCACATGATCAATATATATCTTACATGGAAATACATCTATGAAAAATCAATTGCAGATATGATACTCTCTGAGAATACAAAAAAAATCACTGTTTTAGAGATTTAGCCCAAAATATAATTAATGATAACATATCAGACATTCCTACAATGAAGAGCCATCAATAAGATAGTCGATGCTCTTCAAAAGTATCATGTTCAACATGGGCAAAGGCTGAGGAAATCTTTCAGCTTAAAGAAGACTAAAGAGACAAACAGGAATCACACTGTGGATCACTGTCCTGGATGCTGAAAGAGAAATGTAGCTGCAGAAGGGCATTAAGACACTTGTTGAAGACTGAACACTGAACTGAACACGGACTATGAACTATGTAAGGACGTCACATGGTGTTAAGTATTCTGTTTTTAATGATTTATTGTGTTATTTAAAAGAATGTCTTTATTTCTAAGAGAATGCATGGAATGACTCAAGTATTTAGTAGGAAATGCAAACTGTCTCCAATTCTCATTTGTACAGGAAATGAGAAAAAATGCAAGTCTTGAATTTGTGTAAAGTGTAGGCAATTTCCTTATGGCATTCTGGCATCTTTTCTCTAAATCTGAAATTAGATAAAAAATTAAAAATAACACCCAAAATACATCTTTCACATCTAATCATAACTGTCCTCAATAGCTCTGATTTTAGATAAGGTCCTAAAATTCTACAGACTATATTTTGCTGCTATATCAAATATGTGTATTACTAAAGGAAAGAACACAAGAAGAGTAGATAAGAAACTCCAGAAACTTCCTTAGCTCTTACCGCAGAACCCAAACCATAGAGAGAGCAGTGGCATTTAAAACATGCCAATTTTAAAGAATATAATAAATTGTGGGAATTCCCTGTATGAATGTGACAGTATATTTCCTCAGTAAATGCTCTGACTATGCATTGGGAAAATAATGAAATAGACAAGCAATAATAACTTAAGTCACTTAAACCTCATGAAAATTCCAAACAACCTATACTTCAAAACTCATTCCAAATGCACAGCCATATCACATAATAATTGTGTTATCACAGAAGGATGCATTTCAGTCACAAGTAAGAGAAAGCATTCAACGTGGAACCAGAAAGAGTAAAAGTATTTTAAAAGTTACATACGAGAAAAGATGAACTGCGTCACTCTTCTCTTTGATAAAATCCCTCCTGTATTTCATAAACTCACGCAGGGTGATCAGTGGGTTCTCAGATATGGCAAACTTGTTGTCAGCAGCCCAGGTTTCCATGGCAACCAGTACTATCCTAGTCTTAAGTTGGCCTTTATAGATCTAGGGCATTAACGAAATGGACACATCGGCTACACACGCGGTAAGGTCAGTTTATGAAGCACTCCAAAGTTCCGTTCCTGGAAATGTCTTTGTTTTAATTAAAGGAGATCATGACTTTCCTAATTTGAATGCACTTCCCTTAAAGAAGAGAGAATCAAACTATTTACCTAGGAAAACCCAATGAACAAAGCAAATTTTAGACATAGACAGTGTTTTCTTTTGACAAACATGCTCAATGTATGGCTTTCCCCAAGTCCACATTTGGCATCCTAGATAAATAATTTATGAAAACCTGAGTTTCTCTGACAAAAAGGCAGAACAATAAAGGTTCTCTAAGGAAGTGACCGCTACACAGCCTGTGTGGTGTGGAGGAGAGTGCAGAGAGAATTATTTGGGAGCTCGGCCAGTCAGAGCCTGGCCATGGTACTGGGTGTTTCTGAAGAGGCTCAGTTCCCGTACCATCGCTGCACTGATGTCCAGACGTGCACCATGAGTATCTCTGCTAAAGCCTGTGTGGAGGTCAAGCTCTGTCTTTTACAGTATGAAACACACAAGAAAAAATGCAAGCACATCTTTGGCCAGCCCACCTTCCCAAACAGATTAGTCAATAGAATCCCTGGCAAGGTCCCCCAGGTCTCTGAGGTCATCCTGGCTAAGTGTAACTTGGAGGAATGTGAATATAGTCACCTGATTACCCACCTACTAGCAATAAGGGGCAACGATGAGTGGGGTTGGTACTTACCATATCCGCCATGTTCACCACAGACTTCGCATAGGTATTTGTATGTACAACGGAGAGCCGATGCTTTTTAAACTGAAAGCAACAGACAACAGGGAAGGGTGTTCAAAGTCACCAGGAAAGAAGCATCTTAGGATAGGAAACAAAATATCAGAAAAATTCCCAAGGCTTTCAGTCAAAAAAAACTCAGGGTTGAGCATTATCTACCCTGAAGTCTGGAAGCTGGAGACTGAAGGCAAAGATGACTTTATCTCATGTGTGAGACCAAATTCAGTAAGTTCCTCATTAAGGGACCAGAAAATAGCATATAATATATAAGCTTGGTGCACACAAGGTTCTGGGTTCAACCCTCCACATATTTAAAACAGCACCCACTCCGTCCGCTGCACAGGTTTATTTTGGGGGTTGTTCAATTGAAAGCTGTTACGACCTATAAGACATGCAGTGAGACAGGACCAAAGGTAGTCAACGCAGATGTGGCTACAGGCGTGAGATTCTACAAGTTCTACATGGCTCTGGAGTAAGAGAAACCCTAAGGTCCAAATCGCAAGGAGATGGCTCAGAGTCAACGTGGGTCACGTGTTTGGTCTGCTTGGCCTCAGTGGTATTCTAAAAGGGTTTATCACATAACCCAATTTCTTTTTCAAGTAGCACCCTCACACGACAAGCACTGAGGGAAGCTGCAGATAAGGAGCCCATGGAAGCAAACTCTCATCCATGCTCTTGGGAACACCCCTAGTGAAACACATTGGTTAAAAAAAAAGACATGAAAATAGTAGAAATGGGCTACATGAGAAAGGAAGGGACTGGGAGAGGAATAACAGGAGAAGATAATGGGGGGCAGTGGAGAGGTGAATATGGTCAAAATGCATTACAGACACATGAAAATGCCAACACATAACAAGCTCATGATTATGTACAGCTAGTACATAAAGATAAAAAAGAAGTGCTTTTGGACCCTTATAAACAATTGCTAGTTATTTCCACCTAAGCACGTTTTCTTTTTACAAGTTGTTCCTTGGTTGGGCTTCCCCTCTTCTCTGAAGCTCCTCTTCTCACTGTGCGGCTGCTTGCTGAGAGTGGTAGAGCTCTATACAGGTGGCACAGTGGGCAGTCGCCAACACTCAGAGATTGTTTGCCTTGGGTGCTTTGATATTAAACCCTAACAAAAGTGTCTGAGCGCTTCCAAAAGCAGTGTGTGTGTGTGTGTGTGTGTGTGTGTGTGTGTGTGTGTGTGTGTGTTTACACAAATGGGTTTTCCAAGTCACAACTTGATGAGGTTTTTGTTTCTTCTAAACATACTTTTTACACAACAGCTAGGAGCAAAAAGGACAGAAGGAGAGGGGAGGCGAATCTTACCATGATATGATCATTCACAATCATCAATTCGATGTATTTGGTTTCCTCCTCTACATTGCGGGGAAATCGAAGAAGCTGTAACACAGTGAAAAAAAAAAAAAGAATAAACATCTAAAGTTAGCTGCAAAAACTAAAAGCTTGGGAGAAATCAATTAAACAAAATTTGCCTTTTTACTCCAGCATTAACTTTTAAACTCTCCTCAATTTTCTTAGTTTTGGAGTAGATAAAACATGGGTATGGTTTGAAAAAAAATCAATGAAGAATAAAAATCAAGGATGAAATTGTCCTCTTGCCTCTACTCCCTTCTTCCATGGGGTTGTAGCAAATTACTAAGTTTTTTCCCCCAGAATGTTTACACAAATACAATTAAATACGATATATGCTTCATATGCTTACGTACCTCACGCTTGTCTCTATCAACACACTTTTATCTACCCGTGGCGTGGAAGCAACACAAGCAGAGCATTGTTCCTGCGTTAGTTCAATGCCAACAGTACTTCCGACAGCGAGGGACTGGGACTTTTCTGGGTCATCTCCAAATCTAGGAGCGGCATGACTTTCCTCTGGTGTGGTTCACAGGATCCCCACAAGCTACAGGGGTGTGGTCAGCATAGCGCTGAAGTTCCCAAGTAGTCCTGGAGTGTCTTTAACTGACACATCTCTCTGCTCAACAAGTTCTCCTCACTTTCAAAACCACAATCAGTCAATACTATGGGCAAAGTCACCAGGGCAGCCATCCCTTCTGCCCATCCATCACAGTCATTAGCAAGATCTATGAGACTGACTTTTCTTTTATGCCACTCTTCAATAGAGGACTCCCCACCCCCAGTAAACCTTGTTCACTTGCAAGACTATTTTCGTGATGAGGGCACACCATCAAAATCAAACCAAAATCAATACATGTATGTTTGAGTGCTACATTTTAAACAAACTAAAAATATACAGCCCCATAGATTTTTGTCTCTTTCTAAATGTATTCTTTAGCCTTTAAAAAAGACTCTTACAACATTAGTTTCACAGAGAATAATGGACTGTATTTTTAATCTAAAAACTAAGCAGGAAAACTAACACAAGAACAAGAAGGTCCGACGAGGACAACAAACTCTCCCTTACGCACTGCGGCTTCCTAGTTAATCTAGAAGACTTTCCAGTGAGTCCCAGCATTTTTCTCAATGCCTGGGACTTGCATTTGGACACAGTATCACACTTACTCAAATTCATGAGTTCATAAAGAAGTGAAAGGTTCTCCTTCCTAGCCAATGACAAGATGTTGAGATGCTTCTAAAAGAACTTCAAAACACAGGTTAATAGGATATTTCTCCTACTCTCTTAACTCAGAATTCATAACAATAAACCATTTTGTAAATTAAATCTTTATAGGAATTGTTTTTGCCTTAATTTAACTCAAGACATTCATGTGTCTGTATCTAAAGAATGTACTTCAAGCTTATGGTCGTGACTTGGAGAACACACTGGCTTCTGAGGGGTGGGTAGAGACATGTCTGGGACCAGATTTTCTGTATGAGAATCACAGCTCCTATTTGAGCCTTGTGCGTCCTGTCCTTATCAGTAAGTATAGATCATAACAGTAACTTCTTCATAAGGATATCATGAGGAGCAAAAGTGTTAACATTCTGTCCAATTCTTCAATTAAACAGTTAGAAATTCTTATAAAGTGGACATGTACATGCTAAGTTTACAACAAATATTAGCAACTGTAATTCACACAAACATCTGTCTGAAACTACATTCTATTTTAACCAGACATGGACGTCTACGCCTGTAATCCCAGGACTAGGGAGACAAGGGTAGGGTGAGTGCTGGAGATTGGAAGCCACTCTGGGCTACAGAATGAGACCCTGTCAAAGAACAAAAGGAAACAGAGAGCACCCAGCACAGGCCTTAGAAACAGTTCCCGGGGAGGCTGAAGCAGAAAGAGCACAAGTTCTACACCCGCCACTAGAGCAAGCTCAAGTCCACATCGCACAACTTGAGCGGATTCTGTTTCTAAAATGGCTCTGCATACAGCTCAGTGGCTTGGCATGTGAGCATTGCTAGGTTTGGTCCTGGGAGGTGACTAGACGCTGACATGTGTATGAGGAGCAAGCACATGCATAATGAGTATTTCCCTGTCCTCTCTATAAAGTAAGTACTTCATACAACCTTCAACAGATTCACTTTCATCCCCATCTATTTCATTCCTTGGGTGCTTCTTATGCCACGTGCACACACATGCTCCCACAAGCCACCATCACCATGATAGTGATGAATTGACTCTGACAGCAGATCTTTATTCCAGGCCATTTAATGTCAACTATGTGACACAAGGCAAGTCATCCTCAGATGTGAGAGCCACATGACAGAACAGTACCTGCCCCTGTGCTTTAAGGTGCCTTAGGTACCTTAAGGACAGCTGCTATCACCACAATATCCGGTTAAACAGTCCTAAAGCTACGTCCTCATTTATATACTAAATCCAAGGCAGCTCAAGTGAGAAAAAGGCATTTTGTGGCTTCACACCCTGTCAAGAATAGCAAAGAAGACCCCATGAAGTGGTTCATATCTGAGCAAGGGAAGAAACCTTGCTTCAAGCAGAGACCTCATGACCCATGGCAATGAGGACTCCATCCTCCTCCATCTTCTAGCCACTCCCTGTAAAATAGTGCATCCTGCTGCTGCTTCCCTGCACTGTCACCTGCTCTGTTTCCCCATCCCCACAAATGGCCACACTGGTCCTTACACACACACACACACACACACACACACACACACACACACACACCGCAGACACTGAGTGGAGACTCAAAGGATCACCAGTAGCCAAGTGTTCTAAATACCATGGCTTACAACTGCAAACACATACCTGTCGTTTACTCCGCTTTAGTCTTGGCTTCAAAACAACTTTTGGCGGAGTAATATTTACTCGTTGAAATTCTACAAGGAAATAAAAACAAACAGTGCATTTTCCAGACTTCTTTAATAGAAGGCAAAATTTCACTAATTTTTCTTTCTACTTAGTGAGTACATAAATCATTAAGTAATTATGTTGCATTAACCATAAATAAGTATCTAATGGGTAAATACAATACACAAAAGCTCAAGCACATCCGTCCTACTTCATGTCATGTTTTCATAGTCATCCTATGAATACGAACACATTCTTTGTTAAAAACCTGCTAAGTAGTCAACCTGAATGACTGGGAAACGGGAGCAAATCCAACACACTCTTAACATGGCCTATTAGGAAACTAATCAGGACACCAAAATTGGACTCAACTGTTACCAGTTCATACACATTCTCTTCCCAAGACAAAATTGATCTAAGGCCTTGTTTACTATTACAAGGCAATGGGACAACTTGAGTCCCTCTTTAACTTGCAGGTCAGAATCACGCATAAACTATTCATGGATATAGATAAATTCATCTCTGGATTCTAGGTGAGTTGTAAGGGAAAACTTTCTACAAAGTGATGTAAATGGATGGAACTAGCAAAAATCATCCTGAGTGAGGTAACCCAGATCCAGAAAGACAAATACGGTATGTACTAACTGATAAGTGGATATTAGCTGCAAAGTGATTGCTCCCACACACATGAGTATATGAGCAGTACAAATTGAACTTGTTGGGTTATTACTAAAAAAAAAAATAGTTGGGAAGGAGTAGAAAGGCAGGGGGATGGATCTGGGAGAAGTTAGGGGGATGTGATTAAAATATATTATATGCATGTATGAAATTCTCAAAGGGTTAATAAAGAACAACTTAGAAACATTAATACCAGATAGGTAACATTAGGACAATAAATATCTCAGTAAGAAGTGATATCATCATAGTGATGAAAGGATCACTTCACCAAAGACACAACACTTCTGCCAATCATCCATGAGCACTCAGCTAAGCCACATTCAGGCCCTTGGCTCTCAGAAACTAAAGTAATAATGTTTATCCACAGCAGCCTCTGTACTAAAAATGGCAAACACAAACAGAAACTGTAAATGTCTTAAATGTTTATTTTCATCTTCTGTGATTCAGTATATCTGGAAGGGGCTGAGAACTCATTTTGTTTTGTTGTACAAGGGATTAAGCCAAGGCCTCGTGCAAAGCAAACAATAACAAACCCTAAATGTGTGAGGAAACATGCCATGCTATCCCCTGGATTGGAAGACTCACTACTGAGCTGTCTGTTTTCCCACGGTTAATCTACACATTCAATATGATCTAATAAGAATCTAAGAGGAATTTCAGAAACTGACAAGTTGATTCTAAACCGATATGAAAATGCAAAGGACCTAGAAGAGCTAAATTAATTTGAAAAGGGGTAAAACTGAAGGATATATGCTACCTGATTTCAAAACACACTGTAAAGCCACAGTGAGCAAAACAGTAGACATGGGTGGCTGAATGAACGGAGGCCAAGGAAGAGACCCTTTTTAACTGATCAACTAAAAGAAACATTTCAATACTTAATGGCAATCCAAACAATTCAGTGTTAATATGTCTGACAAAGTCCTTCTATCTGGGGTATGTAATCTTTTTTTTAAAAAAAAGCTTTTGGCTAAGATCAAATGCAGAATACGTAAATCCTTCTACAATGCAACAACTACAAGAGAAAAATCCGACTGGTGACTAGTAAGCATGCACTACATATCATCAGTCAAACGTCTACCAGATGAAAGCACAGTGCCACAGCACCGTGCACACTGCAGTGGCTACCATCCACGAACACCACAGATTCCCTGTCTCCCGTGCTCAAGCTTTGGGGTAATTACTACCGCCATACGGTGTTTATGTGAGAGCAGAATGACATAAGGATTCCGAAGAAGCCACTCAACAGCTTCTCATTAAACAATGTTTTCCAAAGTAGAATCTTTGGATCGATAATGTTGGCACCACCTGGGGACATGCCGGCACTGTAAAGTCTCAGAACGGAGAAGTGAACGCCCTGGGATGAGGCCAGCAATGGGTGGCTACCAGCCTGCCAGTTCTCTTGGTGACAAGCTGAAGTCTTTTGACACTGATCCCAAGCTAAGCATGCACCTTCCCAGGTCATCCTTAGGTGTTTACTAGAAGAAATGAAAACACACATCTACAAAAAGAAATGAACAGAGGGAGGAAAAGGGGATGGAAAGAAAAAGAAAAGACATACAAGAATATTCATGGCTGCTTATTGATAACAGCCTCAAACTGGAAAACCCAGAATGTCCGTCAGCATAATTCCTAAGAAGTGTAGGGTATTCATACCACAGAATACACTCAATAATGAAATCAATAAATGATTGCTACTTTTCACAACATAAACTTCATAGGCACATGCTAAGCAGAAGAAACTACATAAACTCCATGGTTCCATAGGTTTAAAGTCCTACAAAAAAGAAGACTAGTCAATAGGAAAAGCAGGCAGAAACTATTATAGAAACAGAAGGCAAGGAATGGAACTGCACACGGAAGTGTCTCGAAATAAAAACATTGTATTTCGGGGTTACATGGGAGCCCAATGAGTCACACACAGGGCTTGTGTTTTGTGTGTATCGGTTTCTGAAGTGTCAACTGGTCGACCGAAAAGATTTTTTTCCCTCCAAAATGTGTTCTAAGGAACGTTTGTCCCGAGAGACATATCATACAAAATAAAAGGTTCTATAACCAAACAAGTTGGCAAATGCTGATCATATTATTCCTATCTCTAGGAAATAGATAACACCAAGCGAGATGAAGGTGGTAGTGGTGGCCTATAACCCTGTTCAATTTTATTCAACCTAAAATAAAGAAACTTCTAACTATCTCGTTTTCTTCTAGTTTGTCACAGTAAATTATAAGTCATCTTGAAAGACAATGCCACTTTTAAACTTCACAGTGGCAACCTCTGATTAAAAAACTAGAAACAGCCAGGCGGTGGTGGAGCACGCCTTTAATCCCAGCACTCGGGAGGCAGAGCCAGGTGGATCTCTGTGAGTTCGAGGCCAGCCTGGTCTACAGAGCGAGAGCCAGGAAAGGTGCAAAACTACACAGAGAAACCCTGTCTTGGAAAAACCAAAAAAAAAAAAAAAAACCTAGAAACAAGCCGAGCATAGAGTCACAACTGCAACCCTATCACTCAGGAGGCTAGACAGGAGGGTCACTGCAAGCCTGAGGCCAGGGTGGGCTACAAAGTTGGATCCTATCAGAAAAAAAGAAAGGATGCCAAGTCACTTCCATAATTATTGCTGAAAAAGAACCCTGAACAAAGCTAAAAAACAATTGTAAGTTTACATTGTACCATTCTTATACTGAAGTCTTTGGTGGGGAATCTTTATTACTTTAAATATTAATCAATGCTGGTTGCTTCCAGTAAGACCTATTACACTGTAGTCTTATTCTCACACAGCCATTCATGATTAATTTTGTTCCCATAACTGGCATTATAAAAAGTTTCATAAAGTTGATGAAAGGTATGCGTCGCTGCAGAGGAAGAACATCTGTGTGTTTACTGGCAGACTTTCCTAAGTAGTGGGCTCTTCTTCAAATTTTATTATTGTGTACGTGTGCAATGCTGGGGGCGTGCATCCTCACGTGGAGGGCAGAGGAAAACTGTGGAGTCTGTTCTCTCCAGTTTTCATGTGGGTTCTGGGGGCAGGAGTGGGTCACTAGGCTTGTGTGGTAAGTGCCGTTAGCCACTGAGCCATCTCACAGGCCTCCACAACAGTGGATTCCATCAAATGGGACCTTCCATCCCTTCACCAAAGTAGAAAGAGTCAGTTTCTCTGTAGGGGAACTACGGAGGCCGATGGGTTACAACTCAATCTAGGGAGGAAGGGCGTTAGAATTGAACATCCGCTTCACTCTCTAACAAGACGATAAGAGCTATTAACTGCTTCTCTAACAGTGCTTTGGGGTTTGCTTTAGGACGGCAATGTTTTCATGTCTTCCAGAGAGGCTCTCAAAGTATCATCATTCTTGTCCTTTCGTAGCCAGGGACCCTGGGAAAGACAAACTAGCTGAACCTCTGCTTCCTCATCTTCAAAAAAAAAAAAGGAGTTTTATTACATACAAAGCTACTGAAAAAGCAAAGTTAACTAAAAGGAGCTAAAGACAAACGTCCACTGCATGCATAATCAGTGTTCCACAATCATGGGGTCCTGGCACTGAGGTCAGCTCAGCTTGTCACGTGACATGTGGATGTACCTCTCCAATCAACATTTACAGCTATTAAGCTATAAACATCAATGAGAGGAAAGTATGTGCCAATTTCACAAGTAGCAAACAATTATATAAAAGGTTAAATTACAGCCTTTGCTTAAAATGCTAGAGCAAAAAAAAGATGAAGGAAAGAACACAAGGGGAGATGATTCATGCCTGTGTTCACGAACCATCATTTCACAAGGATGGATTTTCACATCGCTTACCATTTTTACTCTAAGATTATTTCTCATTCCTAACATTGAGTCTTAATTTCTTGAGAGTTCCTTCTATGTGCTTAAGCCATATTTTTCTGAATTCCTCAACTGTAAACAAGAAGTCAGTTTGCATTTCATTATTTCCTTTGGTGTAACTTGACAGTCGCTCCAAAATGTCATGAGCAACCGTCAATTATTATTTAACATATATATTGGTTCTAAAGTAGTAACCGAATTACTGGGTTGTCATTTAAAAGAAATTCCCAACACAAATATCATACCAGTTGGAAGGTCATCCAAGGGGAATTCAAACAGTCTGGACTTGTAAACCGAGTGAAAATGAGACTCCTCCTGCAATAACACAGAGGGCGGAGATTAAGCACAGGTGAAGCAGCATCCTGAAAGGCTGCAGGCAGTCACAGCTGGAGAAGCTAGGGCCCTGGGGGAGCTGCAGCTCCACTACAAGTTCTCCAGGCCTCAAGGGGCCATGAGCTACTGCACAGCCCACTCTCCACTGCCTTCTCGCAGCACTACCGCCACCCACTGCAACGAAAAAGCCTCGCAGGCCGAGAAGCCAAAGCTGCAGTAATGGAAAATAAATGAATGGACCTGTTTCCCCAAGGGAATGCAAGACATCGTGGAAAATGGGTTAATGACTGCTCCTTCACAGATCCCCGCCCCTACTCTAAGAGCCGGATAGCTTAGGTAGGCAGTGACTGAAGCTACCAATTTTCCTGGTGACGGCAAGCAAGATGACAGGTACAAGGGACGCCCAGAATCCTGACATAGATAGTTCTAGAAAGCAAGAAATAATGCAACACTTCTTCTTCTTCTAAGCAAAATTATTAAACATTCAAATGATTTCATCCGGTTTCATTTAAGTGCAAAGAACTAGTATGTCATAGCATGGAAGTTAAATACAACCTCTAAAAAGTCAGTGTCCTGTAAAGTGATAAAGCAGCCTTGCTAGGTACTCGGGGAACACACAGGCAGATGGTTTCCCAAACAGAGTTGTTTAACAGGTGAAAAAACCATGTGCATTCCTGGAAATTACCTCCTCTGTAAATGTTTGACCAACACTGAATGAAACAAGGATGTTCGTTTGTATATGTAAAGCAAGGATTGAAAACCATATTGTTTCCCTGTAGTCTATCATAGATTTGGTCTTAGCCAAAGAGCAACAAGGGCATTGTAGTCTATAATGTTAACCCAATCCTTTCCTAATTTGTTCCACCATTAGTTAATGTTCCAACACCACTGAGGAGACAATTAAGGAGTCCTAGGTTTCTGTAACTTCGCTAGCGTGAGCCTTGAAAACAACATGCAGAGTAGAAAAGTGTGGAATCGAAAAGAAAGGAGAGAGGTGAAAATCGCGCCTCTGTGGATTTTAGCTGTTGTGGATTCAATGTCTGTATCACATCACAGATTCATAGCAACATACTGATGGTGGTGGCTGTTAGGTCATGTCACTGTGTCTGGGGAGAGGGCCTATGCAGAAATATCGCAGGTTAAATGAGACTGAAAGGATGGCGCCCTGATCCAGTATGGCTGATGTCCTCATATGGAGAGGAAGAGATGATCAGAAATCTCTCTCTGCCAAGTAAAAATGCAGCAGGAAGGCAACCACCGGCCACCCAAGGCAAGAGCCCTCACAGGACACCAACCCTACTGCCACCTCAATTTTAATGTCACAGCATGTGACACTAAACTGTGAGAAAACACTTTGTTGTATAAGCCGCACAGTCATGATATTTGGTGTGGTTGTCTAAACTAAGGCACCTCACGTGACAGAGAGAAGTGGTGGTTTCAGGACACACTTCAGGGAAAGTAGTCCCAACATAAGAGAGGAAAGGCAAAAAAAATTAAAAACTAAAAACTGTGTGCTTGATTTACCCAATATCGTGTGTGTGTGTGTGTGTGTGTGTGTGTGTGTGTGTGTGTGTGTGTGTGTGTGTAGTCCTGGTCCTGACAATATAAAAACATACAAAGGGTGGGAAGGGCAGGAAAGAAGAACAAAGGTCTCAGCACCAATGCTGATATTCGCACAGCAAGCAGAGCACTTACTTGGGAGGTCTCATTGTCTTCTGGCTCAATGAGATATGTGTGGTTCCCATCATAGAACATCCCACTGCCAAGTACAAGAAAAGAATTAGACACAGCTATCAAGTCTCATCCAGAGCAAGATCATCTTAGGGCCAGCAGCACAGGACTGGTTACTTTCACTGTCTATTTCCCAGACCTACCCATCCTCAGCAGACACATGGCACATCACACAGGCAGAGCACGCATGCGCGCGCGCGCACGCACACACACACACACACACACACACACACACACACACACACACACACTTCTATGAGGCAAAGTGCCCTTTCCCTGAATTAGATAAAGGCAGATCCTCCTATCTTGAACTCCAAGCTCAAGACTGAATTCTCTGTTTTCCATTATTCTTCTAACATGGAATTCTGAGACTTATAATATAAAAGTCACCCTAGAATATCTGTGAAAATATAAACCTCGGAGAACCGTCCTCAGATTTCCAGGCCGGGACTCTGGAGGCCATATTTGAAACAAGTCCCAGGCCAGAGAGGCTGCATACTCTTTTAATCCTAGGGTGTTCTGTTAGTTCTGCCTCAAAATTAAACAAGTCTCGGAAGCTGGAAGTGGTGAGACAAGCTTGCAATCCCAAGTAGGTGGCAGCAAGAAGATGACATGGTCAAGGCTGACCTGGGAAAATTCATGAGAGCCTGTCCAAACATCAAATGTTAAAAAGAACAGCAGGTAAGGGTACAGTTTGGTGGTGGAGCTTTTGCCTAACATACACAGTCATCCAGTAATGGAAAAAACAACAAAGCCCACAATAACAAAACACCTCGGTGATACTGATGACACAGGCTGCCCGAGATCACCCTGAGAACAGCCCCCAACCACACGCTGGAAGGTGCTTTGGTAATAAGGTGAATGCATTTGAACAACTCGCCCTGAACTAAATCTTTCCACAACCCTATGAGGGAGAAGCCATGACCATGTCCACTGTGCAGGAGGGACACTGAAGTGACCTTCCTCGATTCCATATCCCATAGAAGGAAGACAAGAAGCTATGCATTCTGGGTACATGAACTGACCATCTGCAATCTGAGGCCACCTCCATTCATTCATTCAGCAGGAACTGACTGAGTCCCAACAATGCACAGCTGCACATGCAGGAGGCGGGTAGTAAGGAAAACACACCAATTTTCTGCCCTTGTGTCGAATTACATTTTAGGGAGAATAAAAACATAAACACATAATAAGGAAGGCAATGTAAGTTAGGTGGACATGGATTTTATGGTGGGAATCAAGCAGGTTCAAGTTAATAATTAGCACTAGAAGACTGGGTGTGGGAAAGCTGTGCGAGAAGAGGTTTCTCCTAGGAGTTCGGGGCAAGGCTTCACAAGAAGATGGCCCACCTACACTGTACAAAGGGCATTTCAGACACTCTCATGGCATGATCCGGGAACAGTGAGAGGACAACACCGTGACAGTGGAATGGGCAGGGGACAGTAACAGAAACACTCAGTCAGAGGCCTGCTGGGGACACAGTAGGTAGTCTCTCCTGAGGCCTGCTGGGGACACAGTAGATAGTCTCTCCTGAGGCCTACTGGGGACACAGTAGATAGTCTCTCCTGAGGCCTGCTGGGGACATAGTAGGTAGTCTCTTCTGAGGGCCCTGGCTGTTACTCTAATGAGAAGGTTGTCACACAGGCTTCTAAAGAGAGGAAACGCCTTTTCTCTCTTTTGTTTATTGTTTGTTTATTGAGACAATGTCAATCAACCTGAGGTTGGCTCTGAATTAACAGCAATCTTTCTGCCTCTGCCTCCCAAGAGCTAAAATTGCAGGCATGAGCCATTATACTTGTTTCTCCCCTTGGTTCTCTTCTCTTAAAATATCACTGCTACAGTGTATAATACTCTATAGAATAGCAAGACTAAGAGCAGGGATTAGTAGAACAGGATCACTATAACAACGGGAGAGAAAGAAGATAGTGGTGATAATAGAAGTGGTGAGAACTGGCCAAATTCTGGAGGGTGTGTGTCTGTCTGTCTGTCTATCTGTCTGTCTGTATGCCTGTGTGTGCATATGCATTTGCACGTATGTGTTTCTTTTTGCTGTTGAGGATTGAACCTAGGGACTCACAGGCCTAAGTACATGTTATATCACTGAGCCACTAGCCCAGCCTAGACATATTTTGAAAGGAGAAACAAAAAGATTTGTTGAGAAGTTTGATATGGACTTTGCCAGAAAAAAAAAGTATCAACAAAGACTCCAAGGTTTGACCTGAGCAGTGTAAAGCCAGCATTGACATTAAACAAAGTAACAATTGCAGAAAAAACACAGTGCGCAGCCCCAGCAGGCAGAAGACAGGAAGGAGGGCACAAATCAAGAGTGGCTTGGGACCTCTTATGCTGGAGATGACTACCTGCTATTTAGAAATCCTATAAAGGATTTGCTGTGAAGAGACACCATGACCAAGGCAACTTATACAAGAAAGCATTTAATTGGGAGCTTGCGTACAGTCCTTGATCATCATGGTGGGAAGTATGGCAACAAGCAGGCGTGTGCTGGAGAAGTACCTGAGAGCTACATCCCAATCCTCAGGAAGGAGGCAGAGAGAGAGACTGGGATTTTGAAACCTCAAAGCTCACCCCAAGTGGCACACATCCTCCAACAAGGCCACACCTCCTAATCCCTTCTAAACAGTTCACCAACTAGATATGAGCCTATGGGGCCAGTCTCCTAACAACCACCACAGCGGGGTTTGAAGTACATATGGCTTCATCTCCTGCTCAGAGAACTCCTGACACCCTTCTGGTTAGAGGAACACAGTGTTTCTACTGAGATCAGGTGCCTCATGGTGCTACTCATACTCATTTCTGCTCAGGCACCTAAGGGGAGCAGGCTGTGATCCTCTACATTAACTTTTCAGTTTAGGGTTTAAATGCTCACATGATAGCCAAGCTGTTAGACACAGAATAGTATTTGTCTCTCATTGATAATGTTATGAAATCTACTGGTTTTCCTGAGCTGTAATTACAATGGTTTCCAGGTCCGCTGCTGTCTAAATTCTTTCATTTCTGCTGGAACATCTTCCACATGTCTTAAATTCTCATATACCCACAGAATAGCCATCTCACTTCTGCACAGTTTTCAATGTTAGTGTACTTTCTGAATATGGATGACACTGAATTTGGAACTTGAAGATAAACAGATGAGCCGGGCGGTGGTGTACACACCTTTAATCCCAGCACTTGGGGAGGCAGAGGCAGGCAATCTCTGTGAGTTCAAGGCCAGCCTGGTCTACAAGAATGAGTTCCAGGAAAGGCGCCAAAGCTACACAGAGAAACTCTGTCTCGAAAAAAAAAAAAAAAAAAAAGATAAATAGATGTAGTATTAACAATATACTATTAATGATATATATATATCTGTTTTGACTCCTCTTCAAAACAGATAAACTATGACAGACATTTTTGTATCACTGCTAATAACTGGTCAGATCCATCCAGAATACTATATAACCATTAACCTTTGCCAACGTTCACATGACAAGCAGATTATTTTGTTTAAATACAGTGTTACGACCTGTCATAGTTTTTGTGAACACGGAACAAGCCAAGACCTACTTGGGAAGAGGGGATTTCCACTGAACTACCTTCATTAGATGGGCCTGCAGACAAGCCTTAGGGCATTGTCTTGAGTGATGACCGACATGGGAGGGCCCGGCCTACTGTAGGCAGTACCAACCCTGAACAGACGGGTCTGGGTGCTATAAGAAAGCAAGCTGAGCAAGCCAGGGAGAGCAAGCCAGTAAGCAGCATTCCTCCACAGTTCTTCATTAGTTCCTGCCCTGCCTTGAGTTCCTGCCCCGACTTCCCCTGAAGATGGACTACAGTGTTTAAGCTGAAATAAGCCCTTTCCTCCCCAAGTTGCTTTTGGTCAGTGTTTCTTCACAGCAATAAGAAGCAAACTAGAATAATGTCCAATGGAAAAATAAGGGGTTTTTTTTCATTTTCATTGGGTTTCAATGCATGTTGTGTAAGAAAGCATCATTAAGTAGAAAGAAAGAATCTGAAATTATTTGCACTTAAAAGAGCTGATTCCCTCCTGCTCAACTGAACCATGCCCACTCTCTCAGTTCCTGTCCACCATATCCTAAACCTTCCCCTCCTTGTCATGGTATCCCATCCCCCAGCTCCAGCATAGGCCAGCCTCCTGCTTGACCAGAGGCCACACCAGAACCAAAGGTTGTCTGCTTTCCTAAGCACTATCCTACTCAGTGCCCACCCAGCCTAACCCCAATTGCTTCACCCTTCCCATCACAATATTCCAGCTTCCAACTCCTACAGAGGAACCCCTGCTCAAAGAGAGGCCATCTCAGCCCTCCAACTCTACTCAACCACAGGCCATTCCAGCCAGAAGACCAGAGAGGAAACAGAAACCAAGGAATAAAACACCCAAACAACAAAGACAAACTCAGAAATGAGCATCTAGAGCTATAACCACTCCAAACGGTATGCCTAGACACCAGTATAAGAACACATCCAGGAAATCTGGGACATTATGAAAAGACCAACCCTAAGATAACAGGAATAGAAGAAGGAGAAAAATCCAGCTCAAAGGCCCAGAAAATATTTTGAACAAAATCATAGAAGAAAATTTTCCTAACCTAAAGAAGGACATGTCTATAAAAGTACAAGAAGTTTACAGAACATCAAATAGATTGTATCAGTAAAGAAAGTCCCCTCGCCACATAATCACTGAAACACTAAACATACCGAACAAAGAATGAATATTAAAAGCTTCAAGGGAAAAAGGCCAAGTGACACATAAAGTCAGACCTACTAGAATTATACCAGACTTCTCAATGGAGCCCCTAAAAGTCAGAAGTGCTTGCAAAGATGTCCTACAGACTCTAAGAGACCATAGATGCCAGCCCAGACTACTATATCCAGCAAAACTTTTAATCGCCATATATGGTGATATATTGTGTACCCTAATAAAGCTTGCCTGAGGATCAGAGGACAGAGCTAGCCACTAGATTAGATGTAGACGCCAGACAGTGGTGGCACACACCCTTAATTCCAGTACTG